TGACCATATGAGAGGTATGAAAATTAACAAAAATGATAAAATTCAAAACAATTGTTGTTCTAACAATAATTAATGATAATAATAATAATAAACGTAATAAAATAATAAAAAACCTCCTCTTTTATTATTTTTTTATACCTATTTTAAATTGCCAAATTTCTTCTTGCAGTCTAAACCTTATTATTATCAAAACGATTCAAGAGCAGATGGAAAACAATCCTTGATTTCAAATGATGTCATATATATATGCAAATTTATATTCACATTGTGTAAAATTTATATTTCTATTGCTGTAAACATAAAAAAAATGAAATAGAATACATATTTATTTCTGTTGTATCATTTTTATTAAGAAACGAATAGCATTAATTTTCACTTGAGAGTTCTCTTAATTAATAACATGCACAATTGTAAAAGAAAACTTTTTATCTGTAATGTTTTTATTCGTCTATATAATTATACAGAACTTTTTCTTTTCCTTCCATATATTTCAAGATATCATCTTTATAATTTACACTCATTTGCTCTTTTTTATCTCTTAGAATAGAATAATGAAACATTTGCAAAATTAATTTATAAAAAAAGGGAAAAAAATTTTGAACAAGCTTGTTTAATCCGTTACATATCACATTTCAACTTTAACAATATCGGAAGCTTTCTTAGCTTCTGAAATATTTTGAAAATTCTTCGAATGTGTAACAAATGCAACTTCTTGTTTGGTCCGTAGAAATATCTTTTTAATATGTAAAGAAATTGAATTTTAAGTGATCTTGTGTTTTCTAAACTGATCAAGAATTCGTATTGGTATTGATTAGGACTGAACAGTTAAGACACAGGAAAGTATCTTTTTGCATCACAGCTAAGTGCGAAAAAGGCAAAATGAAAGGAATGAAAGGAAAATTGTACTTCCGAGGTAAAATTATCGTGAAATAGTGTTTGCTTCGAGTAGTTTGTAGAGCCGAATATGTTTACCTTTATTTTACTGAGATGAAGATTTGTCGTTGTTATCGAATAAAATTAAACAGTTTAAGGAAGTAATTGGCAGTGAATGCCAGATTGCTATCCACAAAAACTAACTTAGACAAAGGTTATACTGTAGACTAACTTATGACAAGGCTTGATTTACAAGAAGGAGCGAACATGCCGCAAAGGAGGTTAGGTAAATAAAGAACTGTTAACCTAGTTAAATTGGAATATAATTTAGAGTTAGTAAGCAACCGACAAGCAAAACAAAAGATCAACTAAATAAAGAACTGATAATTTGTAAACAATCTAATTGGGAGCAAATTTCTACACATATTCGAGTTAAAATTGAAAGATAAATATTGGTTAAATGATTTTCTGCATGAGATTGGAACATTTGTTGTATAAGGAATGCTCAAATAAGATAGATTTTAGTTTTATGGCTTTCATACAATTATAATTTGGTTTTTCAACAAGTACCTCGTATGAAAAATATTAAATGAAAGTTAACTAAATCGTATCAAATGCTCTCGACATTAGTTTGGTTGCATCATAGCCAATAATGTAGAATTTCATGATGAAAAATGTGAAGCAGAAGAAGTTGAAATGGAGAGAAAGGCGAATAAAGTAATAAGTAAAAAGTAAATATCAAACATTTACCACTGATAGTTTTTTTTTTTTTTAATTTTTTTTTTAATGGTTTATAATACTAGTCATCTTTTACTTTTTTAATTTTTAATCATAGCGTTTTTGCTATAGTTTTTTACTTTCAGCTTTCTGCAGTCAAAATGAATTGCAAGCGAAACGACCAAAATCTTCCTAAATTATTTTATAGAAATGTTATATATCACTAAGGCTTTCATAAAATTTTACTTGCTTGGTATCCATGCCCAAACCTTTCTGTTCATATCAGATAATATTTTTTCCTCTTCTTTTTAAATCCGGAACGGGATTCCTTGAAAATTAGATTTGTCAATCAATTTGATATTTTTTATTTACCTTACTGAAAAAAAAAAAGGTTTACTTCATAACCAACATGCTGCAATCAACTAAAAGTTTAATATTTGCTTATTCAATGCGCAAATTTGTTAAAAAAAAAAATAAAAATTCTGAACCAATCATTGGAAAAAAGCATACCTTCAACCCATATGAAGTTATATTTTCGGTAACGTTTTACTTCGCACATTTAAACACAGAAAGCGCTATGGACGATCGCCTTTTTTTCTAAAAAAAATCTGCAAAAATATGCCATTTTAAATATTCCAAAAAGGAAAAAATCTATTCCTCATTTTATGAATTTAAAGAGATTGACCACAGCAGTTCACAACAATTAAATGAAACGAGAATCTAGCATAATCAAAAAAGCAAAATCAAATAATGATTTTTATTCAAATCACAAATCTCTCATACGATATATGTGATATACTTTAATAATATTATATTTAATAATACTTAAATAATTTTTCGTTGTTAAATGCAATTACTTTCATTTCATATGTTAAACAACGACGAATACAATTGAGAAAAATCATTGATCCATACGTTATTTTGTTTCATGTCTGCTAAGTTATCATACATCACATATCAAAATTATCATCTTTTAATTCTTCTCCTCTCCGTACTTACTGTTTATTCCTCCATATAACTTTATTGTTCCAGTTTACACTAACTTCTTAATTATGCAATCCTATATTTTCTAATATAATCTTCTTTGCTTTCTTCTTGCTTATTCTTTGTACGACCCATTCGTGACTTTAATTTTGGTTATATCTGGAATTCTAGTCCTAAATCTAAATAGAATAAATGCCAAAAATAATTTATTAGCCATAGATTTAAATCAAAAACTTATTTTAATTGCATGTAAAATTGAAGGTCATGCAGAGAGATGTTGGAAAAAAAACTTACTGATCATTGCTGACTGAAAGTTTGGAGTAGTTTTCTCCTTATCTGAAAGTAAGAAAACTTTTTTATAGGTAAAAAAAAAAAAAACGTGAATAGTCAAACGAATGTTTTCATAAGCATGAGGAACAATTTATTCCGAAACTGTTCCCAACATCTGACAGAAATCTTATGATTTTACCATGATAAAACAGGGCTCTGATATCTTGTACATCATTTGATTATTTATAATACCTATGGAAGAGTATTCAACACTACAGGTACCAAAAAAAGCATGAACTTATCATCTTCTCAGGTGTGGAGAGAATATTCTTGATGTCTGAAACTTATCAAAAGACAGATGGTGTGTTTTAAAACTAAGCTTCTACACTTCTTTTTATGTAATATCCTTATTCGGTAAGCTGTTTTGTTAAATGTTGGATAGCTCTTATTACATGAATCCTCAAATGTAAATACGAATACTTATGAGTTTATTCGTCAATGACTTAAACAGCTGGAGGTGAAGTACAATGATACAAGATAATATATGCATTGTTAAAAGTGTTCACTGGAACTAAGGTTTCTTGGCTAAAAATTTTGATGAAAAAACTTTGATAGAAAGCCGAGTAATATGTTCAATACTTTCGAATTATTGCTGCTTAAATTAATACTGACATTTATATTTGACAATATCCCTGTATACCTTATTTAAATTGCTAATTAAGTAATTAAAAATTCATATTTGATTTGAAAAAAATAAGGTTCGAAAGAATTTTATAAATTTTGGAAAACTTTGAAAGGAACTTAGAACAGCCAAATTTCGTTTCCAATATTACATGAAAATGCAAAAATACTACGCCGTTTTGATTATGTGAGAAAAAAGAAAACGACATCAAACTTCGTGTTTTGTTGTTAACTAAAACAAAAAACAACGTATATTGTAAGTAATTTGCAAGTACGCATTGTAATGGGTAGAAATTGTTCCCAAACATTGGGAAAAACTGAAAACTATTAAAGATAATCAATGAATTTAATTACTCTTATAAGCATCATTATATAACAGAAATTAAAATGTTGATTTTTTGATTTATTTATATTTACATTGAAAGAAAAAAATAAATGTTGCAACTGCAATGAAGAACTGAAAATCTTCAAAGAATATTATTAATAACGAATTAATTACCCTCTTTAAGTTGAATAAATTTAAGGAAACATCTGGTACCTAGTTGCTACCTTGGTCGCACTCCATCCCATAATCACAGTGATGCAAAGAAATGGAGCAATTTTTGAAATCTTCTAAGAATGTTTTCATTTCATATGAAGAATGGTATCATGTCATTGCCGCATTTGCAACCGCTATTCCCTCAAATGCTTTAGAATCTGTTTTTTCCACTTTTTCCTTCTTGCTTCACTTCATGTTTCTTCGGAAGACACTTTTTTATTATCTAATTATTCTGTTCCCTTCTCCTCAATTTTACTTCCCGGTTTTCACCTGTTTACACCCCACTACTCCATTAATATCACCAATATGTTCTCATCTTATGTTACTGCTTAATGTCCTATCCAATAATTCCGATGTATAAAAATGCCAAGCGGTTCGGTTGCTGCCATGGTTACAGCATCATAAATTCACTACCCAAACAGAGCCTATCCTACCAGATAGAATTTAAGTGATCTTTCATGCAGACATGCACATGCACCTTACAGTATTGCGTGCTATCGCAGCAATTCAACAGAAACCCTGATTTCTCACTTTTCTACTGTCTGCCAGTCGTGTGACATGTGCTCGTGCTCCCTCTTCCCTCGACACCATTCTACAGAATACAAATTTACTCCCTCTCTCTTTCCCTTCTCCCTCCTCTCCCTCTTTCTCTGTCAAATATTGGCTGTTTTCCAATCGAATGTTGGCTGGCTGCTCGGTGACATACGAAATGGCCTTCTGAAGAACCACCAGGGAACCAAGGATGTATTTCATTCTGAGAAGTTCTAGTCGTGTCACACAGTACTGTACTGAGCTACGTCAAATCTTCAGAATACTTGTGCTTTCCACCAGCTTTCGCACTCAGTTCAACTCTGCACTACACTACACTTACGCAATTCACGCGCTGAAAATACTTCTGAAAGCAGTTCATTCTAATGTTCATTTCTTGCAGCTACGAATGCCAAAATTGACCCGAACAAGTTTGCGTGGTGGTGATCGACGTATGGATGACGTTAACCTGGATGATTTCTGGAATGCAGATGCGGATAAGTACAAGTGCTGCTGTCGTACATTCCATGTCGTCCGAGCATCGCTCTTCATTGCCTATGCTCAAATGCTAATCACATTTGTCTTCGCACTTTTCTTCACTTTCTATTACATACAGGTTGGATCCTTCTACATGAAAGAAACTCGTTTCATATAAATAAATATCGTTACTTCCATCCATCGATGATTAAATAATTATTAGAAGATAATCGTAAAACATTTCGCATCACTACTGTATGCCTTTGCGGCTGATTAAATTAGTAGAATACGATTGATTCTGAACCATCGAAAAGAATTAACGAAATTTTTTTGCTAGGAGTTAGCGAACAACTAACACCAGTTAGTTGGATGACGATTTATTTGCAAACAAAATTCCTGGAACTTTTTTAAGATACATTACAAATAACATACATTCTGCAGTACGCAAAGCGTCATTTATTTAGGCCATTAACGGACGCTTACTGCAAGACCATTGGATCAATCAGTTAGGTGAACGATATATTTGTAAGTACTTTTTCAACTTATCCAATATTATTTTGAGAATCATATAAAGAATTTTCCTTCGATTCGTGTTTTGTTCAGAGTTTGTTTTCACTATTTTCTTTTGCAGCTGAACGAAAGTCATTATATCCACATTAAAATAGGCTGACGTGTCGGCAGCACTAATTTTTCTCGCTCAACAAAGTGTAATGTTGATAGTTTCACTTGATAAGTATATTGATTGAGAGATTCAACTTTTCTTTCAATTAAGTCTCATTTTTAGCTTCACTTCTGTTTGCGGTCACGTTACAGTTGCTTCTTGTTCTTTTACTTGTTCACGGGATTCGGACAGAACGCCGCTCATTTTTGCTACCCTTTATTGTATTCTCATTGATCGCAGTACTTCTCGGCTTTATCCAGGTAGCTATTTAATGGTTATATTTATCTTGAAATCTAATATAATTACCTCCTTTATAAAATTGTTTTTGCTTTTCCAATATTAATCATAAATAGCTTTAAATATTTGTAGATCGGGAACGATTTATTCGGTTTTATGCATCCTTCGTCATTAGCACACTTAATGTACGACAACAAGTTAGTTCCTTGTTTTTATTTATTGATAGCCTTCTTTTCTCTCTCTCTCTCTCTCTCTCTCTCTCTCTCTATATATATATATATATATATATATATATATATATATATATATACAGCGTAGCGTTATTTATCTTTCATTTATATAATTTATTTGCAGTCAGTTCTTTTCCCATTTGATTGGGACACTGTTTCAATTATGGTGCGTTGCGACTGTATGGCGATGCTATGGTTTTCTGGGAGACAAGAAGGTTATTTTTATAGCTTTTTGTAAAATTATGGTTTTTTTTTGATTATTTTGGTACTGGGCAGTGCAGAAAGATGTAATCGATGAATTAGTTTTACTGACACTGAGATCATGTTAATCATATATGCATTAGTCAGACGTGGTTTTATTCGGAAGCACCCATTATTCAATTCAGTTTATTCCACGCATATGCTTTTCAGTCTTGGCTTGAAAGAAGGAAAAATTTCTCTTTAGCTTATTATTAGTTTGAAATATTTGCACAAATCATTTCTGATAATCAAATTCGCGTTCGTATGTGGCATAAGGATGTAAATTTCCTTAAAGTCATAAATGCATACGTTTTAGGTTGTGCGACACATTGGAGAGCAACTTTCGACGACTCAGATGGCATTTCATTATGACGATATTCCTCATGAATACATTACGATGTCACAACCTCCACCGTATGCCGATACTGTGATTAGCATAGATAAAGAACCTCTTACGACATAATAGCTGAATTTTTCGACCACGCAAATCCCAGATGAAAATCTTATGCGTATGTGACTTATGCATTTGCGTATATTTTCTTCATTGAAATTTATGGAAATCTTTTTCTCCTTTTTGATAATTTTTTTTCTATTGTCAGATCGCTGTTACCTGTTTCTCAATAATTTCGGGTTCTCAGGAATTTCTTTAATAGGCTTACAGAATGATTACAACCTATACTTCCTGTTAAACTAACTCTAAGTTTTATCTCTTCTCTGGATTATCCATCGATTTTTAACTTAAATCCTTAATTTTCTTATATTATATTATTATTAGTGTGATTCGGACTTATTAGAAGAGTTTTTTTTTTAGTGGAGTTCATGAAATAGTGTAAGTAAGAAGTAGAATTTTTGGAAAATTCACCTGAATTTAAATATGTGACATATACTGACTGATGTCAGCAGTTCAACTGAACTATTTTTTCTCCTGAAAATTTGTTTGATTTGGAGTAAAACTCTAGCTTTTGTTTTATTCACCGTAATGGGATAACTCCAACTAAAATAAGAAGAGGAGCAAAAAATTCGTTGATTTCTTCGTCCATGTTTAATATGTCACTCCTAGTTTTGCGTCAAAAAATGTTCTCTTTAATGTAAACGTCATTTTAAACGTGACTCTTTGTGGTCGTTTTTCTGCATAATGAAGGAAATTCTATGTTGTATTCATTAAGAAATGAACATTAGAATTGGATTACTGAGTTTCGTCCTTAAATTTTTGAAAGAGGATTTTGAAATATCCTGAGCAAAAGGTTTGATTCTTGATAGCATTTGTATCTTAAGAGAGAATCTCGCTATTCTGCTGCGAGAGTTTTGGTTTCATTTTTTTAAAAATCACTTTAGACTTATTACTCTCATTTTTTATATGTTGAATAAAACATTGATTGCTGATGTTTTTTCATGTGAATAGTAAACGGAAGTTTTTAAAACTAATATTGATGAGATTTATACTGTCTACGACAGCGGTTTTGTCAGCACATGTTATTTTTTATTTAATTTAAAGTCAATTTGTTAATAATTGCAAATGTGCGAACTCGGAATTTCGAAATGTAAGATTCTTCATTGATCTGTCACGATTTAATATCTGTTTGGCATCAGATATTTTCAGATAACGATTAGAAAACCGTATTAGGTTTCTGGACTTTCCCTCCGACAGTTGGCCCAGAAATAGAAAACTTTTATTTGGGATTTAAGTTTGCACGGCGCGACCAATTATGTGTCTTTCGAACGGTGCATTGCTTGGGAGAATACAGTCTTCCATTTTTCGTTTTATGCTAGTTTTGGATGACACTTAGGATATGAGGACTGTTCTCGAGACTCGAACATGTAAGTAAATGAGAACAGTTAATACCATTGATAAGTAATCAATAAGTAACCTTAAGTAATCAATTTACATTCCTCGCAAACGCTGCATATATAAAGCGGTAGATGGTGTTCTGTGAGTATTGTTGTTGTTATTTCTATTCTTGTTCTTGTTCTTTTATTATTATTATTATTAATTAATAATTATTGTTGTTGTTATTTCTATTCTTGTTCTTGTTCTTTTATTATTATTATTATTAATTAATAATTATTGTTGATTGTTATTGTTGTCATTGTCGTTATTATGATTAATTATTATTTTTGCTATTATTATTGTTATTTATTGTTGTTATTAATTATTGAATGCCTACTTCACCCACATATTTCATATGTTTTTAAACATTGCAGATTTCAAAGAACTTTAATGAGTGCAATTTATAGTTAGCTGGAATGTTACTATCAAAAATTGCAGCCTTTTGTGTTATAGCTTTTGTTAAAGCTATCGAATTAACGTTTGAGTTATCAGACAGTGCGAATCAGTGTTTTTTTGAGGATATCAAAGATGGCATTGACTGCGTCATTGAATATCAGGTGCTATATTTCAGTTGTCTTTATGAGGTTCAGATAATGTTGTGAATGGTCTTCCTGTCATCCTTTCCAGGGCATCATATTCTTTTCTTTAATGATGAAAACCCTTTAATTTATTAGAACATTTCATGACTTTCTTTTGGGATTATTATCTCCTTGCAATCTCTTTAACTTAAAAATTTTGGAACCAATTGCTTATGGATGTGATCTTTTGCACTTCACATGATTTCATATCAACTTGATTTGAATAGATTAGAAAAATACAATTTACATTTTCATGTATGATTATTTTCAGGTAGTAACAGGTGGTCAGTATGATGTAGATATGACGCTTGAAGATAAGGAAGGTAAAATCTTATATAAAGGTGTCAAAAAGCAATATGACAGTTTTTCATGGAAAACAGAAACAGAAGGAACATATAAGGTTTTTTTTTTTCATTAAATTCTGAAATCCCTTGAATATAAAATCAAGTTTTATGGAAAAGTTGTCGCTGTTGAAAATTATATTAGAAAATCATTAAGATTTCTGCCTTAATCGAATGAGACGTGTAGATTTTCTTTAATTTTCTTTCACCTCATAGTTTTTTTAGGCATGCTTCTCAAATGAATTCTCAACTTTTTCACATAAAGTAGTCTACATGGATTGGCAAAAAGGAGATGAGGGTCAACTTTTACCAAGTATAGTTTCCATTTTAGCTTAGAAACTGACAACATTCTTTCTCCTTGTTTTCATATCAACTTGATTTGAGTAGATCAGAAAAATGAACTGAAATTCCATTTTTGGTATGTCAGACATCTCCATATAATAGAATAATCCAACTCAATTCAGATGTCGATAGGGTAACTTCACGAATAGCAGCCATGACGCAACTTGAAACATCTGCATCAGCTATTGGTGATCGGTTAAGGCTAATTGATGATTATCAAACACATCACCGATTAAGAGAAGCTACTGGGCGTAAGCGCGCGGAGGACCTCAATGAGCGCGTTTTACTATGGTCTTTGGGACAAACGGCTATTATTATTACTTTGGGAATTGCACAGGTAACATTTGATTGGCTTTTTTTTTTTTGTTATTGTTGTTCAAAGGCCATACAAACATGAATTTTGCATCTTTTAATTTATGAGTTGTCTTCACTAAATGGTAAGACTTTGTTGAATTATTATGCTATCACTCTTTTAAAACACAGAATAAAAGTTCATTCCAAAGTATTAATATTCACAGAAAATACACTATTAATTCTTGGTAATGACTGGTGGTGTAGAATCTCTTAAATCCGAAATAAAAATATGTTTAGTTACGAAAGGTATTCAAGGGAAAATAACTTTGGAAAGTTGGAAAAACTGAAAACCACACGTACCTCTGAGACAATGCTTTAACTAGATTCTAACTAAATATGTATTTTCTTTAATAACTAGATATGTTTTTTTTTTTTTTTTTTTTGATAACTCGTTCTAGCTGGAGTAGCAAATGTGAGCGAAAAACTATAATTATAATTACAAGTTTACACTTACAAAGTGATGTGATTCGAACGAAAAGTCCATTAACTGTATTCATTTACAGGTGCTCCTACTTCGTTCATTTTTCACCGAGAAACGAACGATCTTCTGATTTGCTGCGTTGTAGTAAATACTTTGCCTTCTTATAATTCGTGTTTATTATTTACGCTTTCGCCAGACTTCATTTGGTTTGAACAATCGCACGACTGGTCAGTAGATTGTTTTTCCGGAGGTATTTTCGGGATAAGTTCCATCCCATCCTGAGGTTGTGTCGGAATATTCTCCAGTTTACTAGTATACTTCTGAAATTATTCACTGTATAACTTGGTATATATTATTATAATAATATAAGTTATGATAAAACCAGTGAAGAAAAATATTTGCTGAACATTACCTACATGAATCTGTTTTAGAAATCACTACTTTTATTTGGAAATTTCTAAAACAAGTTACTGAAAATTGTTGGATCTCATAGTTTATAGTTCTTCATATGTTGTATATTTTCTTCTACATCATTTTTGCTCCTATTACTATGCGGCGCAGAAGTCGTCCTTTTTCTTTTTTCTTTAACCCATGGGAAATACAGAGAACTTTCTAAAACCTCCCGAAAACTTCTCACGTTTTAAAAACCATCTGTTTTGCTATAGTTTGAATATATATATTTCATTGTTGTGTGGACATTCGGTAGTAGGCTTTCGTTGATAAGCAAATGTAACTGTAACAAAGGAATGAAAATCTTTAGTCTTTTCATGATTCAAAATTTGGAAATTAAGAAATATTGATAGCGAATTATCTTTACTCTTAAGTTCGAGAAAATTTAGTATTGCAATTATTTGAATTATTATTTATATATTATTATCACTCAACTTATTTTTTGATCACCAGTTGTGTCTCATTTTTTAGAAATAACTTAAGAGTAAAGATGGTATAGCGCAATGAAAATTCCTATTTATGGCAAAGAAACCTGCACAAAATCGGCATAATAGCAGTAAACATTCAGAGGTTGAAGATGCTGGAGCACAAATTGGCGCATCGCCTTTAATGTCTGAAATTTGTAAAGATGAGGGAAGAGTGATACATTCCACACTAAGTGAAGATTGACATCGCAGACTCTTGATAACTTTTGGAAATTGCATGTGTTCATTTCAGATGAAGAACGGTTACATTATAAATAAAGTCACCTTGTTATAATCTTGTGTCCGTGCCCATTTGATCTGTTCAATGAGAGTTGAATCACTAAAGTGAAAATAATGTAGTCCTTCTTCTAGATCGGCGTAAAAATGTTCATAATAATCAGAGAACGATTTGAAAACGATGCTATCTCCAGCCAGCAAAAAAGGAAAACGATACGCAGCAACCGTTCCATCAATGCTTAGTATAAATTTGTACTGGAATTCCATTTCTTTCATTTCATTTCAAAGATTTAAGTGGTACTATAAGTAATCAGTATATGAATAAAACCAGTATGAACCTCGAAGAAGTTAGGGAACGGCATTGTTTCAACCGTCGGCGTGTGCTGGGATTCGTTGAAGAAGAAATATCTCGTAATTCCTGCATCCAGAAAATTAGGATGTAATTTTGATAATTGCGCTATATGAAGTCGCAGCTATAATAAAAGCTCCATTTATTCGGGAATAAGCTGGTAAAACCTTCAGCATTAAGGCATATATTATATATACAAAATGGTTGTATTTTTTTTTGGGATCGATCTAACTTTAAACAGTTTCAGGAAAGCTATATTTGAAATGAAATACAGTATACCTTACTAGAATCTCGACCTCGAAACACAGCTTTATCTTTCTTTTGTTTCCATTTATAATGTTTTTCACCTCTTACGGAATGTATGTCGAGTATTACCGATTCCATAGAGTCAATTACTGATTTCATTAGCTCATACGTTGGCATTACGATATCGGTTGTATCTTAAATTATAAGTTGTGCACTGTTTCCATAGAATTGCAATGGTTTTTGCAAATTTAGAAAGATCAGCATATTGCAAGTCATAATATGCAAGTCACAGTTTTGTTTGCATTACTCAATTTATTAAATTTTATTGTAAAAATTTTGTACCTTTGGAACCACACCAGCTAATCATTGGAACAAGGTCACTTTCTGCCTTTGCAAGCGGCCAGTCGCCAAGATTGAAGATAAATTCTGTATTTGGCAAATACATTTTTCTCATCAATGACGTGAATGCTGCATCAACAAATATCCGGAAACCCGTATAATCACCAAAACACTGTCTATACAACTGAAGATGAGCACATAATTTTAAAATATGAATTGGTTTTTATTTTTCCCCATAAGACTGCTCTTTTGTTGGAGTCTGATTGCAAAGGAGAAAAAGTGACTACAGTCATTTGAACAGCGTTAGTAATGTAGAAAGAATTACCCAATCAAACGAAAAGATTCACCCAAATTTGGTCCGATTGTAATTTGGAAGTGGTTTCAATTATATCAAAGATCGATTGAGAAAGTCTATAACACAAACCCGTAGAAAAGGCGTAGAATTTCAATTACTTAGAAACATTTACATTATTTTCAATGATTTGATAATGACATAATGCACTGCCACGGCGATGCTGCGGACTTGCCCATTTCTTTTTTACTATCGTTAATACTTCTTCAAAATTAATCGTAGACCATTGACTTAAATCACTATCAAGCTGTGAATGTTGTGATGTACAACCAGATTCCTGCATCCACTGCGAAACGATCCCTTTCGGACAATCACAGTATTCCGAATAAAGCAAACTTCCATCAGCTAAATAACGTCATAACGTTGGAGAACTGCAATGCGTTTAAAAATCGCAGATATCGTAAAGGATAGAAATCAAATGTAAGATGTCATCTGTGTATGCATGTGAGTTTATCATTAACTAATGAATACCAAACCTTTCTTAATTACAATTGGGGAGTCGCACAATGGGACACCGTTTGGAGTATGAATATTGATAACCATCTGTAGACAAGAAGACCATAACCGCAATCGTAGCACATATGAGCCGTCGTGATAATCAAGTAGTTGGAACCTATAATTCTTCATGACATCTTAAAATCATAACGTTTATATTAAAAATAGTACTTTGAGCAATAGATTTAAGAAGCAGCTCGCTGCTGTAGAAAAACTAACCGATGACGACAAGATCCCAAAATAGATACTTTTAAAGGGCCTACAGATTGCGTAATATTAGTTTCGCCATACCGCAACTGTATATGCAAATAGCGAACCGGCAAATCAAGTTTAAGTGCACCGAAACAGAGAGCATTTTCAGCTCCTTTGGCGAATGATGAAATGAACAAACCAGCGGCAAACAAAAAATAATAAGACATTTCCTATCATCTGAAACTGATGTTTCTTTAAATTTTCCTGCAAATATATAACAGTTACTAAGGAGGGAACGGTAACTGGGAGACAGGTAAAATGCTCCCCATCAGACCTTTACTGTTGCGTGAAATTTGTGCTTACACAAGATTGTCAGTAAATATTCATTCTAACACTACTCATGTATCCGTTAATTCTAATCAGTTTAGACAGTGCTTTTGAAAAAAACATAGGAGTAGAACTTTCTAGTTATGAGAATGAAAACTGAAATCAACAAAAAACATAAAATGATAGTGAGCTTTCCAATTTGACAAATTATGAGTGGATCCAAAAAACTAAATACTGTGTGACAATGAATTATTCATGTGAATCAAAAAGTGTTTTGTTGTAGAATAGAAAAAAATCCAACTTTATCCAACTTTCAAACTTACAACAAACAAACAACAAAGGATAACAAACAGAGAACATGTAGTCTCATGAAAAGCTACTCAAGTCCGAACAATCCAAGTTTTCAAGTTAACTTTAAAACTTCATTACTTCTGAATCTTTCCTTACAAATACACACACAATAAACGCGCTACATTCCATGAGGCTAGAAAACTTATTGAATACGGAAAATTATGAGTGGATCTAAAAACATAGCGTGATTGGTGGTAGTGAGAGACTGAATGCTCTAATAACTTCTATCATCAGCTTCTTCCTTTATCTGCAAAAACTATATATTTTATTTGTTTTAAAGTTTGCAATCGACCTTTCGACTCCATATCATTTTTTGATTTCAACTTCTGTTTGTTAACTTCTATCAGTGACATCAAACCGGTAATTAGTTCGTTTACCAAAAGTTGATTCAGGAGACTGGTCCTCAGCTTAGATATTTAGGCACATTAATTGCTTGCATAATGATTTCAATAATAATTTGGACAAGTATAAAATCAGAGCTCTAAATCTATTTCAGATTAAACTACATCACTGACAAACAAATTAATGACACTAATACGCTCAAGGCAAGCTGATAAGGAACTTGAAAAACAAACTCTTGCTAAAAATAATCGAGATATTTCGAATTCAATTCAAAACGAAGTATTAAACATTCAAACTGATTCCGTTTTAGGACCTTGACAATTCAGTACAAGAAATTATTTTGAAACTGAATACTCAAACATGTTATACCTTTTTTTTCTTGTATTTCTTGTGTGGTGGGCCATCTTTATTCTGTTCATTTCCAGTCTCATTTATAGTATCAGAACCTTTATCAGTACCACCATCGCTGCCTTCAGAAAATTTCCGTTTCTTAGAACTTTTTACTGTTGCGTCAGCACTAGAATCGTATCGACTTGTGGTGCTGCAATGCACATAAAAAATGGGAAATCTTGAAACCTGATGAACTCGGAAAAACTGAGAAATGAAATAATTATTGATATAAACTTTATAAGAAACATGCTGGATGAAATATATCTTGGAAAAGAATAGAAAATATAGCTTGCAATACTGGATAATGAAAAACAACTAAATTACCTTTTATATGTATAACTGTCATGTTGAGTAGGTTTCCCTGTTATTCTCTTTGGTCCTCGTTCCTGCTCCATTCTAATAAATGTTTCAATATAAGCTCGACTTTTTTCTCCAGGCTCAGTTCCCAATGACTCATCCGCAAGTGCATCGATTCGAGTTGCTAGCGATACTTTTGCTGCCAATTTACGAGCTACCTAATAGTTAGCTTAGAATAAAAACCAATCAACAACGCAGTTAAACATTTCATTCATAAAAAAAAATATATAATTGCTGTTACCTTGCCCTTGATTTTTATATTAGCTTGACCAATAAGATGGGCATGGTAAATGAGGCCGTATTTAGGAGTATCTCGTTTCGTTTTCAGCGCTCGAAAAAGTGCTTTTTCTGCTCCCAGTATTTGCACTGTCGATGCTGGGTATTTCGCAAGACTCACCAGTGATCCGGCATGAGAAATTAACCTGGCACCAACCAATTCACCAAGTAAAATAGTAAGATTCGGTGCAAGCACCATCATTCGATTCTTCAAGTAATCTGCCAACTCGGAACGATAATTTGTCAATTCAATAATCTAAAAAAGCAATTATTATCAAAAACATTTTCATACCAAGTTCAAAGAAATGTTTGGTCAACTATTCTATTTGTTTCATGACGAATAATTTCACTAATTCACAATGAATCTCAAATTTACCTGTTCGCATAATCCTTTTATGTGCAAAGTATCTGACTCGGATATATCGGTTCCCATACTAATTTCTGCTTCCTGTTTAACACGTGCTTCCAACTCTGGTGGCAATATATCAGATAAATCACAATTTGTAGCATTTGATCTCATTCCCATAGTTTTCACAGTCTAAACAAAAATGAGACTACAGAAATCACACAACATTCCGGATTAAAAAGTTGCTGCTGCCAGAGGTCTATTTACAAACCTTTATATACGTCTGGTGCTCTTGAATTATTTTACTCAATTCTGGAAAATGCCAACCGTACCACTCTCGACATCTAAAGCAGATTGTTACGCAAAAATGTTACGCGAAAATTAATGTCAAAATACTAAGCAAAAAGCAAATTTTTTTTATGGAGTTGTCTGCAGTACTCTGGTACATAATAAATCAAACCTCATCACGTAATTGTTAATTTCTTTATCGAGATCATCAAGTAAAGACACTGCCTGCACAATCATCGTATCAATTTTCTCGGGATTAAATTTAACCTGAAAAGCTTTAATTTTAGAGACAGCTGAAAAACATTCTGTCAGTTTTCTTGAGTCATCTGCATCTGATACAAAGCACTTCTTGTCGAAAAAATTAAAAAAAAAAATCGATTCAATCCTACAATCATAAATAGATTTAGTGAACTTCATATATCACTTCCGGTCAGTAGCAAGTTAGCACTACATATATACATATATATATATATATCTTTACTTTATAACGACCCAACGAATGAGCCACAGCGAGATTCATAGAGTGTAGCTCTTGTTTGTGTTCATTTAATAAACTGTCCAAGTTTGCACGAATACTACGCATAAGTTCCTGAGTCGCTGTATTATAAACACAAGATACATCGAATTTTTCCTAGAAATACACGCTTTCATTATATACTAAATGCTTCCTTCCATTTTTGATAAAGATGATACCTTTACCTCGAAATACCTACAAGAGACATCGATGAAACTGATCACAATGAGGCCACATTGTTTTTCTTCAAAGCAAAATGTCTTCACCATAACTACGATTAGGCAAGGAACTGCTATTATAATGAAAGAATCAAAGTAATTATTGGCTGTATAAAAGTAGGTATGTAAAGAACTTTAAATGTTAAGAAGTCCGCGACCTCCGAAATATTTAACTGAATTCTATTTTCATTGAAAACACTAGAATTAATTAAAGGACTCACTTTGATCATATTTCCCAACTTCACCTCACCAACAGCAAGTTCTTCACCTTCGTGTAATTTTCCCTTCAGAGCTTTTTTCAGTGCCTTAGTTAACTTCCCTTCCGCCAGACGAGTAGCATTTTCTACTGCTTCTGCCGTATCCTTGAACTTTTTGAAAGAAATTAACTGCAACCTGAAGTTCAATATAAAGTTTAGTTCAATATAAAGTCTGTTCCAACATTACAATAAGTATTTAAAACCCGCAACGATTTGTTACTCTTTTTCTGCATTTGCAAGGAAAAACAAAAATGAGTTGAAAAAAAAAAACCAAAAGAAACCCTGAACAGTTATGTCGTGGTCTGGCAAACCATGATATATCTATCCCATTATGAACAACTTATCTAATTATACCTCACTTATCAACAGTAACTGCAAAACTCACATCCTTTGCGCCTTTTCTGGTGTTGAGCACTCATTCCAAATATTATCCACATTTTCCAATTTCTTTTCGTCCAACAACTGAAATATAAAGTAAATCTCAAAAAACGTTTGTGAATTCTCAGGACCACAATTCTAGCCTAACACTTTCAAATATGTCATACATGATAATCCTACTCTACTCAGTTTAAAATGTAACCTTGAACAAAGCATATCCTGCGGGTGTCTCAAATAGCACCAACATTCTTCACCTGCAATGAACAGTGCGATGTAGAAAGGCTACAATCATTAAGGCTACGTCAACGTAAGCACGTGCACACCCGAAATTAGCAATGCTTTTGCCTTCTTCCTCACGTCGCCCGACCTGTCCCATCATATCACTGCAGTTATGAAGAATTCCCAGCCAGCCGTGAAATATTGCCCGGCTCCTAGATTTGCAAAGTGTGCTTGCCGAACGGTAGCTGCGGTGAGTGGCAATGTGAGTCGATGCAAGCTCGGCAGAACAGTGCTTGTTGAGGAAGAGATCGGCTACAGTATTTGATCTCGTATTTTGACATTCTTCAGTGGATCCTGAACACTCAGAAGTGCATGATGTCAGTGCTTTGTCTTCATAACACTGAGAAATTCAGGAATGGACTTGCACCTTTTTAGGAGTACCTTATGAATAGTCAGACGGAAACGTCAAAAAGTAAACGTCAACTGGAATGTCTAAAGAAGGAAGTTGGGTCGAAACTGCGAATTTTTCCGGATTTTCCTAAGCCGGGGATCAAATTTGTGTAAGTCTTTCTCTTCTACTTTGTAAAAAAGTTCTAGAAGAATAAAATGTTAAATTGTGAGAATGTTTTTCGACATTACTGGCAGTTCTTCCATAATGTTACCGTAGTTTAAAATAGTCAATCTACACTGGCGCAAGGTAAGGAAGGTGTTAAAACTGCAGTGAGTAAGGGCCTTTATGGAAGGTTTTAATGACTACTTCATTTAATAAAATCTCATGACACTAATGATATCGCTTACTTACTTTTTATTCTTTTTATTGAATTAGGAGACTTGTTTACAGAGATGTGATGGTATTAATGCGCTATCCGCTACTGCTCGAAGAACTTTGTGCAACAGTAGCTCAACATGCCCGTGTTGAAATGCCTGTCACAATAGATGCAGTTGCTGGTTTGGAAGCTCGTGGTGAATACATTCATTTTCAACGTTTTCAAAAAACATTTCAACTGCTATACTCTAATTATGCACATATATTAATTTGCCCAAGTAAAGCTGGCAAATTTTTTTAAAGACCTACTTGCAAATAGTTGTTTGAGATGCAAGTGAATAAGCTGCCTAATAAAATTCAAACTTCTGTTGCTTGTGTGTTTTTGAACAGAATTTTTTATGTTTTGAATACTCAATGCAGGTTTCTTATTTGGTCCCCAAATCGCGATGATGTTGAAGGTGCCATTTGTTCCAATTAGAAAGAAAGGTAAACTACCAGGAAGAACACACAAAGAAGTCTATCAGAAAGAATATGGCGAAGTTGGTTGTTTTATTTCTTTTGAATTTCGCATATAAGTGGAAATTTAAAATATAATTATATCTGATTGTAATAAATAGCTTCGACGATTTATATTACTTTGAATTTTGTGATTGGATTTCAGAACCACTGCAATTAAGCTTAATTCGTCTTTTTAATTTATGAGGGTCGTAATATTTTTTTCATTTATCTACAGGATGTAATCGAGGTACAAGAAGATGCAATCAAGCAGGGTTCAAAGATATTGTTGGTGGATGATCTTTTAGCAACGGGTGGTAGTTTAAAAGCAGCCGTATCACTGGTTGAAAAGGCTGGTGGTGACGTAGCTGGAGCGTTCACATTAATCGAACTTGCTTACCTAGAACCACGAAAACATTTACCGGAACATATCCATATTCATTCTTTTATTACTTTGACTGAATAGAAGTCACCAACAGATAGATTACTTTATAACTAATTTTTCGACATTTCGTAGATTTAATTTTGATTGGCAAATATTGTTGTTATTATTTATTATTATATTATACATGTATGCATAAGATTTTTGTTCATTTTAAAATAAACATTTTTACAGTGGTGTCCTGTGATAGCACTACGGTTAAAGGGAAGATTTAAAAACCGTTCGAGGTATCTTGTAACATTGCTTTTATTAAGTTAAATGTAAAGGTGGTCACTGCAAAGCTTAAAACAGAAGCGAGTTTGATCGGGTGAGGAATGGCGTAGCAAAGTGGAGAAAAATGTTGTCGCTTGGTGAAAGTAATGAGCAGTCTCCTTATATGTTCTCTCATCTATTCCAGTATATATGGTAAAATACGGTAGTTCCGGATTGTCAACGAATTTAAGACTTTGCTTCCGTGTTCTGCCTTTAGGTATTGGGCACAATTGGAACAACATAATCAGATCCGAAGAATCAGAACTTTGTTATTTTATCTTTACGGCGGTTTAGGGGCCAAGAGTAATCAGTTCATCATTGGACATTTCAAAATAACTCTTTTGGTTCATAACCGGAAGCTTGAGATTGTTGAAGTGATTTCTTCGCTGTTTTCTGTTTATTATTGCTGGTACTGCGTCAGTGTTATTTATAATATGTCCATTAAATAGAAGATGACAGTGCGCTAAGACTTCAATTTTTCGAGAAATTTAGAAGGAATTTTAGTTTTTTCTTGCCAACCAAAAACGAAAGGTTTTGCTCCCATTTTTCCTAGTAAAAATAGGTCAGTTATTATTGCTTTTCTCTTTTATTCTATAAATTTTACTATACCACTAATTATTTCATTATATATATATATGTTGCTATTTCACAATATATTGTTTTTTGGATAGCGTCAAGGCGTTTCTATTTAAATATAACACCTCGCTTTTTCATGGTGCTCATTTCTATTTTTTTGATTTGGCGTCGGCAGTTATTTTGTCAAACTTCATATTTATTAGTTTGTGATTCTTCCGTACTTTATTCCTCTTAGCGTATGAATTATATTGTGATTTAAATCAGGTCCAGTCTTGGTTTCTAATTTAGTAGTAAAGTAATAAAAGTTCAATGCAAAAAGCTATTTTTGCAGTTTACTGATTTGATGGCTAAATACAAGGGATAAGTAGAAAAGATGATGAATTCAACTTGGTTGAAATTTATTCTTTTGATTGTGATGTTTGCTGTTACTTTTGGCGCGGGAATGGTGCCAGTAAAAGTACGTTGCTTTATTTATAAAACTTTTTATTTTGATTTCGTATTACTATATCGGAATGATGATTAGCTGTATAGATATAAAATAATTATTAAGCGTATTGCTGTTGTTTAGTTTGCAGGGAACAGTAAGCTTTGGGCCATCAGTGTTGTTGAAATGAACATAGTTTTTGAGATCACAAAAATTTTTGAATCAAAAAGAATTTGCCATCAGAAAAGTGAATTTGTAAAAGCAATAGGTTAGATAGTGACGGTGCTATTGTAAGTTTGGTAAAAGTTCTCAGAATTGGAAGAATTCTCAGTTTCGGACTATGGTCTCAGGAGATTTCAAAAGATTTCAGGTACTGAAAATTCTTCGGAAGCATGCAGCCTCAGCATCTACATCCGCGAAGCAGCGAAACGTCTCGTTAGTGCTGTGTTTACTTACTTGTTTTTCTGGTGGTGTTTTCTTCGCCACGTGTTTTTTACATCTCTTTCCGGAACTCACTGAGCATCTTCATGAGGTTATTTCGTCTGAATTGCATTTTTCATTTGAAAATGATATCATTTTGCAGTTACTCGAAACATGATCACGTGATTTAATAACTGTAAATTTGAAACTGAACTCCAAGCGTAATTTTTTCCAGGAATTTTCAGTTCGCTTGGAAACTTTCTTCTTTTCTGGATTCATTTTAAAATTCTATTCTTCAGATATAAAGAAGCAGTAGCTCGAAATTGATGTTAACTAATCACTGTCATTTGTTTAGATGAAAAAAGAATATGGGTTTTCTGTGTCATATCCCCTGGCTGAATTATTGTCGTGCATAGGATTTTTTCTCTTATTTTTTGTCGAAGAAGTCATTTTGCTTCTTTTACCCGGTGCTGGTCATTTACATGCTCCGACAGGTGCTCAAATTGCTGAAAGTTTCTGTGAACGGTGAGTTATTAGTAAAAAGGATTCTCAAACGGTTCATAGATTGTTGAACTATTCTAATTGGTTAGTTGCAACATCGCTCAATAAAGATAGAGCTTGCTTAATACTGGTAAAGTAACGATTTTGGATATTAAATGCTAAATTTATTGATGATTCTAAAGGTAATTGCTCCTTTTGTTTCATAAACATGATTTATTACGGAAGCAAGTATAATTGACTATAATGGTTAAATAATGAAATGTTGCTGTCCGGGAAGATTACACTCCATAGATCATGAATACATATATAGCACCTAGTTTAAATATTACGAAGTATCTGGTACTGAGTATTTTACTAAGATGATAAATATATATATAAAGTTTAAGTTAGGATTTTTGCCTCTGGCGTGAAGCTTAATAAAGATCGAGTAAAGTTAGAATTTGAAGTTTTTGGAAATAAAGTATGCATTCAATTCTATATTGCGTGAATGGCGCACCTTATTGTGCGTTGCTAGAAAAGAATTATTTTAATTTGTTTTCCGAAAATTTATAAATGCAAATGAAATGAATAGGCATAGCGTTGTTTAGGAAAATGATGAGTAAAAGACAAATTTGACGAGTGTCAAGCGATACTGTACAATTGAAAAGGGATGACTGATTCTACAAATTTTCTGAAAATAAATGTGAGGTGCTTGACTAATTTGCTAGTAGTCAGTAGGTGAGAGTCAATATGGCAAATACAGAAAGTAAGGGAAAAGTCAATATTTGATTCCGTAATTACTCAAATCTAATAGTTATTTCTTTTTTCATATGACATGACTTACCTCTATTGTGGGTATAAATAAAGGAGGTATAAATAAATTTTAATATTGAGTGATTTTGGATATCGTTAATGGCGATGGATTAGGAGCTGGTTGATTTGTAGTTCTCACAGTTTTTCAGTTTATTATTTAGTTTGAAAATATCGAAGCTTCAGAAACCATGACGTTGATCACTGTTGCCATGAAAGTGTTAATGTCGATGCTTCCTCGAAAACTTGCTTGTCATGTGGTCCTAAAGGTAATTTTTAAGCATCGACCAAATATTGACTGCTTTACAGCTTCTTGCATTCTGGAGGTTTTTCTCACACTTATTCATTTTTATGCTTTAGGATGGAAATAAACTTGTTCACATTACAGACGAGGACTCGTCTAGAAAAGGATTACTATGCACAATAAATTCATCTAATCGAGCACCAGCGGGTGGTCAGCGCGTTAACAAAGGATCTGATTATGGACATCCTGCAGAGTAAGTGTGATGCTTTGACAACGTTTTTTCAACATTTTTGTGGATTTTAGTTATTTTTTTATTTGTTATTCCGACATTTTTGCAAATGTTGCATGCAGTAAACTTATTATTGGTTGAGGGCCTGTTTTGTCCCTGTGCATCTGTGATGATTCGAATCTTTGCATGATATATTGAAGAAGAGGCATGATTTTTTGTATTTTTTTTTTGATTTTTCACCGTTTTTTGAACAAAAGCATGGATTTACAGCTTTTATCTCACTTTTTTTTCATATTGAAATTTAGTGGAAAAGACTCAACGCCTTTGCTCCAAAATTATGCATACAGTGGTGGATATGGTACTATGATCCGGAAATCTTGTGGTCAGGAATCATCAGATAAAGGAAAGTACTCATTTGCGGCTTATCCTTTAAATTTTTGCTACTTTAACATTTATTGATCGTTTTATAACTTCTTGCCTAATTTTCTTTTTATTTTCTTTTCACGTCACTGTTAAAATTGCATGAAGGTTTATACTGATTACTGTGTTTAATTATTTATATTCGTTAACAGTAGATATTTTTATTTTTTGATGTTATATGTTGAAGATTAACTACCTATCTCTTAAGCTTTATGTATTTTCATAATTTTTGTTGCTTATGGCATGAGTGAAGATATTTTACATACACGTCAAAAACTTCAGTCATGAGATTGATTCTAAAGAAGTGAATATTCGATATTTTCAAGTTACCTTATACATATTATTAGTCAAATAGAAAAAGCAAGAAATATTTGCTCTAAAGGTGACTTGTTTAGTTTGAAAGTAATGCATATTGGTCATAGTAGAATTCTTCGTTTTCATACTTTATTATGCTATTTCATACTAAGATGAAATTTATCAGTTTCATCTGAACAAATGTGCTGTTTGTATCCTATCTGTTCAAATACACACAGAGCTATTAAAACTTGCCGGATTATCTTTTTGATTATCCCTTATTTTCTTATAGGACATTGACATTGGCTGAACCAGAAGCATGTGAACGAAACTGCGATAGTGTTAAAGAAGATCCACCAATTTTGATGAAAAGTCGTCCTCATGCTCATAGCCATGGTGTACGTAGTATCACATTCGTCCTGGCAATATCGTTTCATTCAATCATTGAGGGTCTCGCTTTCGGTGTTCAGGTTTGGCAGTTTTGTTAGTTTGATAAGGAAACGTCTGAAAATATAACAGGAATATGGTCAGTTACTAAGAAAAAAGTGAACAAAAAACAGAAAAGTTGGGTAATACTAGCTGCAGTCGGAAAAAAATGGGATTTTAAACTTACATAACATTTTTTTTTTTGTTTTTATTTTAAATTTATCTCTTTTGTTTTCTTAATAGCTTTTTGTTTTTCTTAAATGCAAATTCCTACTATAAAAATTTTGTTTTCGATATATCGTCGTGTTTCAAATTATTGCAGACTGATAACGCTCGAATTGTGACACTGTTTATATCGTTAATGGTGCACAAAATCATTGTTGCATTTTCGGTTGGTCTGCAGTTGGGCCGCACTCACGCACATGCTTTAGGATGGGTGTGCCTTAGTATGGCCCTTTTTTCGATCATGTCACCTTTTGGCGGTTTTATTGGTACATTTGTTCAAAGCTCACAAATGGATACACAAGTGAAAGCTCTGACAATACTTACTTTTCAAGGAGTTGCTGTTGGTACATTCATTTATGTCACGTTTTTTGAGGTAAGATTCATATTTTTATTTAGAAGACTTGTTAGGAACATTTTTAATCTTGGCAACACCAAACAGTGATATCGAAAATCTGATTAATTCTGGGAGACGAATTATATCGAATAATAACAAACATTAAAAACCATTTCCAAGTGCTATGTGTTTTGCAGGTTTTGTTACACGAACGAGATAACGAGCATCCGAATCTTTTAAAACTTATTTTTATGTTGATAGGATTTGCATTGATTGGTGGGCTGCGGTTTTTTGACAATCATTCCCATGAACATTTTGATGGATCTCTTCAAAACCATGGAGCTCTTGTCATCACCTCAACCCCATAGTATCTCGTCCTTCAGAAAGCTGTTAATTCAATATTTGTTTTTAACCTCTGTAAATATTTCCACAGGGTAAAGACAGTACTTTTATTATCGTCGTGAAGTTGGGTCATTTTTGTGACTTAAATTTCTCGTTCAGTTTTCAATTTTACTTACAAATTCTACGCGATGAATTATGTATAGGGACACGAGACTTTGCAAATTCTTCAAAGAAGACTGTCCTTACAGATATGTTACACTATTCCCATTCATGACGCTCATCAGACTGTTTGGATTCACTAAGTCTATGTATCCAACATCTTCATGCATATATCTTCTTTCTTAATCTTGGAACTAAATAAAAACTATCAGTTATGGAACTGCAAGCTGAGATCTGAATCGCAAAATATTGTTGGCATCATTGAATGAATCTGATTAACACTTGCATATTTTATACATTGACTTTGATAATTATGGGAAGTTTTATTTCTTTTATCTCTTTTTCTTGGTATTAAATCTCACATTTTATGTAAGAAACTAGCAAAATCGTATCAGTCAGACTTGCACTGAGTAAAATATTTTAATCACTTGTGAAATGTTTTCATGATAGAATACTCTATGTAAAGAAATGAGGCAAAGAATTGCAAGAAATTTAAGCTAAGAACTGCCGCATTTTCATTCCGAATAATCTTTCGATTGCATAAAGTCAACTTCATATCTATCGTCAAAGATAAAGAAATTAGGATATATAATTCGCTTAGCTTTCATTGATACATTTATTTTTGACAAAAACCATGTAACGTTGATGAGTTTATCCGTCGTCAGAAAAATTTAATTGCGCAAAACTTGCAAATCATATCTAGAAATAATAAATTACAACGCTTACGCTTACTCTTTACAAACATTCGTCTACCGTTCAAATAGAAATTGATTTGGAATATAGGAAACCTGTAGATACAACTTTAATAGTGACATTTGGATCTCACGATTTCCATAAAAGGTAAACCCGAAATATGTTTAAAAATTCGCATTCATCGGCGAGTTAATAATATTTCCTTATCCAACTTTTATTAAAAAATCAGGTCTACATATCCAAAGTCATTGAGACATTATCTGTGACTCAACCTAAGGCGATATCAAATGATCTCAAAAAGCTATGTTTTTCATTTCTTGCATACTGAAACAATGGAATTTTATTGCATCAACTAAATTTGAGCGAGTGAACAAGCAGAAACAGTTGACATAAGTCTATTATAAACGGCGAAGTATAACCAACTTTAATGGTCCTTCCGGACGTGACCGAAGCGTCTTCGTTGCTTCCAAATAACTCATACCTCTTATATCTATACCATCAATTGTGATCACTTGGTCACCAATTTTTATACGACCGCTACGTGCTGCAGAACCGCCTAGAAGTGAGTTAAAATGAGTTAGGTAATTACTGACTAGGTAATCAGCGTTAGCTAAGTACTACAATTTAATGAAGGACATCGTTAAAAATTAAAATGTGACTTTCTAAGAAAAGCTAGAGACTATGCAAAGTTCTTTTTCTAACTAAAGCATGTACTTTCAAGCATATCGCTATTTCTACGATGAGTGATAACTTACCTTCAAAAATCCTTTTGATAATGATAGGCCGGTCGCCGAACACTGATCCACGACCACCATCAAGTGCCAAACCGACACCAAGATTACCTTTTGTGAGTATCACTTCTTCGGAATACGTTGAATAATTGAATAGATCAGGATCAGTAGTAGCTAACCAGAGGAAAAAATCCATTAAAAAAATTTTTTTAAAGAATTTATAGTTCGTTTTTTGCACATTTTTAATTCACTAATTACTACTAACTCGTACAACAAAAACAGATTGTGCTTTTAACTAAATATACTGAGAACATCTAAAATGATTTCACCAGTGGAAACAAATTTAGTAGGTTCAGCTGGCATGTCATTTGATTTTGTTTTCAGTCGTCCGAGTATAAAAACGACATGTTCAGTCCTTTGTTTGATTAAGGTTCGTGCCTCTGTGGCTGACATCTGGAACAAGAGTAAACTGATCCATTTATGTTATAAGAAATCAAATTCAAATATTCTGCAAGATCAATGCGCAAGAATTGCTTTTGTGTTCTAAACCCTTCTTTTTTTTTACATCGAAGATTTTAACTTTTCGATATCAAAAATTATAATGCGGAAGATAAGCAACAAGAAAAACCAACTGACCTGTTTTGTAGAGTGACCCTGCACGAAAAAAACACGATCACCCTTTTCGACGAGGTCGCTTCGATCCGCAATGCTACCCGATATCACTCTTTGCACCTGAACATATAAAAACCATTCTTCGACACCCCAGCACAATTAATTAATCGATTATTTAACCAATAACGAATACTCACGCTGATATATTGGTCACCGGAAGCTGCTGAACTCAGAATTACACCAATTGAACCTTCCGGATTATTTGCCGATCTTTTCAGTGTTACTTTGAAAATATCATAATTAGCAAATTTTTCATCCAACAAACTTTTGCATTCCATTAACTAAAATACTTTAACAATATTAAATGGATATTGCAAATAAAAACATTGTAGTTTCTATCAAAAAACAAGCACATTTCCTTAGAACTTTAAAACAGTAATTAAGTGAGGCAGTAAAGCAAACAAAAAACGTATTGTTTATCTTTCATAATGTTCTTTTTTGTTGGAATAATTCCACATTTGCGAAAATATGAAACAATCAATAAGAATTTAACAATAACGGAATCAATCAGATATTACCTCCGCTTCAGATGGCTTTCCTTGCTCATGTAATCCACTGCATGATGTTACCTCCTCCATTGCTTGAAATGCTGATTGTTCAGCTTTATCTACTTTAACTGACCTTCCAACTATGTCATCATCTGCCACATTATCGAAACATGACAAAGTAAGTCCTTCAATATTTCATTTTTTACTAAGTAGTGAAAATGCATGAAAACTGCACAGATATCAATTGTGCAATCCTCATTCTGACTAGTTCATCTTACAGTCGGAAGATTACATAAATGAACAAAGTTGTTTTTGAACCTTTCATAATTTCGAAAGAAGATTCCGTTTCTGATAGACAAGAATGCATTTTTGCATTCGGCTTTTGTTCCATCACGGATGTGTACATTTCTGGGGACTCTTTCCGTTCCGTTATAATCGAGGACTTTTTCTCAACTTTTTCAGATTGTCGGATAATATTCAAGGATTTTCCTGTTTTGATATTTTCTTCGACAATAGAGACAAATTTCTTTTCACCATTAGTATGAGATGCCAAGATCATTGGAAAAGATTCTGCATTCTGTAAAGAATTATTCTGATGCTGTGGACATGAAACATAGTATTGCTAAAGACGAAGAACATAATATAGTTTGAAGAGAGAGTATTACGAAGACTGTTCACAAATTGCTACAATTGATAACATAAGATGTGCATCTGCTAAAGACAAAAAATAAGAATATGAAATTTGTGATAAAAACAAATTATCGTAATGGTACTTATATAATGGCTCTTAATTAGGACTTGTGTCACTATTCCATTAACTAAAATTTGAATTCCCTTCTCGTGAATTTATCAGCTATGGTTGAGCTATTTTCTTTCCAATATCTTTTTAACTTAAAACTTTTCTAGTACTGTTCATTTTCTGTTTACTACTCCCTTCCATAAAACATGAGAGAAAGAACGTGCTACATATTAGCAATTTTCTAAACAAATTAGTTTTTTTCTAAACAATTAGATAAACAAATTACCTTTTCAAAGGATGCTCTCACTTTTGTAAACAAATTTTCGGCTCGCGAAACAGTTGCGTTCTCAGTAGTTGAAAATCTATTTCTGGAAGTTCCAACATAGGTCGCATTCCTTCCAGTAAATTTGTCGCTCATCACTCTACTGCCACGATACGGAATTTTTTTTGAGATCTGTAGATTCAGTGTTGTCCCTTTCGGAGCACCACTACTACTGCTTCTGATCGCAGTAGACTTCCTCGGATCAATAACACCTACGATGCCTTGAAATGTTTTCGGTGTTGGAACTGCACCATTATCGGCTTTTGTGAACTACAAAAATTTTTTGATCAGTCAAAAATCGGAGTAAAAATACCTGGCGGAAATAAGGAAGAAATTGTAATTTCAATCAGATTTTAGTCGAAAAGACCATCGCAATAGATCAATCATAGCTAAATAGATCAATTAGCAATATTAATAATTTCAAGTATAGGAAATCATTGCTCATAGCAGAATCACAGAGGATTTCAAACACAGTTAGCATCTTAGCGAGCCAATCTAATCCACTGACTTAAACAGTTGGCTCAGTTATAATTATAAAAATAAAATGGAAACAAAAACTACCTTTTCAATAAGTTTATCAAATGGAACTGGCTTATCGTCTCTGGTACGCCGCGGAGCAAGTGGCACTGCCGGTTTTTCGAATTTTTCATTTGATGATTTCGCAGTTTGCAATTCTTTAATGGATGATGTTCTGTCAATTTCACGAGAGTGTTCCCGTTTCTTCGATACAGTAGAATTTTCGCGCGTGAAAGGGATTGATTTGGTAGAGACGATTGAGCCAAACTTCTCAAACTCAGCTGCAGCAAACTTTTCTGAAACAGAAAAGTTTGCTGCAGCTGTTCTTTTTGAATGACACATCTATTATATATATACCAGCTACTTATTGCTTATATCTTAGCTGGTCATTCATCAAGTGATTTGAAGTTCTTGAAGTAGCTGTTTGCACATAATGAAAAATTGGACTTTTTTGCAGTTGAAGGAATCATTTCTGATCATCTCAAGCAAGAATTAAGTTCCAAAGAACCAAATTTCGGCTGCCGAAAACTAAGATAAAAAAAATAAGATTATTAAAATAAGATTATTTAAGAAAAATAAGATTATTCAATATCGTTCTCAAATTCTTCTGAAAGAAGACCATCGTAGATGGTAGAGAGATATTTTCCACAAATTATTCACTAGATAAATGAAGAATAATGGAAGTTTGGGGAACATTTGAATCAGTTATTTGCCATGTAAAAACATCAAAAAACAAACCGCTACCATTACCATTTGTTAATGAATCAGACTTCTGAGAAATAATCCGGCTAAGTTTTGTAGCAGGTACAAATGAAACGAAGTGACTTTTCTTGACATCCGAGTGTGTTTCTGATTCCGAACTATTTCCGTATTTCACAGCAGAATTTTTGAATGACTCTAGGTTTTCATTATAAGCAATACATTTCTCGATTTTCACCACCTGATTTTCTGGTTTTTGTTGTGAAACCATCTCAAATTCTACGTCACGAAACAGAATCTGAAGTGGAGGTCCTTCCAGGTTAGTGTCACAACTTTCTTGATCATTTCCCGAGACAATTTTAAAAAGAAAAAGTTCTGGCACTGTTATTTCTTGAGCCCTCATAAGCGACTGTTCAGGTGAAGCATTCCTTGATTCCACAGATATATTATGAGGCAACGATTCAGTAACAGAATCAGACGACATGTGGTATCTGGAAAGCAAAAAGATTTGATGAAATTGATTAATAGAGAAAAGAAAAAAATCACTCTGCTAAACTGGAATTTTGAACTGATTCGAGTTAAATCAATAAAGAAACCAAGTGTGTGGTGGCAAAAATTTCAATGGATTTTCAATTAATCAAGTCTTGAAATTGGAAGAATTTAAATTGAATTAAAATATTTTTAAATATGAATAAAAGAATTTATTGCTGAGCAATTTTTGTTCAGAATATTCAAGAAAGTAAATATTCCTAACAATTTATTATACAAATAAGATTTACATTTTGTAGGCTGATAAGTGCTTCATGGTAACTCCATCATCGTGTTGTTTTCCAATTTTATGTTGCTTATCTGTGTCCAACGTTTCCACTGTTTCCTTTGCCTCAGATGAATTATCACACAGTAACTTTGCTGTAGGAAGATTTGTTGATTTTGTAAGAAAGTTCTCTGATTTGTTAACTATCCGTGGATAGCAATGGCAATTCGAAATTTGTGCTTCAGTGTGTAAATTTTCCTGGAATTTTGAACAGAGGTCATTCGGCGATTCTTTTATGGATGCTTTCGACTTTTCGCCTTCCTGCTCATTCATGTACGTCTTATTTTTTTGCATCTTACTTTTCAAACAAGCATATTTATAACTCTTCTGTACCGAAGTTTCCTGCACTGATCGATTTGAATTTAATATTCCACTGGATGAAAGAATATTGAAAGGAGCTGTTACATTATTTGATTCTTCACGTGCTGGGGTTTCTGCAAGCGTAGTTGAATAAGCAGGTTGATGCTGCTGCTCTTGTTGAAAAGTGCATGCAGGAAATGTTGCGAGAGTATGATGTTCATTCAGATAAGATTGTTGCGAGGTTTCTGGATGAATTGCGGGATTCGAAGAAACACTCATATTCATAAACGACGGTGATATTGGTTGTCTGGAAGGCGTTATTAGCGGAGCAGAGATTGATGGAACGGAACATGTCTCTTCATCTCCTGTTGGCAGATGAAGCGTAGCGTTAAGAAAGTTCGGTCGACTGAAAAAAATAAGTTATGGAAAGAATTTGCTAATGCAGTTTGAAAGTAGATGAGACAACAACAAGTAAACACGATAGGGCATAGCTTCTGCTGCCTTGACAAACGTCTTTTCTACAATATAACACGCTTGATCGACCGCTTAGTAAGATGCGGTCGATAACGTTATCTTGGTTCCGGTAAAACTCGGAGTCGATCTTATGTCAGTTTTGACTTCCACTAGATTCTTTATAAACATTTCAAAGAAATACTTGGCGGCGAAACGTCGATCGAATTCATCGAACAATGGACTGGAACAATCTGGGTCAGAAGCAAATACGCTAACATAAGTTGGCTTGTGTTTGATATTTCCACGACTTCGGGACATAGTTCGTTGTGCTTTAGATTGCTGATGCTGTTGTAACTGATCACTGTGAAATTCGGAATCGTTACTGCTTGGTGAATGATTACTAATTGTTTTGAATACCATACCAGTAATATTACCATTGTTATCATTGTTATTGCCATTCACAGATGATATGGTTGTATCTAATTCTAAAGCCATTTTACTACCTGCAAGTTTTTCATTTTGAAAAGATTTTGCGCTCAAAACAAATTTAGCTTATTCATGAATGCAGCGGAAATAGCACTGCCAAAGTAGAAGTAATACATCGCTCGAAAGGGGAAACAAGCTATTAAAGAGATAGGCCAAAGCTATTGTAACATATTACAAATATCCAAGGACAAATATCACCATAGCAGTGCAAACAAAATTGCCAATCACACAATCTTATCGTAAGTAGTGCTCATAACATATAAGCACCTTTAATTAATCAGATTAAGATTTTAAGAATGAAATACAACCAGTTGATAATCTCAGGAAAAGATTTCAGCTTTTTTGACAACACAGAATCTTATCTAAAGAAGCCCTCTGGTAGTGAATGAAGACGGAAAGAAGAAGGACAACAATAACTAATATAAAGCCTCCTGCAACAGTCGCTGATACAAGAAATTAGATGTGTTAGTCTCGAAGAGGAAATTTTTTAGATATTTCAAATGGTTTCGATTTGAAATGAAGGAATTTCAATCCCGAGTACTGCTATACAACAGTAGCTATTCTTACCGTCTATATTAGAACTATTTAAAAAACACAACTTTACTTCCAAGAAAAACATAACTATCGAAATGTGAGCACAAAGAGAAACTAGAAAAGCTACATGGGATAGATACACACTGTTGCAAAAGGTATTTTATTACGATGGAATCATAAAACACGATTGTTATTCGATTATCTAGCTTTATGTCCCAATTCGAATACTAATTTACCTATATATAATTTCAAAGTCTACCCACTAATTTCTTGAATCAATCTTGCAGTAAGGAAATATTTTCCAATTTTTCCAATTATAAATATCCATGAAAGAATGGATGAGCATTGCGAAGTGAAACATGAGCAATTGGATGATTGAAAGGTTTCCAAAAGTAAACAGGATAAGCAGGACTAAATGCTTTTTTCAAGGGTATGAAAATGAATTTATCCATAACAAACATACAAATAATCCCTTTTTCCTTCCTTCACAATTCTCATTTCTCACGTGGGTCACGTGTGGAACAAATAAACGAATTTGAGTGCTGAGTTTTATAAAACATCTCATCTGCAAGATAACGAAAGTAGTGATGGTAATTATGAAAATAATTCACTAAAAATGTTGTAGTAATTTAAAATGGGAAAAGGAAAGTAGGTTAGAGAATAATAAGTCTGTTTATAAGTATATTTCAACTTAATTCAGTTTAACTAATAATAATGTACTTACATATTAAGCAAAACAAAAAAATGAAAAAAATGAAGCTAGATCGAAGCTGAAAAAAAAAAGGTTAAATTCAGCATTCCAAACTCGCATGATTCTGAAAGTTCAATCTCTCCAATTATAGTTATTTTAGATAGAAATCAGTCAGAACAAATATAATCAGCTCAGAGCTGAGCCATTGTTAAGTTTTCTAATTATTAATTTATTAAGTTTTTCATACAATAATGTCTTATAATACAAATTTTTAGAGTTTTATAGTGCAGAGGTTGACCGATGAATCTTCAATAGATAATTATTTTGTCATCACAGATACGAGGAACGACCGAACGTTAACTTTCAGATGTTTGTATTTCATTTTGAAATCACTTAAGTGAGGTGCATATTATAACTTTCCAAGCCGAGCAGCTTTGAAAATAAATCACTGATTGATTTATTGCTTTACGTCAAGCGTCTGTTTACTCTTATTTTATTAGCATTTAAAGAATATTAACATAGAATTTTCACGCAGTATAGAAACTAACGTCAGCAGCTATTAGAATTAGATTTTCAGGTAGAAGTACTAAATGCTAATCAAGACAGAAATAATCATCCAGTCCTGAAATGGAACGTAATACATAATTAATGTCGGCATCTCGGTCAGAATCGCATATTTGATGTTTAGTAAGTATTTGTAATTGATCTTAGTCTTCATTACAAACAAATAGTCAAATCTTTAATCTTAGAAAACCCTATTGTATGGAAGAACGAGTTTAATTACAAATTAGCTGATAAGATAAAGTGCACTTGAAGACGAAATAATCCGCGGATAACGAGAAGACATGAGAGGATGTAAATTGAATTGAATAAGTTGATAGAAGAGATGAATAAGCAGAATGCTGGAAGATGCAAGACAGTATTCAGTAGAAAAGCTTTTTCCTTTTTCCTCTTTCTTCCCTTCCTCTCTCTCTCTCTCTCTCCAAGAAAAAGAAAGAAAAGAAAAGGATGGATGGATGGATGGATGGGTAGATGTTTTGGTGATCGAATGTTAGCAAAGTGAGTCATTCATTTGTTCATTGGGAAAAGTGATGACTGAAAATGATGAAATAGTTTTTGTAGCCTTTGAATAACGAAATATCCGCGACCTCTGTCACCTTGTCATCTTGTTTGATCTTCATCTCTCCGCATCAGGTAAACATTCTGCTCATTCTGTTACAGCGAAAAAAAAATCTCGACTTTTCCATCAGTTTCTGAAGTACTTTTCATGCTAAGAAGAAAAACAAAAGAGAAATACAAATAAACCAGAAAAAAATATCAATGAAATCGATAACTCAAACATAAATAACTCTGTAAAAGAATTCATCTTCAAAAAATCATGAAAACTTTAGAACAATTAGGGAGATTTGTCATCAAAAAATTCTCCTGCCGAATCAGTTGACAGCTGAACCAAATACTTCTAGTGCGATTTATTTAACATACGATAGTCTCCATGTAAATCAAAAAAATCTCCTATGGCTGAGGGATTTTAAATAATCTGAATCCTGAAGAATTCAAAACAGTAAAACTTAAATTTCAAATCAACTCTTGCATCAATTAATCGAGTCCTTTCTCCTATCTCCAAGAGTTTGGTAAATAGGTCTCAGATACCTCTCACTTTTTTATAATTTCTTTTAATCCTTCTTTTCAGAAACCTAAAATCCAAACTCAGTACATCTATTCGGCAAAGGATTATTTTCACAAGGCTCCACGAACATAAAATTTCTCAGGATCATGGTAACATTTCAAACTCGGTCAATCCTTCGCTCTTAACTAAGACATTAATATTTAACTTTAATTAACATTTCATTAAAGTAAACTCATGCAGGAAAAACCCACTAGCAGCTACAGCATTTAAGACAAGTTTTCTAGAAAAATGAGATGAATTTTTTCCGAACGATGAAAAGTGAAGTTTAAGGGTTCTCCTTATTTAGTAAGCAATTGCAATTGCAGTTTACTTTTTTGAATTTTTCTACTGAAGTTCCTTACTCCACAAGCTATTATTTTTGACAAATTCAGCCAGAATAAAAAATAATATCATGAGAGAAAGGAATAAAATCGTTAGAAAAGCAAGCAGTTAAGTTCAGAAAAAAAGCATTGCAATCCCATGAAAATGCATATTTTTTCAATTCAATAGTATTCACTGGGAATTTGTCAGTGAGAAATGTGACGATAACGACAATGACGATAATAACCATTGCATAATGATAATGTCAGGTGAGATGCTACTGCATGGCCTTTATCAACATTCCTCATTCTTTGTATGTTAGAGGCAAAGGAAGATGAAGGAGAAAAAAATCAAAGATTGTAATCAAATAGATGCATGGTTTAATTTGACATGTTTGAATGAGTCACATCACCATTTTTGAATGATAAAATTTAAAAAATTTTTCCACACACAAACGGAAAAAGCTTACAGAATCAGAAAATCAAAGAAAGCTATAGTATTTGCCTCTTAAAGGACTGTTTTGATATCATTTTCTGCTGTTCACATAATATTCAAAACAAACTTTCGGATTCCTTTCGTCTCAATTCGTCACTTTGTAGAAGAATTACAAGTACCGACTGTCTTGTCAAAACTTTCAATCAAAACTACTGTGATAGATCAGAATACAGTGAAGTAGGATACTTCAGGAAGCACTGATAAAAAATATAGACATAACTCTCCAAATCTTAGAACATTTTTAATGGTAGAGCTAAAAGATGAAAAAGAATATGGAGATTAGAAAATGAGTGAAATTAATATGAAATAAGATACCTCATTAAGGCTTGATAACTGGAAGAAAGGGTATGAGACAGAAGCGACCCGAAATTAACAAATTAATGCGGATTTTTGGTAGTAAGATAATGTAAATGCAGACGATAATGACGTCATCCTTCAAGTTATGAAGAAAATTCTAACAAAATTTCAAATGCAAAAATTGGATGCACCATGAAATTTGCATTTGAATGCTCAGAATTTGACAATTCATGCGAAGGAAAGAAAGAGGGAGAGAAGTCTTAAAATTCCGAAAATTATTCTGTTCGAATTTAGATTATTACAATAATCTAGAATTTGACACAGTGATGACAAAAACTTCATCAGATCTGAATTAAATTGGATCCGAAATGCCAGAAACTTATTTCAATACAGCTAATAAGCCTAACGGAATTAGCTGAAGGAAACTATCACATACGTCAATGGACTAACAGAATAACAGAGTTATTGATAAGACGAATAGTCTAAATGTTTAAGCTTAACTTTCTCAATTGCAGTTTAACATAAAGGTTCAAGATAATTAATTCATTATTTATCATGGAAAGAAGAGTTGGTTAATATTAAGACCCCTAGCTACCCTAGTCCCAGGATAACTTCAGGTGAGCTGAGAAATGTCTTCTGAAATTTCCAGATCTGTATTCTCATATCTTTTGACTTATTCCAGAAAATGCCACTTCCAACCTACGACGAAGTGATTGGTTAACTTCACCAAAACTTGAGGCATTTGACAATAATCTCTTATTGATTAAACCGTTTGAATATAAAATAGCATATTTCATTAATGGAATTGTGTCATATTTGACATTTGCTTTTTTTTTTTCTTTTTTAAATCTTTTTTCCCTAAATTAATAATTTAAAATTAAACATAAAGTTTTTCTTGAAGTTTCAATCTCAATTGATCGAATAGATACTATTATAAAGTAAATGAAGAATTGAGATCGACAAAAAGTAGACTTAACAAAAGAAGAAATGAAATATAGAAAATGAGTTCTTATTACAAATAAGAAGTATGATAAACATTCCTTTAATACTTTACATTGATCCCTGTCTGTAACGAACAAAGATATCTGGTTTAATAGTCAAGAGGGTAGAGGTGTGAAAAAAGTCAATAGTTCTTTAGGTGGCATTCAAATGAAAATAATTTTGACCCATTACTAAACTTTCACAACTTTATATATAATAACAATGTAAATGAATTCTAGTGCATAGAAGTTCTCTAATCTTTCAAAATATCCGGAAAATTTCTCGATTATAGAAATGAATATTTAGAAAGAAATACAGAAGTTGGAAATCATTAATTAGAAAAACGAACAATTCCATATAGGGCATAAAACACAAAAAGACGCCTTTGGTTGAAACTAAGGAAAACAATGGAGCCAAGAAGAAATGCTTGGAAAATGAAGAAACGGAAGAAAAACATTTTCTTCTTCCACAACGTCAAGGACGTACGAATAGAAGGGAATAAAAAAGCAAAACGGAGCGAAACAAGTATAAGGAAACAGAGAACAAATAATTTAATAATAATAACAATAGTAGTGATAATAATATTATAGTAAATAACAATAAATAAATAACAGTAAATAATAATCAATAATTAGTAATAATAATAATAAATTAACATTTTTAATTATTAGGTTCTTGCAAAGTAATCGAACAATTCACCTACGTTCGACTTTTTCACATTAAACATTGACGACGATATTTTCATTGCTTTACTGCTTGAGAAGCCTCTAATACCAGTTATCAAAAAATTCTTTATTCACTTCTCATGGATTCTTCAGAATTTCTGGCTATGAACACAATTCAGACCTTCTTCCACAACTTTTTATAAGCTTATCGCAGATCATTATGCAAAAAAAAAAATGCAGAACGAATGAAACTAAAGCAGAGATGAGGACTGCAGTTGGACACTATCAGTCTTCCGAATAACTCTTAATGAATAGGTTGACCTTTGGCTGATCAAAATGAATAAATTTCTTTTCTCCTTTATCTTCTATCCACACATGCATTTGTAGAAATACGTGCACAATAGTAGTTTATGAAATCCTCATCATGAATATTTATTATAATTTGGCATAAGGCAACATGATGCTTTGATAAATAAATAAAAATTTTTGATAAAAAAGTGACTTAAGATATATATGCCAACCAATACCTTCCCATCATGCGAAAATATTCCGTCTGATCTAAGTTGTTAACTAGCATACTACACGTGATTCTCCACGTCATGGAAGTTATTTCAGCTTTCTGAATTTTCTTGACCATAAAAATTATGACAATACGCTGCAACTGATTGATGATCACATGTGAAATTTATAAACGAATGAAGACTGCATTTTGAAAAAATAACCTTTCTGTAAGGAGAAAATTTGAGATCCATTGGTGATCATGCAACGATTACTTCTATTCTGTGGAGATGATGAACTGAAAAAAAAAACAATTAAATTTAGTAATTCTGACATAAATATTTGTGTGAATTTCTCACATAATTTTTAACAATTCATTAAATTTTAGTACAATAACCGTACACTGATTCTTCTCCACGATACTATCTACAAAAATTTATCATCTCTGGGCGTATATATTATCAAGTCAACTACTCTAAATAAATTAAACTGTTGAAAAGCTAACTAACGTATTTTGCCGACTAACAACCATAGTGACGCTCATTGCTGGCTGCTGCAAAAGTGACAAACATTGAATTCGAGTGCACTGATGGACATCGGTGCCAGCAACACTCCATACTCGATCACCAACTTGCAAGCCACTTCGAGAAGCAATAGAATATGGGTCAACTTGTTCTATACGCACACAGATCACTCTATAAGGAAATTTCCGTAAATCAGTACTTCTATTCAAGCTCATTTTAAAAAGTTAAAATGACTTCCTGAGCTAAAATGCTGCTTCAATATGAATTTAATACTGTGAAAGGATTGCTGGTCACTGAAAAGATTTCATGAATAGTATTAATAAAATGAATCTGACAACAGGATAAAGCTTATGTATCAAGTATCGAGGTGATGAAGCATTAAATTATATTTTCAGCATTGTAACATAAAAATTTCGATTGTTACGTAAATCCTATATGGATCACCTTAAATAATAACCAATCAAAAATAATAAACAGTATATCTAAATATAAGAATGGGCTTAGAAGTTTCAGCTTTACAATTCTCGCGGCTTATGTGGTATTTCAACTAATTCAAGTACTAAACAGATATATAACATGCATAAGCTAATTCACATCCCTTCAAAGAGAAATATAAATCGTCACATACAGAAATAAACAAATAAAATTTTACTTGTTATTATTATCATCGCTCTCAATGGCGATCCCAAGACCGAGGCGTTCTGATGGCGCAGATCGTCGAAGAATAATTTCCTTGCGCATCAGCTCGTGCTTAATGCCGAGTACACGCTTTGCGCTTACAAAAGCATTCTGCAATTTGCATAATTACGTGAATAATTGATGAAGACAATAACCAAACAATCAATATTTGATTATCATCGAATTATTAGTGTGCTACTACACTTCATTGACTACTGACTGTTTAAAAAGCTTGTACATGAAGTTATCATCCAAGAAAAAATTAAGAAGCACTTAAAAATTGTTCAGAAACCAATTATGGAAGAATGACAGGAAATATATGAAGCAATAAGCGTATGAAATTCGATGCTAAAATCTTTGAATTCTAAAATTTAATACAATTTAAACTGCTTTGCTGTGACCACTTCATTCAAATTTCAAAAGTGATAAAATGAAAAAAAAAAAAAAAAACAAGAAATAAACCTTTAAATACAAGATAAACCAAAAAATGAGGTAAATAGGTGAACAGATGTTGTCCAAATTGACATTTCAAGTGTGTAAGTGCATCAAATACCAATATAACTACACGGTTATATCTTACGATAAAATTAATTAATAATAATCAGTTGACCGGAAACCACTGGGAATGCAACTAAGGCAGAACGGATAAGTAAATAAGAAAATAGAAATTAAAAATCACGTTTCAGTGGTATAAGACTCTATTTTGGGTTTACTCTACTGTGTACTGCAAAATTGGGAGTGAACATAAATCACATTTAATCGAAATTAGTCAAACTCAAGTTCCTAACCAAACAAATGCTAAATTCACTTTCTCGATACGTTAGAAAGAGACAATGATGAAGGTAGTTGCCATAGTCTCATCCCTACATACCTTACGTGTTACTCTATCACCACGTGATTTATGATGTACTACGTAAGACGCTTAGGACTTAAACACAGTAATACATGCTTCACCATTAAGCCAGTTGTAATAGAATGAACGGACATTTTACGTTTACTTCAATTGGCAGACTACATGACATGAGAAAATCAGTTGTCTGCTTGCGCACATGTACTTTTGTAATGGGAATCATACTAATCCCTTTAAATTTATAATAGGAATCAGGAAAAGTAATTTTTTTTTTTTTGAAAAATCCGAAATCCCAGAAATTTTAGCAGACTGAAAAAAATACATGTTGATTTTAAAATGGAAATTTGTACAGCGTGATAGAGAAGACGTCAATTTCTGAAGCCAACCTACCAATACATCAATTTTTGAAGGCCATATGGAACAAAGCAATGTAGAAATTTTAAGGACAGTCTACCTGTTTATTACCCTCAAAAATTAAAATTGAAATTCCTTAGCGCTGGAAATTTCTGGAACATAGCAATGCATTAAAAATCTTGTCTGAAATTCTTCAGTAGCAACATTCATTTCATAACTTTTAAATTGAGAAATGACACATAGGCATTGCTGATTGTTAGTGAATCCGACGAATACTCTATCACTTATTTCCTCAACACTTAGTGCCAGAGGAAGAGAATCAAGCAGTTGTCAAAAAAATCATCAAAAGGTCAGTTAACAGTAGATCTCAAAAGGTTATGACTGAGATCTAATACATCTGCAATGTGCTTACTGCCTTTTAAAGGATAAAAGGCTTTAACTCAATCTCGAGTTAAAGCCTTCTACGGGCCTTTTAAAGTTTGATTACAACAGGTTCTACAAGCTAAAGTACTACTAAAATACTAGACTTTAACTCTTTAACTCGAGATTAATCTAATATTGCATTCGACAAAACATACACCATAAATTTTGAGCAAAACTGAGTTTTGTAACCCCAATGTTCGATCCATATTTACAGATCAGAAGAACACTTTTTTACCAAAAAAAAAAAAAAAAAAAAAAAAACAAGGGAAAGTAAACTGTCATAACATGAGTCAAAAAAGGAAGTCAGTAGGAAAGAAAATGAAAAAAAAATAAATGAATATTACTAATACTGAATGCGTCCTCCGCATTCATATGGCATTATAAAGCCTCACAACTCAGCTTTGTAAGGGTATTAAAAGTTAATTAAGTAATTGAAAGTTTAGCAAGGTTTCGGGGATATTACAACAGAAAACTATATGTCAAATGTTTATCGACTGATCTTCTTATATGGTATAAATTGCAGGTGGAACTAATTTCGTCCGTATTTGATATCTGCCACAATGATTTCTCACTTTTTTAAAAGCAGTTATGAAGAAAAATAAAATATAAATGGGTATGAGAAGTAGCTAGGAGAGAAATGACCAAAGAAATGGCAATGAAGTTCTTTTGAATAATTCAATGTCATTGTGTTGTCATTTAACCGAGACATTGTGTGCGCTATATATAATTTGTAGCGAAAATATCAAGGCCTAATTTTTAATGAAACTTGGAAGAAATTTGGAAACAGATCTTAAAAAGTACCTCTTTTCAGCCTTCCCTCTTCACTCGAAATGTCATCAGAATGAAATCAAGTAAAAGTCGAATAAAGGTAATTAACAGAAAAGTTGCCAAATAAATGTAGACAAAAAGTGAAGTGATGTGCAGGGAAATGATCTACTCTTCCTATGGTTCTTAAAAGTAAGCTTCTAACTGATTATAGTATGCTTAAGGCTTAAGCAGTTAACTATCTTACACTTAATTCCATCAGTCTTGAAAAATGGATAAAAAGAAGCCGATCGTCTAAGGGAAAAGCGAAATTGAAGAAAATGATAAGCGACGAGAACGAATATAATTATATGGTAGGAGTACAGCACTGCATTGCACTTCGTGACACCAGATGCAAATTAATGCTTTCTCCGAAACTCACTCTCCTCGGACAATATGATGAATCTAGATTTTTGGAAGCTTTTTTTCAAAGACGGGACGGCTATGCTTTAACAAAGTCCCTGATCAACAGCTGGATTTATTATTATACACCAGAATTATAACTATGGAAGTTGAAAGATAATCAGGAGACATATTGTCGAATAAAAAAGTGCACCTTGAATCGGAAAATCCTTACAGAAATATACATTTCAAGCTAATGTCTAAATTTCTGAAGTCTGTCCTTTAATATGAAGCTGCACAAGCGAAATACAAATTTCCCTGCTACACTTCACAGAAATACAATCCACTTACCGCACCGAGACTATCATGCATTTTTAGTCGTTCACTTTGAACCAGAATCGCAGATCTGCGGCATGCAGTACTTGCTGATGTTGTTGCTGCTGTTATTAATGATCCATCTACAATGCATTTCTTTGCACCTTCATACCTACTACCGTTGGCCATCCTGAAAAACCTTTCTTTTTCTCTTATAATTATTCCATTAAAAGAATACGAATAAATATTCTTAGTATAATAGATCATGAGTGAAAATGACGGTAAAATGTCGAAAGGTTAGCAAATAACCGGAAGTAAACAAACAGTGGATGAATCAGAAATGACGAAAACATTTTTTGTAGTTTTGTAGACCATTTTGAAGATGTACTATTAATCTATAAGTGAACAGAATTCATTAGAACAAACATTGCTTATTATTATATTAAGAATTTATTTTATTTTAATGGAATAATGCACTCTTCATTTCTAATTCATTTCTTCTGTTCATTACTTTGAATTAACTATTAATTGCAACTTTTGAGTGGAAGGATAGAACTAATATTTATTGGTTTGATATATAAGATAAGACAAGAATATTTTAAGCATAAATTTATGAACGAAATGACATAAGCTGTTCCAATACGCGAAGATTATTTTGGATTTCACAAAGTTATTTTAAAAACTCATATTTCCTTGCAGAGACTGGAAAAAGCAATTTTGATGGGTATTAAGTACAGTAAGAAAATAAAAGAAGCGGTTTTGACATAACTTCAACTTACTATACAAAAATTACGGATTTTAAAATCTTAAGTTCAAATTTTTGAGATTAAACAAAACAGAATAGTCGATGATTCATAATAATCATTGATCCTTAACTGTTCTACAAAAAGCTAACTTTGTTAATAATTTGGAATGTTAGCTTTTAAGTATAGAACTGGAGAATTCCGATCAATCAAGAACCTTAAAATTTAGAATTCTTTTGCACTTCAACTCTTAAATTTTATTGATGATTCCTTTACTCACTATGTATCTTTACGTGGTAACAAACATCACTGAAATGAAAGATCGTAAAAGATCCTGTCCTTGCTTCATACATCAGATTTTGATAAAATTCGTAAAATGCAGTACGTTAGTTTTTGATTTGTGAAGGTTCTTTTAGTACAATCGAGAATTCTGTTCTGTTTCGATGAATTCGGGATATTTCGACGAATGCAAAGAGTTACATCAATTTTTGTATTCTTCTTGAATATTTGCAACGCTTCCGAATGTGTCTTCCCACTCAACTCCACTCCATTAACGCTCAAAATTTCATCGCCTAAAATTTTTAAATGTCACAAAACTGACTCTTTAAATTAACTAGTTTTATTCTAAGTTTTTGGACTGGAATGCATGTTATAAGGAAAGTGCATGGAACTGCTTAAAAGCATAAATCCAGAAATAATAAGATTAATTACAATCTGTTAGTCATCAATCGGTTCGTTCCTATTGTAGATTTCCACCTTGACTAAATTAAAATTGAAATTCAGCACTTTTTCCAGTTAAAAAAGTTTGAAAGTCTACTCCTTAGAAATACGGTTTTTCTTCCGAAACTTAATGAACTTTTCAAATGAGTAGTAACAGGAGATTCAAGTAGATCATAAAAGTAATTGTTATAAAGAAGAAATACTCTAGACCGATTGATGTTCATTTAGCGGTATTCTCTAGTAATATTTATCTAGCTATAGAGGAAGTTCCCTAAAGAAGTCCACAAAAAGTATTGCACCTTTCCTTTTTTTGAGGAAAGGAAGAAGAAAAAATGACAAATATTTTCCGAAACTTTTAAAGTATTTAATGATTAAAATTTCTGTTCAATTCCATCCGATCGTACTTTTCTGCGACAAAACCAATTTTATTTACCTTTACAAACAAGGCCACTTTTGGCAGCCAGTCCATCGGCGAAGACAGTTTTAACAAAGATTCCCATGGGACCGCGCGGTGAATCGATGCCACCTACGATACTGAAACCCAATGGGTGTCTGGAGGGTTGCTGCTGTTGTGAACAATTTGAACTTGAAGATTTCGATGTATCCGCATTTCCGCGATACAGCACAATTGTTCGTATTCGACTGTTCATCACCTATCACTTTTTGAGGAATTTTAGTAATGAAAGCAAAGCTGTACGAAATCGAGTGTACCATTTGATTACAACTCAACAATTAACTTTGTATCAGTGTTTGTCCCATGCAGCTTATGCGCTTTACACTGAACAATGCATAAGTGAACAATTAAAAGAGAAAGGATTACTTTGATAAGTCATCTTTGTATAAAAGTTTAGCTTTGGATATTTAAAACTCGTGCATTGAATTCTCAAACACGTACAGTTTGTTTCCAACAACTTCAATTTCCTGCATAATCCAACTGCAGAAAATGATGTTAGCATTTAAATATACAACTGCTTTATTCAGTACTTGTAAAGAATTGTCACTAAGATTTCCCGGAAAGAATCCTCCTAAAATGATATGAGCTAATTAATGAGTCGATTTCGCTGTCACTATCAAATTGCACACCTAGTCTTTCCATCTTTTCATCTTGACAGAATATGGATAGCAGATCACTGAATAGGAAGAGGAAATGATTATGTTTAAGAAATATGACTTCACTAGATGTCATAGCGAAGATTCCTCTTATAACTAATTGTCACAATGCATTTCTTAAGTTTACATAGCATGCAGTAAAAGACCTAAGTTATCAACAGTATCTGATCATTGAACGCCTTCTGACAGAAATGAAATTTGAGTCAACTTATCACATAGCATTTTGCAAATGAAGTTTATCATAATTGCTATTATTCGGCTAGTAATCCTCCTAAAATATACTCTTCACAGTCTATGATGAAGTGAGTAAGACAGATTTCACGAAAAAAGTATGTGTACATATATATATATATATGATCTCATTATAAAATAAGGATTTCATATAAAATTATTGAATCACTGATAAATTAAGAAAGAAAGAAGTGAAATAAAAAGTTATTAATTTCAAGTATGACTTGAGGAAGAAATTATATTAATGTAAGGAGACGAAAGACATTCTCCAATAAGGAATATAAGAGATATTTGAATTCGAAAGAAACTGTTAGTTGATATACCGTTGAGGTATTGGTTAATAGGTAGAGAACGAAATAAATATAGCATTCTGATGGGAGAAGTGTCGTTAGCTAATGACAGTCATGTTCAGATTGTTTTTGAGAAAGAAGAAAGGAAAAGAATGTTGTGGCGGACGAGGGAGCGAGAAGAATTGTTCTTATTTTGTGGTACTATTCACGGTTTTTTGAAAATGTTCGGAAAAATACATCCCAGTATTAATTTTTTATTTTCAACCAAAACCGTCCTCCATTGACAGTAATTCTTGGGAGGTTACTCACTTGTGGTCGTTTGTCAACATCTCTTGAAATCTAGTGTTTAACCGAGATTCTTTTCATTAATGTATTTCCAGTATACAATAAATTCAATAACATAAATTAACAATATAAAATTAACAACACAAATTCATGAAATTTTGAATACATTTAGGAATACCACTTTGATTATTTATGTCAGTAGTTACTTTTGAGAAAATGCTTTTTTTTATAAAGCATAGGACTGTAGCAAAACGTGACATTAAATTCGTAATGAGGTTTTATCGAGATTAAAATTAGGGAAATGTTGGTTCAACAATGTCCATCTAATTGTAGATGAAATGCTTGCTAAATAAATGACAAGACAATAATTGAACGAAAGATACTGCGGAGACAGCAAGCTTGAATGTTCAATAGTCCTAAGGAGCTAAAGCTGTTTTAAAACAGTTAGCTGAAGTAAAGAAATAAAAGGAAAAATTAGAAGGATTCTGAAAGTAAAGGAATTAATAACATACTAATAAAAGTTATTCTAAACTGATTGTTTGTAATCAAATTTTCGCTCCAAAGTTGAATTTATCTTCCAGTGGCAATTTTAGAATACTTGATAGTTAATGGTAATAGCATATTAAAAAGTAATTTTAGGTTAATATAACAAAATTTTGAGCAAATTTTATTAAAATTTATTTTAAAACAGATATTTGATTTTGGATATTTTGGCATTTGCTTTAAATATTTCGAGTGTATCTTATTCAAATGATAATTGCAGTCCTCAACATTGACTTAGGTTCTATACAAAGTCACAGCGGTTAATTTTCAGGAAAGCTATCTTAGTATATTTATCGAGAATTTGGAACAAATTACAGGAAGTGGAAACATAAGCTACCAGTGAATTTTGTTTGAAGCTACTTATTCAAAAAATACGACTACTTGTTAAATTATTGGCGTTAATGGTTCAGAACATTACTGCTATAAACATTAATGAGCGAGGACATTACCACTGTTTGGTCAACATAATGATAATATCATGAAGAAAGGATCATCAAGAATGAATTATCAGGAGAATTTAAAAGAATGTGAGCAGATGATAGCATGATGTCGGAAGCGGTAGTGTGTTAATAATATCCACAAGAGAAAAGTAAAGCGGTAATGACTGGAAACGCGCATTAAATTCATCGAGTGAGGGTCAAAGTATTCTCATTGTCCCTTGTCCTCTCGACCACTTCAAAGGCGCACTGAAGAGGATGACACTTCGTCCTTTGTCGCAGTCAGTCCCTCCACAGAGCATGCTCTCAGTGAAACAGTCACACACATGCGCCTGTGCAAATGCTACCACCTTGTCCAGAGCAACCGATGGTTATTGGCACCGGGAACAGGTGCTATTGAGAGTTGCGAATTTTCTTGCTCACACAGTAGTTTCTGTTCCTTCTCTCCTCTTGCATCTCTTCTAACTGCAGTTGTCATCTCATCCAACGCAAGAACTATTTGGCTTGCACTGACTTATTTGCGCTTCATGTCACCAGAAATATCTATTCTATCCTCTCTGATGTACTGATTTTTAATGACGCCTACATACATTTCACCTCTCCACGTAATATTCCGACTTCCCCATAGCAGAGTTATTGGCAAAATTCAGAACATGACTCGCGCACCATTCGATGCAATGCATGCTACGTGCAGAATGTCGAGAGTTTGAGTGCCTGAATTAGACGGAAGGATGAAGAAGTCGTGGTAAGATAGAAGATGGTCATAATTAGTAATAAAAATGATCCAAGGATTTTAGATCGAGTTCACAAATTAAATGTAGAAGCATTGAGTTGTTTAAATTTATCTTCGTTTTGATGCGAATCATTTTTAAAATTTAAAAAAAAGGCTTGAAAAAAACCTTTCCATCTCTTTTTTTCTAAATTAGAAATTAAACTCTGCCCATATGAATTGCTTATCGACCAAACGAATCATCGTCACAAGATTGCTATATGAATGAAACTTCAACTTTTTATATTAAGGGTTTAGCAAATTAAGATTTAAACTATTTCTTCTTCTGGTCACTGCAAAATAAAGCAGATATGAGTGAGAGTGCGATGACACCCACACACATACTGGTCAATCAAAAAAGAGTATGTATTTTGCTGATGAGCCCCCAGGGAGGTCATCACTGCTGGCAGTATGCGACAGTTGCGATGGCCGCCGGTGCCAGTTTTGTTTGTAAAATATCAAGCATTTATACCTACGTTACATCGTATAAAGTAAATTCGATTTGAACTTGGAAATAAAAAAAAAAAACACGAAATCATCTCAAATAAATCATCGGATTTATTCATTCAATTAATTGTGAAATTGGAAAGAATGGAAGGCAATAAAAACTCAATATCAGAAAATGTTTTTATGTCTACGATGAAAATGATATCTATTGATTAATTGTCGAGAAAGGAAAGGAAGGGAAAAAAGAATGATGAAAAAGCAGAATGACAACAGAAAATGAAATTAATTGTAAAGTAAAAAAAGAGAGAAACAGAGAGGTATGTTGGGTGGATAAATGACATAACCTTAAAAGATGTTTGGCAATTCTATTCTCATCTGTTAAAATATATATATACATGTTCTTTCCTTTGACATAACAAATTAAAGACTGAAATGTAAATTAATTGTCATCTAAAAGGTTGAAAACATCTTATAGTTCGTCAAGGTCAATGAATTTTGCGTTGCAGGCGCTCGTTATAAGAAATCATCAATTCTATTTGTTTCTCTTTTATGGTTGAAAATTTTGTATTTCTTTAAGTCTAGCATACCAAAAAAATTTCTTTTGTTCTCAAACCGAATCCACAAATCCGGTACTGGGTCAGTTTGGACTGATAATGACTATTTATAATAACAATAAAATTAATTTGTAAGTTAAGTTAAACATTCTCATGTGTAACGTTGTTGTCTTCTTGCGCTTTTTTTTTACTTTCAAAATAATTAAGAAAAGATTTAAAGAATCCGTAAGGAAGGAAGAAAAAGAAAATGAGTGATAGATGGCGATATAAATAGTTTTCTAAAGTAAAGACACACCTAAAAAACTTGATTGACACAATACTTCTTTTCATGTTTCTTCTATTTTTTTGCACTTAAAAGTCAAAAAATTTGTTAAGTACCTTTCCGACCAAATGTTAAAGCATGTATTAACATATGACAGACTTTACTTTCAATATATGCAGTCATTTCTAATTTGTTTACTTATCCAGTTAAAGTAACAGCTATGAATTAATTGATGCACTTTATATGCTGCTGGCATAACAGCTCCTGTTTACCTAAAAAGATGGCTGTTACTGTCTGATCTGAGGCACTCTGAACCAGTAGAAAAAGATCAGACGGAAAGAAGTTAGGCAAATATGATTCAAAAATGATTATCATCGCTTTAAGTTAAGAATATTCGAAAAATATAAGGTATGTAGTTAATAATTAAAAAAGCATAATTGTTAAAGAAATTTGCTACCATCACGTCAACATTCAAAAAAAAAAAAAAAGAAAAAACAAACGTCACAATACAGATTATGGGAAAGCCAAAATTAAAAACATAAATAAAATTTGACGATCTCTTATGAATTTTGTCCCTTGGTTTGAATCTGAATTTCAAATTTAAGTTCGATAAGAAAAGACCAAATACTTCTGATCAAAGGGGAACTTTTACCACTACAATAAAAAGAATAGCCAAAAAGTATTATTTCATTTTGGAGAATAATGGAACTGAAAATAATTTCATTTTAGTTTTTTCCATGGAACTGCTTGCTAGCAATTTGGAAAACATGTTTTTTTGTGGGAGTTACAAATTAAACTTCGAAAGCAATAAATTCTTAATTTTGACCAATGCTATTGGCTTACTGAAAGAATGGAAATGCAATTTATCAAATAAATTTTATAACGATAAAAGTTTACAATTTCGATACACCTTTTCTATCTATCATAAAGTCACTGATCATTAAAAAATCCGATGCCTCTTAAATTCTATTTGATAACTATAAGTAAGGTATTAAATTTAAAGTTTAAAATCAAACTGATCTTTATCACAATTCATATGACTTTCAGAATTCATCTTCAACCAGTATGGTATGTATTTATGATTTAATACCAATAAGAGCCATACTTTCTATGATATTTTCTCAAGTAAAAAAAAAAAAAACGATAAATTTCCAAATTGATATTATCAAGTCAGAAGAAAATGGTCAAATGAAATTAAAAATGAAAGTAAGAACAAAACAAAATTTGAAAACTATTCAGAGAAAGTATGCATTTAGCATGGTACATCCCTCACTTCACACTTCCACTTTCTGATTGCATTGATTGTGAGTTAAACTTGAGAGAATATTTTATAACTTAATTGCCATAAAAGACAGTGGCCATTTTATTCTTTGCAGTTACTAATTATGAAAACTGAAAAGAAATCTTCATAAATTACCACTTCCGTTCAATCATAAACTGCTGTCGCCTAGTTGTATTTAATTTCTATACTTTTGTTATTAATTTTTATTGCTTTCTTTTGCTCACTCCTCGCTTTTTACTTTCAGTTTACAAATTTTGTCATATCTTTCATTGTTTTTTGGATTAAATTAAATATTCAATGTTAGCGCAAATCTTTATAATTCATACTGCTATTGCTTTATGTTCGAGCATAGCAGAGATTATTTGTTTTTTCAGTTTTTAATATTAATTTCAATTATGATAAAAGATATTATGCTTATTTAATTTATGCATTACTGTGCCATAGCTGCTAATGATTTCCTTTCAGTAGACGTTTAAATTTGAATTTATAGAATCGCTTCCAGCTTTATCTCTGCGTTCCTAAGCTTTTCTTTATATTGTCCTTGTAGTTGTTCTTCTGTTTTTTTAAAATTTGTTTTCTCCTTTTTACAAATAAGTTTTTATCTTAATTGACATTTTGGATTCTTTTTCTGTATGATGATTATTACTCTTATAATATTTGTTGCTATATGTCTTTTATGAGCTGAATCTTGTAAGCTTTTAATTATTATAATTTGATGACCTTTGGTATGCAGTATTTCATCCTGTCATACTTATTACTCTTTGCTTACTCTCTATCGAGACTTAATTGTATTCTTTCTGGTTATTGAGGTCTTTTTTAGAATTATTCAGAGCTGATTGCTACCTAATTTTAACGTGAACAAGATATGTAATTTGGGCCTGCACTACAAATAAATTTTTAGATTGTTTTAGATGATTACTTTATGGTTAGTCTCACCACTTTTATTGAAAGATATGAATGAGTTATATGCAATGTGATTAACTCTTCGTTAACACACAGATAACGAGAAACGTGCACTTCCTATGGTAGATGAGCCAAGGAAAGGACATCCAACCACTTCAACGACACTTCACTTGCTGGACACGTTATACAGAAGAGATGCAACCATGCACCATTGGGAGATTATTGACTGTGAAATGTAGATTTGCATACCTCCCTTCTTCTGTTTTTAACGGCCGCAAAAAAGGGTTAGGGTCGAGGGCTTGGGATGGCAGCGGGCTATTTGGCAGAAGATGTGTGGCGTAAGCGTGTCGACGTGGTAGGTGGGTAGGTTTGGCGTCTGATTCTTTGGATGTGTCAAACTACCATTACCACTAATTTTTCATGGTCAAGACAAAGTAAAGAGCGGTAGGAGATGGTACATTGCAACATCGGTGTTGCAGTAAAATGTAAAATCTTATGCCGGTCTTCTTCCGTATAGAATTGAGTTGGTTATTTTGCAGGCATTTGATGATGGCACCTGGAAAGAAAGGACCGAAACAAGAAAGGAAGCCGAGAAGTGCAATGAGTGAAGTGGTGACACGTGAGTATACTGTTAATTTGCATCGACGATTGCATGGAGTGTAAGTTTGTGTATTTTAGTTCGTATATATAAAATTTGCACAAATTTGTTTTGTTTCCCTATTGCTCTGCATGTGGTCGTATCCTATGTTCGATATATATATATATATATATTAGTTAATCTTGATTAGGTCTTAGCTAGTTCAGGTTTCTTCATGACACAAAGATGTCTTTTTTTTTTTTTTTTTCACGATATGGCTCTATAATGTACTAGATTTCTGAGGAATGCATGAAATGCTGCCAAATTTGTTAAGTTTTAAAGCTGTCAGTTGCAGTGGTTTCAAAAAGCGTGCTCCTCAGGCTATCAAGGCGATACGGAAATTTGCAGAAGAACAGATGGGGACAAAAGATGTACGCGTTCACATACGTCTGAATGAATTTTTGTGGTCGAAAGGCGTAAAGTAAGCATTATCATACCGAAGATTTGTAAAGAGTTTGTAAAGTAGCAGTATTGTGAGTACTTATAGTTTGATTAACTTCGGAAAGAATGAAGAGTGAAATGGACTTGCCAATAGTTTGCTTCTCGAAATACGTTGTTTATGAATTATTTATACTGTGTGCTAATTATCAATAGTACTGATTGTATTGTGACAAGAATTATATATTTTGGAGTACTAAGTTCAATTTAAGTCTCGATATATAAAGTTTTCTGGTGCCTGCTGTCGTGGTGAGGTAGAAGAAAGACTAAAAAGTTGAACTTGTTCAAATGAAGTGTTGTTTCTTGTCTAGCACGCTCTCGAAGGTTAAGGATCCAAAAAGAAAAAAGAAAAGAGAAAAGAATATGTGTTTAGACCAGAACTATACAGTGAAACAAATCTTTGAAAATTGGAAAAATTTTAAATAATTTCTAGTTGTCTTTAATTTATGTGGAATTAAAATCTTCAGAAATGTTCCGTATCGTGTACGTGTACGTTTGTCGCGACGACATAATGATGATGAAAGTTCTGCAGATCGACTATACACATTGGTAACGCATGTTCCTGTTACGACATTTAAAAAGTTAACAACAGTGAATGTTGATAATGAGGAATGATCTTATGTTTTAATTGTTTCGGTTTTTTTTTTTTTTTTTTCTTTTTTTGAAGCATAAAGTTTCCGAGTCAGTTTGCGCTTCACATACTACATATTATCTGCATTAATCTAATTTGTTTACTTTACTGATTGATAGCTTTAGAAAGTGAAATGGGAATGTCAGTGTTCATATTGGAGTGTAAGTGAATTGTTGATTTCCATAACGGATTTTTCTCTGCGATCTAAAATTGTCTTATTGAAAATCCCGGAAATCCCCACTTTTTTCTCAACTTGCCGCTGCGTTATTTATAAGTGGCAGCAGGTATAGGTCCAGTGCCTTTGTTGCTATTCATGAGCCATAATGTTCGTCGATGTGCTTTAGCATGTAAGCAAAGAAGTATATTAGACATGATGTTTCTGAGATTTTTTGGAATTGGCAATGGATGTGGAGATTGGTTTAAGTACGAAGGAAGCTTTTGCAAAGCTTTGCGCTGTATTAGAATTTGAAATTGACAAGGAACGTGGACGTGCAGCTGGACCATTTACATTTAGGTAACGTCTTGCTGCCGATTTATCACTGCAGTTAATATTAAATCTGATCTGCATTTGTCTCTTAGTTGGTCTAATGAAACCAGCTTTAGAAAGTGAAATGTGGTGCCAGTATTCTCGTTGGAGTGTAAGTAAGCTGGGGTCTTTGGTTTCACTATTAAATTGTTGATTTTCATAATTAATTTCCTCTGAGACTCAAAATTGTCTTGCTGACAATCCTAAGCTCCTCTCTTTCTTTCCCTAAACTTACTACTGTGTTAAATAATGGACAGGATGGAAATATTTGTGAAGAATGTTCTAGTTTCCCGTTTGAGCTTATTGCTGGATGTGATCACGTGAGGAGTATTATTTAGTACGAGATCTGGTGGCAAATAAGTCAATCTCCACCAGCAGAAAACTTGATTTGATGAATGACCAGCTCACATCATTCTCTTTAATTCACTATAGGTACAGTATTTTTTCAGGTTCTTAGCTCATGATGCATTGACTACCGGAAACTTTTGTGTCATTTATGCGGTAGCTTCAATTATTTGTTGTCTTGTTTTGTTAAGTTGCAGTTTGCTTAGGTTTGTTGACTCTATTATTTTACTACATATTTCTATTTTCTCGATTGTCCCACAAGTCATCTTTTATCAGTAAAAAAATTGATTGGTGAGAACCTGAAAAAAATATCAAACGAGAAGTTACTTTGTAAAACATTTAGAGATTGCACTTTACTCGACCAGCTTGCATCATTTCTATTCTTGACTATATCAATATGTAACATATATTGTTCATTAAAAATATATCGTACTGAAAGATATGCAATTATTGAAAAAGCCCTTGATATATTGGATATTCTAAAATCACTGAAAGTAGAGAACTTCCGATATGAAAATCTTTATGCGCCGCCATCTGATGCTATCAGTTTACAATGGACATACAGAGACCACAAAGTAATTTTAAGCAATTTTATTTTCATTTTAATGTGTTTTCTTCTCGTTTTTTGTTTGTTTTCTTCACTGTGCTGAACTGACCATTCATATAACCATATGAATACTGTGAAGAATGATATAATTTTGCTTAATGAAAACTATATGGAACCGTAACTTCGTTTGCTGCATTTGGCACACATTGTAAACTTGAATAACACTGTTCCATGTCCGACGACGTAGTTTTACCCACTTCTTTTGGAATAAATGGATAAAAAAACATTTTGACAGCTGTAATTTTTTCTATAGATGATGCGTAGTGTTAAATTCTTGGTTTACAGCCGTATTTTAATTAGTTTCTGACTCGTTTTTTTAATTTTTTCAAAAAAAAAAAAAAAAAACTTTTCAACGAATTAAACACTTAAAAAACCCTTATATAAGAAAACATTGTTTTAGTTAGTGAATGTGCCATGGATGCTTTTGGTAGATGGTGATATAATACAACTTCGTGCTGGACAATCGCCACCGTACCAATGTATATCACAACATGGTGACTTCATTGGTTTGGGGGATAAACCACGACTGCTAAAGGTACTGTGTCATACTGTTTATTCTTGTTTTTATAGAATTTTTCAAATGTTATGTTAATTTCTAATCGTTCGATATTTCTTTTATTTTTAGATACTTCCATCAAAATCAACATTGTGGAAAATTGTTGAACCACCTATTGTTGACCATATACGCGCAGCTTTTCGTAACCATCGCAAGAAACATTCGAATTTGTTGAATTTTGAAATCCATACGACACTTCATTTTATCCTTGAAAGATGTTTTTTACCGTTCATACTCACGATGATGCTCATAGTACATTGTTTTCGGGAAGTTCCTACAATTTAGTACATTAAACAAGTTCGATGCAAACGTTTTTTATAAATTATTTTAAGGTATTTTTTTGTGGCGAGAGAAAACACTGTTCATTTCTTGGTAGATACATCAGTGGTTCTTCTTCCTGTGTTGGGACCCATGATTCCGTCCTTCTGCTTGGTTGGAAAGTTATGGTATGCTTAGGAATTATATATATTGCCTCAGAAAATTTTCCCGTTTCGTTTCTTCCAATGAATAGTTGCGTAATGAAGAATGTGCCACAGTACATGATTTTACAACACTGATATTTTGAAATTTATTCCAACGTTATTCTTTCCGATTGTATTTTTGAATGGGAAACTTCCATATATTTTCACACAATTTTCATATTTTATTGTCAATTCGAATTGGTTGGAATTTTCAATTATGTTGAGGAATTCGGGCTTTGTTTTGGGTGACGATTGTAATCTGCGATACAGCAAGTTAAGCTCAGAAGCCGCCACAGCTGGTATTTTTCTTGATAAAAGCAGAAAAGGAGCAGTTATCAATGGCTTTAAGGCGGTTTATCATTATTTTATAGGTAATTACTTTACAGTTTAGAGTAATAGATATGAAGAATCAGTGAACAGGAATTTTGATTCGTGTATGTTTATTTCTAGGTCATTTTCACATTTCAATGGATTTCGTTTTTACATGCGGTGGTCTCACATCCTGTGCTTTCCTGGACAAGAAAGGCCTACTTTCATGGCCAAATGCAACAATCGAAAAGGTGCTATGTTTTCACGCTGATGGCGAAGGTGAAAATTACTTGAATTCCTAAAAATTTTCCTTTGTTCTTCACTTATATTGAACAATTTCCCTGTTCGGAGAATTGTTCATGGTAAGTGTTTATGCTTTCTATGTATTTCAAATTTCCAAAAATTTCCACTACTTTTTCCAAAGGTGAGGAACGAAAATTGGTGCCAAAAATCTTGGATTTAACGACGAATGGAGCTTCCCCTGTACATTTCGATGATTCTTCATGGTTGGCTGCATGTTATTATTAACCAACATTTTTTCTTTCATATCTCAGTGTAAAACTTTTTATGTAACAATTCAGGGAGAGCTATAAGGGATCTTTACTGCCATTCGGAATTAGCAGTGTTGTAAATGGTTGCTCTTTACTGCCAGATTATACATTATTCCTTAATCACATTAGCAGTATTTCGGAAGCTGTGTCAAACACTATTGCAATTTCCAATCGACACTGCTTATGTCCGTTAACTCAATTATTAGGGTTTGTTCACAGACTTATCAGTACTTCTCTAACATTTTATTTGAAAAGAAGTTATTAATACTTAGTGCTTCCGTTATTTCAAATGAAACTGAATTATTGTAAAATTCAAAGTTTTAAGACATGAATCTTGAGTGTTAGACAACTACAGAGTTCTGTTAAATTCTTTTATTAAAACTAGGTTATTGAATCATAAAAAGGACGAAGAGCCAGAAGTATAAGTCTTAAGTATTTGCAGGATTGGTGACGAAGTTTTAGAAAAGTTTAATACTTCAGATACAAAAACGATAGGCTTTTATAAGCGATTGCAAAGAGAAAAATCCGCTAATGAGTCAGTTTATCATTTATTTGTTTGTTTTTGTTTTTTTTTTTTTGTTGTTTTGTTTATATCAACTTAAAACACTTTGTATTTATTTTGGATAGTATATACTATCTTGATCCATTTACTTTGTAATCAAGTTCTGAAATAATTTTAGCAGTAGTGCAATAACAGTGGTACTTTTTTGTCAGTAATATCTAACGATTCCTATGATTCATAAATAATGATAAACTTTAGACTACGGAAATTCCGAATGCCGTTAGAAAATGCGTTTCTGACAATTACGAAAGATGCAACATCAAAGTATTATCATGTGATGAGTCAGGGAACAGCTGATTTACTGCTTAATGCTTGCACTCATGTATGGTGTGAGAATTCTCTAGAACCGTATACACCGAATTTACATAAACGCGTCCTTGATTTTTATCAGCGCAACACAATGACGGGGTTTGTTAATTAATACTCTTAGTTGTGTGTTTTTTTTTGCGTTTTATATCTTTTTAGAGTAATTCTAAAATTACATATAATTACATATATATACATTACATATAGGTCTTCAAATTACATATATTTGCTTTATAAAATGGTTGAAAATAATTCTGAATAATAAAAAAAAACAGAGCGATAAGTATGATAATTAAAAATGTGACTAAGAGTGCTTCATCTGTTTCTCAGGAAGAATGTAACATAAAGTTCCAGATTCTGTTTGGTTCTTGGCTATCGAACAGTGGGCTGCACGATTTCAAATACTCTTAGTGGAAGATATATTGATATTTCGTTACTAAAAAAATATGAAGTTATAGAAAGGACTTCAATTCCAAGGGCCGTCAGTCTTGATATGGAGTTTTTGAAAGCATTTTATCGACAGTCGCCTTTGCATACCGCTTATGAATGCTTTGAAGAAGTAATGCATGGGCAAACATTATGTGGTTTGCTTGTCCTACAGCACCAAGTCAATTTTTAAAATTTTCAGCATGGGTATTCTATTTTATGTTATCATTACTGCCTAATATATTTTATTTGTAAATTTCATAGTCATACGAGCCTCTTAGTTTTTTTTTTTCTTTAAATAAATTTTAAGGCTCGAAGTGACGTCGTTCAATTGGTGGAACAATTAGATCATGCTTGCATTCGATTTATTTACTTCTCGAAAGAAAATGAATTGCGCAGTCGAGTTTTTGCAGAAAAACTGGGTTTAGAAGCAGGATGGAATTGTCATATATCATTAGCTAGCGAAGGTAAGATACTAAATAACTACTTAAAGGAATTTTGTAATTTTAATATTAGTTTTAGTTTCCTATTGCCGCTCAAAGTAAGCATGGAATTCACATTATTCCAACTCTATTTTACATTCAAATTCCATTATATTCGAAAAATTGAAGCAGGTACAACCTACTTAATGTTTTTCATGGTGATTCTTAGCCTGTTATTAGTAATCGAATAGCGTTCAGATGACTACTGCAGTCATCTGTAATCATCTGTTTTTTGTTATAGTCTTCTAATGGACAAAATTTGTTAAATAAAATTTAAAGAAATTGCAGATGAACACTCCGAAGTTCTTGATGTTGACAAATATTCTTATGGACATTCAGCAGAGTTAGCATTACATCGTTCAGCTACTTGGTCTGGACATTTTCCACTAGAGCAAAGACGTTCTTCTATCTTTTCAGTAGGGAGTATCTTCAGGTTATCAGATTACTTATTCTTAGTAATTTCGTGAAAGGCTGTGAGGATTCAGATTTCGTAAGCTATCGCAGTGTGTAACTTTTAATGAATTTTTTTAATTATTTAAAAACACCAAAATTTCTTGTTAAAACATTTATTATTCATGAGTAATGTGAAAACAATCTCTATAAATATTTCCCTTCAGAACTTTTATGCAAGTCTCAAATCGAAGCAAAGCGGTTTGTTTACCGATCTACTATTTGTTTACCAACATAAGTTGCGTTTTTTTCCAATTTTATATTATAACCACTAATTTTTGTGCGTAATGAGAATTTCTTACTAGGAGGAAGCTTCATTAAAAAACAGTCAAAGTCATCATTCAGTGTTTTCATATAGTGAAGAAACAGGCGTGGAGTTTTTTCCGAACAAAGCAAAATTACCATCAGGTGAAGCATGGAATAGGAGTTTGGAATTTGGCATATTTAAAAAAGATTCAGGTTCAGAATTTTCTTGTATTTTCATATCAGCTCAAAATTTCATTTCCAGGAATCAAGAATATACGTCCTCACTTAGAGAATGTTGATAATGTGCCACTCTTGGTTAATCTTTTCACAGATTGCGACCATTTTTCTTGTCAAAGAATGATTGAAATAATGCAGGTATCTAGGCTTCATTTCTATTTTTTATAATTTATTAAAGAGATTGTGTGAGGCTGACCGTATCTCTCTCGTAGTTTTTGATTCGTCCCACAATGAAGGTGCCTTACGTTCTAGGATTGCTTAGCTTGTGTTCTCTGCTTTAGCTTTGCTTTTAGAGGAAACAGATTGCCAGTTTTGTTTTCTTGTCTGAATATTTCAGTTACTGAAGTTACATTTCAATTACATCATTACAATTTAGGATTATGGTGAAGTGGTACTTGTTGTTGGTTCATCGTTAAATTATTTCAATTGCAGTATCTTTGGTCAGGTAAATTCAATTTCAATTTGTAATTTTGGAACTTTTTCTCATATTTTGCAAATTTCTAATAGTTCTTTCTTTATTATAGGCAAACTGTTCAGTCACTATTGAGCCGCAGCATCCTGCTTTATGTAGCAAAAAAATTTTCCAGAATGACAACGGATTGAAATCATCAGTTATCGCTACATTGCTTATGGGACTGTGTTGCGATATTGTTGTATTTCCAAATCAGGTATTTATTTATTATACATATGATTTTTTGATTATTTTTCATTCTAATTACCGGTAAGATAGCCTTTGAGATTCGAGGCATTTTAATGCAACAATTAGACAATGATTATAAATAAATAATGCTAGTAGATATACATTCTACAGTTCTTAATCTACATTTTATAATGAACTTAGTTTTTATTTCTTTTGTACATAAAAATAATATAACTGCTGACAGCCTAGTTAGTAATAAATAGGAAAAGCATAATGCTTTACCATACTTAATTTTCTATGCATCACTTCTGTCATTGATAGATAAAGTAAAACCTTAATATTAGTTTATTTATTATCATCTTCTTGGAACATTTTATATGCTTGTTCTAGACTTTGGACCTTATTTCATTGATCTCATTTTGTCGACATCAGTTAGGGACGTTTCGTTCTTCCTTCCTATTTTTTATATTCTCATCGACAGCACTTGCGCTGCAGCAAACTTTAGCTTTGTTATTTCTTCCGAATGTCTTATCCGTTTTTCAGGTTTGTTCTTATATAGAGAACACATGAAGATTTTAGCGACAGAACACATTGATATTCAGTAATCTTCTGTTTAAAAAATTACCGAGTGTCTATTTATTCATTTATTTGAAATAAACCAATTCACAGTTTTATTTCTAGTAAGTAAAGAAAACGAGATTACATATTTTAGGCCCTATTATTCATAATTTTATATGTACCAGTGTTAGCCTTATCACTGATGGCCTCACCGCGTGGCTCTGGTGAAAATCGTGATGAAATAGCGCCGAAAAACATTTCCTCAGCTCCGAAACGTGTCATTCGTCGTGCGATTATTTATTTCTCAATAAATTTTCTTCCGTCTCTTTTCGTCGTCTGTCTTATTTATTATAGCACCGTAAGTTCAAGCTTAGATTTTTTTGTTATCATAGAAAAGAAATATTTCGCAAACTTTGTGCATTGTAGTAAAAAGTTTTTTTGGCAAAATCAGCACTAATTATTTGTGACACAATTCACAAATGAGATAAAAGATCATTTAAACGAACTGTCTAAGACAGAGATTTATTCTTTCTGTATATCTCAGGTCGTGATAACTAGAAAAAAGTATGAATATCAGAGAAGTTCCAACTATTCGTTTTATCCTGCTAATCATGCCGTTATTATTGGCCAGCATGTTGCTTCTTTTTATGTATGTTGAACTTTTTTTAACATTGCAAAGGCCTTAAATTTACAGATTGTATAGCACGCGGTGCTAATATTACAGAAAAAAGAAAAATATTAAAGTCTTACGTACTTTACCAATATTTATTTTGATACCGTTGTCTTAGTGTAATTGGACTCCATTTTTAGTTGCTTCTTTACTTATGTACGTTATCAATGGGTTTTGTTCATTTTCGTGATAACTGCTGGGCGAAATATCCACTGGATAATTATTATTGGGTAGCCGTAACATCTTGCGTTATTCTTATACAGGTGTGGAAACATTTCTATTTACATCTTGATGATAATTCATTTGAACAAATCATCATTTATGTCAAAATCAGCAAGATCATGAGAATGCCACACTTTAAAATATAAAAAGTAAATCTCTGATGGACGATTTGGTGAAAAAGAGAAGACAAAAGACTTTAATTTATGTTGTTTCAGATCGCTTATACAAATCTTTCATGTGGTTCATTGTTGAGTTATATTTTTGACTGCAACATTTGGGTTATAGTAATCTCATTTTTTTGGGTAACTGTGATTATTGTTATTAGCGAATTGTGCAAGCTTTATTTAATCAAACTTCATTATCGTGACCAACGGAGAAGAAAGCTTGACTTCAATACGAAATTGGGCATGAATTCACCATATTAATGTATTTATTTCTATATTGTAATTGCAGTTTTTATGTGAAGTCCTTAACAAGGATACTTCATTAGCAGAATTTCAATGAGGATATGATTTTAACTTTGCGGTGAAAAGATGGTTGAAACCCTGTAATCTTGGTAATTTTAATGCTACTATAGTGAAATTTAGTTTTAGTGATAAAAAATTTGACTCAACTTCCGTTTGATGAAAGTCATGTTATTTAAATGTCGAATTTTTTGTTAAAAAGTTTATGTTTAAAGTTTTAAATTTGAATTACCAAAAATTTGATAATTAGTTTCTAGTTTAGATCTTGCATATGCATTGGGTCGCCATTAGATCTGAAAATCGATGTAAAACAAAGAGTTGATTATTTAAAATTTTTTTCAGTGAGAGATATAATGCTTTTCTGTTGATCATTCAACAGTAAAGCTTGTGAATTCTACTTACATTTATTTGGGATTAGCTGCTGATATTCAAAAAAAAAAAAAAAAAAAGAAATCAATTTTAGAAACTTCAATAAATTTGTTGGGTTACACTTCCCAGTGGAGAGTTAGACAAATATAAGTCGGAGGACGGTTTGTTATAGTTTCAATATTAAGACAATGTCTTGCTCACTGCACTTGCAGCATTCATTCTAACCCCAACTGATTTATGTGAGAAAATTGGTTTTCGTAAGTTTGTTGAAATTTTTTAATGTTTATTTGAAATTCATTAGCTCTTTGAAGATCGACAGATCATAACTAAGTTGTAACCAAAATACTCTGAGTTCGCTTCACAGAAATGGTGAATTCCTCGTGTCACATAGATGATTTGTCAGTTTAGAAATTCAAATAATTTACCATTTGATATTTTTAGCATTAACTTCCCTTCTCTACTTTATAGAAATATTCTAAAGTGAAACAATGCTGAAAATTTTCAGTGAAATGAAATCCTTTCTTTGTGGAAACCATGTCGTATTCTCAATCACTTCTGCTGAATTCATGTGAATTCAATTTTATTCCACTTTTCGAGTGTTTTCAGTCATAGTGTAGAAAGCGTGATGATTTCCTCAATGTGTTTCTTTCTGATTTATGTTAGTCAGATCACGCCAGATTTTAAAATTTCCTTGAATATTATCATTTTCGACAGTTTATAAAGAAGATGATGTAAAAAAATGCTTTTCTCCAATATAAACTGCTAATGGCTCCATTGACGTCACAATACGATCGAGGAAAATGAATGCTAAACAAATTGATAAGTATGGAATTTAAAAAGAAAATTTTTTAACTAAAGGAATAATTTGCCTCATTTCCAATGTTGTTTTCATTTTTGAAACAGTTATTCTATTGCTAATTGTAAGCTTTATTTATTTGCAGATATTTCTTTTTTATTTGTAGGTTCGTAGAATCTTCTTTAATTTAATGTAAAGTTTACTGCAAGGCATGGGACACAATAGTCCAAAATGATCTCCTTCTGAAAATAGGAAACTTGAATAATGACTACATAGAAGTCCAATTTGGCAGGTTATTGCAAATTGAAAAGTGTGATCGTGAATACAGGTAGTGATTTATCATGCAAGCCTTATCATTGTTATCACAATCGTTCTACGTTCGGATCGAGATTTACTTCTCGTTGTTCATGGAATTTTCCGAGTAGTGGGTCATGACATAATGAATGAGAGTGGATTGAACTGAATTTATTTCCAGCTCGAACGATATAATTCACCAAGACTGGCACTTCTTAGAGTTGATCTGACGATGTTCGTCCTAATTTGGTTGACATAAAAAACATGATAGCACATTTGTTTACACCTCAACAAACTAGTGACAGACTTTTGACCTTGAAAGTGGAGAGGAAACAACGTAGTACGAAGAACCCATCAGAAGATATATAAAAAAAGCTACAAACTTTGGCAGACGATTGTTAATGGCGGTTGGCATTACCTGTCCCAGCCTGATCTCTGACCCTCCAAAAATAGTATTCTACCCTATTTTCTTCTTCTCAAAGCTTACATAAATAAAATAGTTCATCTTGAGTTGTTACGCCAATCTATTAATTAACATAGAGTGCTTGTAAACCTCCTAAACAAATTCCATGCATAACAAACTGTAATGAGAGTTAAATAGTATCTCAGGGTGACTATTCTAGTATTTGACCGATGTTGTCTTATAGTCTTCTTAGTTTTTATAACCATCTTTATATATATATATATATATAGTTTTTATAACCGGAAACTTGCTTCCGTTCTGTATTTTCATGCCTAAGGTCTCTTTGAAAAAAGAATTTTTTTTTAGTCATAAGTATCAACTTGCACAAATCTTGACCATAAAAAGTGTAATGGAAATGCTGGTAAATTAAGTGAAAAAAGATAAATTGATATAACAGACCAACAATGATTTTCATGTAAAAAAACTCTAATATCTAAAGGTCAATGGAAAAAAGGCATTGAAAATCCTTTCTGTATATCTTAAAAATAACCATTCTACAGAATAATAGGAATATGTAATTATGCATAAGTGGAAAGGCATGAAATAGGTATTAAACTACAGGAAATTATTTAGAATGAAGAGGAGAAACTTAGAATAAGGTTGAAAATCATAAAAAAATTTCAGCAAGTGAAAATACGAATATTAGAAAAATTCGAATCAAATAGAAGGCACATAAAACAGGTCAACATAATGCATATTAGTGAAATATATGTATTCATTATTAATACTCCAACGTAAAAATATTTTTAACCATCAGAAAAAGCGGTAAATTTTTGCTCTATACAGTATTTAATTATTTCTGATCTCTTTGCTAGCCATAATGAAGTTCCATAACTTGAAAATAAAGTTTGAAATTGCTCAAATAGGGATTTCTGCATTCTTTACTGGATGACTAAAATTTAGGACAGGAAAACAAATTCGATTTATTAGAATAATCCGTTATAATTCAGTCTTATAAAGACGATTTATTTTAACCAGTTCTTTCTCAGTTTGATACACAATATTATCTGCGTTTTGAGATTCAATAGAAGTTCCACTAGCTGTCTGAATATGACTATTTCGTGAGCCACCATAAAATCGAACAGTAGGGTAAATGGCCACGCCAACATTCCGACAAACATTTGGCCATAGTCCACAATCGACTTTTGCAAGTTTCACACGACCGTGCAAAACCTGGAAAAGGATCGGATTAAAAGGTGGTGACAACGAAATTATAAGTAGGATAAAAGATTATGAAAAATTATAAATATTTATCGCTATTTGCATTTTTGCCAAATAAGCGTATAAAAACTGGAAAAATTGCTGCACAAAAATGACCTGCATATAACAGTATTGCTCATACAATATTTCTCCAATAATTTAAATTGTTAAGAATTTAAAAAGAAAAATAACTGATTCCCGCATTAATTTATATTGTCAGTAATTTCAAAACGTTGAGCAAAAACAAGCCAACATCGAAAGAAATGACCTACTTATCCACAAAACAGATATTGAGAATGGAGAGAGAAAGAGAAAGAGAGGGAATTTAGAAGGTTCTGCAGCGACTCTGCATCTGTTTAAAATTCCTGGAATCATAAGTTCATTTTCTAACATACCTCAGCAACACGCTCAAAAACAGGTGCAAATTCAATGCAGTGTGAGCACCAAGTGACAAAAAAGTCGACTAGCCATGGTTCATCATCTTCCAATACCTTCACAAAGAAATCGTTTCCCATACTTATAACTTTTGATGGCAAATAATTTCTTAGCCATACTTCCATCGAGCGGTGATCACGCCACCAGTTTGAAGGATAATCTCTGTAACCCTATCTTCTTGACTAATTCTCAGAAAGAGAAATATGAAAGCCTGCACATGGAAGATTTCAACAAATAAGTACACAGAGTGTAATTCCACTAGTGATAAAATAGTAAAATAAATATCACATAATAGCATCTCAAATCACTGCACACCAGTTTTTTCAACAATACAGAAAGCCAATGAGAGATAATACTAACACGGTGTAAGAAGCAGAGGAATATAGTCGGATGGTTGGATAACTTTGAACACCTAAATTCATGCACAGCTGGCGATGATGATCACAATTGACCATTCCAAAATGAACGATTTCCTTCATGCGCATATTTCGAGCGAGCTTCTTGTACTCAGGTGCTAACTGTACCAGTTTGAAAATCGAGCTTGTGTTATTTAATAATCAACAAAATAGCTGGAGTGAATTTGTAGAGGTTAAAAATTCTACCGTTTATTTTTGATTTTCAAAAACGTCTATACCTGATTACAAGGCCCGCACCATGGCGTATAAAAATCAACCAGCCAAATAGTACTTTGTCTTCCATCCGAAACCAGTCGATTGAAATCCGATGGCGATAAATCGACCACTATTGGATTACGTGTATCCTAATCACATTTTTTTAATAGTTAGCAATGAATCATTTGAAAATTCCCCGAAAGAAAAAGTAACAGATTTCTTCAACTAACTTCAATAAATTCCGCTATTGTAATAACATCCAAATAGCCTGCACGAGCAAAAGACCTACCACCGCTGTGCCACACTATATTGGGGTAACTGCAAAAAATGTAATTTTAAAATAATTAAAAAAAAATGACAAGTGCGCAGCAAAATTCGGAGATGGTCATTGGTCATAAACACTCACTACCGGTCAAATACATTCTTTCCACTAATTTATAAAAATCATAAGCTTGAAAATGATTGTAAAACCTCGTTCACTATAGAAATTTAGAAGGAAAAAGAAAACTCACAGTTTCTTCATCACTCTAAAACTTACGCATTAGTATTCGTTTTTCTACAAATGTCACCATGTTGATCGCAATCAATAGTCCCAATTTTTATATTTTTCACATAGTTATGCAGTCTTCTTAACTCGTTGAGCAAACGTAAACAAGGTGGACACCACTGCAAGTAAAATACACAAGCTGGAGGGACAAGAATTGATAAACCAATAAAAAATAATAAGTAGCTTACTGGAGCATAGTAATCGATGAGCCATTCATCACCGGAATCGATAGCAGATTTATAGGTTTCGGGCGTAAGAGTAACAAGTGGTGAAGAATGACTTTCCATAGCAAATAGGGCAATATCATGCACCGTTTCCATCTTGCCTGCGTTAAAATAAGAATTATTAAAAAACTCCAACGTCTAATTCTGAATGCAGCCCTCGACTAAAACACTTAATATTTTCGTTAAGCATAAAACAAATGCCATAATAGAAAGATACAGAGAAAATTATTTGTATGATGCAGTAAAAACAAACCATGATATATTTCATAGCTTCCTTGTTTTTTGAACAGAACCCATTTTGGAAGTTTATTCAGCTTCAAGTTCTCACATATAACCCTTGCTTTGGAACAATCAGCAAAATACACCTATATAGAAATAAAAACTTTACGACACGAGAATAGATGAAACAAAGCATATTTAAATGATCATTTCAACAAGTTACGCTCACTAAAACTGTTCGATTTTTGCAATGAAATGAACATAACAGAAAGTATTAATTTAACAGAGCTCCTAAAAAATTGCTAAGCAATGCTGCTTAATCATTTAATTATTAGCTCAGTTTCAACAATTATAAAAGTTTTTTTACAATGAAGAGTTCAGTTAACGTCATGCTAAAATATATATTGGTAAGCTAGTGAAATACATCTAAGATATCCATTTTTTCCAAAAAGTTACTTTAATTTCCCCAGTTATCATTTTCGTTGATAGTTTTTTCAAATGAATATTGCTATCTACTTCACCCGAACTAAATCTAACCAGAAATGAATGGTCGCGAATTTGAGCTGAAAAACAGAACAAGTATGAGCAACAAAGGAAATAATGAAATGGAAACAATAAAAACAATCAAAAAAGGAAACAAAAATTCAAAAAAAGTTTGTTCAAGCTTCACCTTCAACAATTTTCTCCAATGATTTATCAATATAAGGTATATCAGGAACATATGTCAAAACGGCAGCCGCTATTTCTTTGAAGTCAAGACTATTAATCTCCTAAATTGATTTTAGCGATGAAAATTTTTCTCATGAATAATATATGGGCAGAAAAATCAGTTGATTTCAGTATATTTAAAAACCGAACTGAGAACTTATAGATTAACAAAATAAATGCAACACACCCGCGCATCATCGGGTTCTCTTCCATCATCAGGTCGGAAATACACCACTCCATTTCTGCGGTTAAACAATGTGCACAATTTCACTGATTCGTCGCAATCAATTTTCGCAACGTTTACAAGACCATGCAAATTTGCTGCAAGTTTTTTCCTGAAAATATAATTTGTTTTTATTTTGTGATAAAATGTACAAAACCGTACTGATTAGATTAGGAATAGACTAAAAGTAAACAATGTGTTTTAACTAAAAAATAAACTTTAAAAAGAAAAATGACGGAAATTCCGTAAGCAGCACTTTTATCTAGTATTTGCTACACATGACGGAGAGGATTTACTGGCCATCATCAACCAAGTTATGCTGAGATTGACCACTGATGTACGAAGGCAAGATTGACTTTTCAGATCCAAAAAAAGTGCTGTCATTTCAATCATAGAAAACTTCATAGAGTTGGAAAATAACACAACCTGTTCAATTCCGATAAACAATCACTACTCCGACGTTCACAAAAATCCAGTAACCATCCATGTGCATCTTTCCTACTTTCTTTGAGCTTAAATAAGTCAGTGTCGGAATCCATCAACTGCAGTACAATACCAGTAACGTATTTCATGGCAAATGTTACTATCTGATTCAGTTGTCGTTGTCCGTGGAAAAAATGACGCTGAAAGAAACATGTTGGAATAAATGATTAACAAATAAGTAATATATTCTGTCATTTTCGATAAAAATCAATTTCGTAGGTTAAAGATGGTTAAAATCGTTTAAATTATGGAAAAAGTTGCAGCGAAAGAAAATTCCTTGTTCATTATATCAACTTTTTCGTGCTGACCTTGATTCTATTTCTTGAAGAAACGATTTTTTCTAAATAAAAGTTTCCTGCAAAAAGATGTCAAAACAGTCCGATGATATAAGACTGAAGCGCATGCATGCCAATCTAATCAAAAGTCAGTCTAACAAATAATGTTAATTAATAATATATAGGCGAAAGACAAAAAACAAAAAATGCGCGGAAACTCACATGAGGATAAATTACCAAACTTGGGTAACCCGTCACACCTTCTGAATGGCAAAGCATAGGATCTTCAGCACAATTTACAGCACCTATCCGCAGAACATCTTCCATTTCTTGAGCAAATTTTCGCCACTAAAAAGTTAATATCCTAGCCAAACTTTCCAAAAAAAAAAAAAAGAAAAAAAGAAAAAAAAGGAAAAAACAGAACTTACGGTAGGTGCTAGCTGGTGACAGTGTGAACAAAATGTAGAATAGAAATTGATGAACCATATTTCATTCGTTTCAGAGACTGTCCTTTCGAAATCCGATCGTGATAATGTTATTATTTCTCTATCCTCATCGTATATACCTAAAATAGAGTTGAAAAAAAAAAAAAAAAAAAGGATTGAGATGTCCCAAGAAATCGAACTGAAAGAAAAAAAAAACCTAAATGCCTCTTATTTAAAAAATACAAATTTCGAATTGATAAGTTAATTTCAATTTTATATTGAAATAAGAAATATACAAAATAATTCGTATACTTCTTACTCTCCCTAAAATTTTCGTGTTTTTTTTTTGATCCAGTAGCAATAATTATATGTTGCAACTAAATTATTTTAATCACATAAAATGTTTAAAAAGAATTCCATTGATTACTCTAAATATCTGTTGTTGCAACGTAAAATCATAACTAATTTACCAGTTCGAAATTTACGGTTTTTAAATACGAAACACTTAAACTTTATTTTTTTCTTTCAATTCAATTCCTTTTTCCACACCTTTTATTAAAATCGATTCCGGTGAAATATTCACTAAAGTGTTTAAAGATACATACCAAAGTTATCTTTATAAAATTGCCACGGCTGGTACTGATGGTTTTCTTTAAAGTTATCGTTTAAACCTTTTTCACCATGCTGATCATATATTTTTCGCATTTCTTCATCCATTAACACTTCATAAGCACGATAAAGCTTCATGAATTCTTTATGTGCATTTTTATCATTCTCAAAGTACAAGTAAAGTATTAATAACTGATAAAACTACTATCAAATGAAACAGCGGATAATTTTAAACAGTTGGTCTTAAATCCAAATTTTGTATCCCTTCCGCAACCTTATTAAGGCTTATTTACATCAGGAACACAACTCAGCGATTTTGATGCAATTTCTCATGATTGCACACCTATATCTCCTGGAAAATTCAAGGCGAAGAAAACTCACAGGATTTTTATCTGGATGTTTGACCAGAACTAGCTTCTTGAAAGCTCTTCTAATTGCTCTATTATCAGCTTCCCGAGATATCCCAAGCAAGCGGTAGAAATCTTCACAACTGATACAAGAAATTAACAGAAGAAAACAAAACTGTGAGAAAAATATGAGACGCATTACCATGGGTAGTTTCTATTTCTACAAAAAGCACCTGGAATAAAGAAATTACTTAAATTGTGCCTCGAATACATTTCCTCAATAAACTATAAAAATAAGAAATAAAAGCAAAAATACCGTGGAGAACCTAAACGTCTAAAAAAAATAAAAGTCCATATTAATTACTCTTGTTTCAGTTTTTTTTTCTTTTTCTTAAGGTTGAAATGTTAAGCACAACTGAGAATTTCAAAACTAAGCTGTTGAGTGATTTTTTTCTTTGGATACGATTTTTTTTTTTTGGAAAAACATTAAAAGATACCTTTGTGGGAAAACACTAATTAGCTTGAAAGACGAGAAAAATCACTGCAGTTTTTACATAACATTTCATTGTACACCTGGAATGAAAAGCAATACATAAACGCCTATTTATTTCTTACCTGAACACAGGTAAGAAACGTGCTATGTTGGCATGAACAACATAATGCATACACAGACAACCCTCAAATGCCACTAACATTTCAAACATAAAAGAATAGCCGACGATAGTGTTTCTCTTGGAAATTACCGCAGGATTTAATGAACATTTCAATATCTAGAATAATGAACTGTCATATTCCTTATTCATACCTATTTCAAATTGTAGTGTATCCGGCATAAGATGACTGGAAGATTTGTTCCTCAAATATTATCGTTAAAATAAAAAACAACGCAAAATTCGTATTTATATATCTATTTCACAAATAAATCACTAATCAAGAGTGTTAATCTGAAGGATTTCAGGATAACCTAACCACATCATAGAACTAAAGGAATTCACAGCGACACATCACACAAAACAGAGTAATTCAGTCGGAATATTACTGATCTAATTCAATACACTAATTGAAATTATGACATAATGAAAGGAGACGATACAAGTCCAGAGATACGACACGAGCGAATAATGGAGGAGGAGATGACAGACAGAAAAGACCGTGAGTGAGACTATTTGCTTATTCTGAAATGACAGTTGAGGAGAAACAGTTGGAAATTGCGAGTTTCTCGAAGTTGCGCAAATGCTGATAGCAATTCACAGAGGACATTTTGCAGCTACAACGAGAAATGAGCGCAAGATGATTAACTTAGTGGAACTCATTTTGTGTATAATCTCGAATCCTACAAGACAAACTTTAGCAACTTATGCAGTAGTACCACGCAGAACATAAGCATATACGATAATTCTGTGCAGCTTAATATTGCTTTGAGTCAGTCATCGCACATGAAAATGATGTTAATATGTTGAAATGGATTGGCAGCTTAACGCGGATGTTCAATTCTCATTTCCACATTTTATAATTTCGATAAATTTTAGACTTCTACTCACTTTTTTGATTATTATGGCAATTATCGCGAATCATGGCTATTTACTTTTTTCTGCACACTTTGTGCTCAACCAAATTACACCAGTTAGAATCTTCGGATTTCATGAAATTTTACCGTTAACATTCATGCAAAAGGACAACTTCGAGAAATTTTTATCAATTTCGAAGTCTTTTCCCAAAAATTTCAAATTTCGTTCTTTTCGAGTAAATAACGAAAAGCTTATATAAGATAGCTAACATGAACTTTCCACAGCTTATGGAATCTTATTTTGATTCTTACTGATCCAACATTAAACACGAATTAACTACATAACATCCGCTCATTTTTACGTTTACCTCATTTCATTAGTGAAAGAAAACTTTCAGCTGATGTTCATCTAGCTACTTGCTTATGGAATCAACCAGCGAATATTATATGAAAAGAATCTGAGCCTTAATGTTATTTTTGATACCGCACTAACTAAGTTCATGATTGATTTTTTTAACTTAAAGTGACCAAAAATTTTGCTTTTCAAGGATAACTCCGATCTTTTCTAAACTTTTCTATTTAATGATTGAAAGCACTCCGAGCGTAAAAATAAAAATATCTGCAATCTCAAATAGACGCAAACATAAACTTCAATCACATAAAGCTGATCTAAACAGTATACGAAGACATACTGAAAAGTAATTTTAGTAAAAAAAAACTTTAGTAAAAAAAAAACTAATAAAAAAAAGTAACTTCGGTAAAAACATTTTTCCATAACCAAAATGACACAAGATATGTGTAAAAGTAAAGCAAAACACAACATTTGTCTTATTCAAAATTTAGAAAGGAAAAATCGGAACAAGTGAAGACAACCTCTCATACTAGTATATTTTTTTGAAAAAAAAATTTATGGTTTATAAACAAATTTCAAGGGATATCCCTTTTAGTGCAATACACAGAAATCAATTAGATGGAATCAGAATAACAAACAAAACAATAACATCATAACGAGAAGCTTAAATACTAAAAATGAAGAGATATACAAAGAAAAGACCAAACAACTAAAATTCCATTTCTTCTAGAGAATATAATTACTTTAAAAAATTTTTGAAGATAATTAATGAAAATTTCTTTTCCAAAAAATTGGAACTTAAGTACATCTGCTAAATATTAAAATTGAGAATAACGGGTATGGAAATTCTGCGTAAACAGCATTAAAAAAAAAAAAACGTAATCGCCATGACATTTCAGATTAAACTTGGCTTGAAGATCAGGAAATAGCTGAGGACTCCTTCTTCATTTTTTCGCTTTTTTGCCCAAACTCGGCCCTCGTTTTTTCAGATTATTTTTCTCTTCATTTTTTCTTTTTGTTGTTTCAGAGGTAACTACTTTACTCACCGAAAAAAATGAGTCAATACGGGCTTGTTGTGCAGCTTGACGTCCTTTCTGCATTCTGGTTAAACTACCTCTCACTCTGTCCTCACTGAAAAATTTGCAAATCTAGTGAATCTTGAATGAACGAACGAAATCTTCGCAAAACTTTCTAAGAAAATCAAAAAGTGAAATTGATAAACTTACTTAAAACTTTTTTCAACACATAGAAATTGTACAATTCCTTCGACATCAGGTTCTTTCCAAACTAACTGAAATTATCTGTTTTTATTCAAATTGATTTGGAAAAATTTTCTTCATAACATTTTTATTTACCTCGAGATTTTCACAGTTCATGACATCCGGTTCCAAGAATAGTCGTCGTGCTTCCTTGTATTGCCAGTCTTGGGGTATTGGATATTTCTGAAAACACACCTCGATTTATCAGTATGTAACAATCTGAAAAATAATTTAAAAACAATTTCAACACATACGTAAACAAAGACCTACAAACCGTTTGATTAATTGTTTCAAGAACATTTTCTATGCATTCATACTTCTTGATAAGTTCAAATGCTTTTTTTGGACCAATGCCCCGAATTGTTGATACATAATCACAACCCAGCAATATACAGAGATCTACAAATTGTCCCATATTCATTCCGAAATCTTTCAAAACTTGGTTTAAATTCATTTCCTTCACTGGCAGTTTTTTAGCTTCGCTGAAATAAAAAGCTTGAAAACCATTAAAAATTTAACCAAACATTTACTGAATTTAAGATGATAAAGAAAAGGTAACTGTGAACTGCATGCGATTACCTTATTAAAATTCTGAAGTTAGAATAACATGGCTTGTAGTTACAAGAAATACAAGGCAATCACGGTTGCATAATAGCATCTGATTAATATAATAGGCAACTATATTTCAACAAAAATTCATGCCTGAATAGTTGTAAATTATACAGGATGCCAAATCAGATTAAAATTTGGTAGATTGTTGCTAAGAAATTGATATTTCTATTCCGAATGATATTATTCGGCTTCAATTAACACAGGCTAGCACATTTCAATGAACTCCAGCCATTCTACGAATCATATTTGGCTAACCTTGCTATCATTTGACGCAAAAGAATGGGTGAACCAAAAGTCAGTGCATCCATATCTTCAGAAACCGTAGCAAACACTTTACCAGCTTTCGCAAGAGCGGCACATTGAGCTTCTGCTTCGCATGGTGCATCCAGGACTGGAATTCCCATCAACGTTACTAGCCGTTTAGCTTCTTCACTTTGTTCTTTTGTAACCTTCAAATTTCAGAAAACTTGACCAAAACAGCACTACGCAACAAAATAATTTTCATGTATGCTTCCTAGGTATTACAGAAAGTAAAAAGCAACAAATACTTTTCAAATTACAAAGCAATAAGTTGAAAATCCAAAAACTAACGCTGCAAATTCCCAATTTACTGGATATAATTTATAGTGTATGAAACAAACACTTTCTAATGGTAATAACACAGAAAGAACATACTTGCAGTACAAAAAAAAGATTTTAATGAACTACTACTTTCATTCGGTTTCTATCCTTGTTTAAGTATCTAAGAGGAACTGTGGATAAAACGAAAAAGTTCTGAAAGTGAAACAAAGAACAGAATATGGCACAATAATCCAAGTAAACACTCTTCTTCTTGAAGAATTTGAAATGTAAAAGTGATAACCTTTACAAGACGTTTTTCAAATTTGTTAACGGACGTCTCGTCTCCCAGTTCGACTGCATCATTTCGTTGTTTTTCTGCTTCGGTTCTTCGCTCGGTACGTTTCTCCAATTCACTTGTTTTCATCTGCGGTGGCTTGCCGTCAAATACATATACTGGTTTTATTCCATTATCGATCATTCGAATAGTTCGATAAAACATGCCAAGCAAATGACTTGAAAAAAGATCGAGTCATCCTTAATACTTTCACATATAATGCTTTGCTCCAGATGAATTAGCAATTAAGCCGAACACTGATTTGTTGCAAACTATTTCTTCTTCAAAGAAATAATAACTATAATCAAACTTAAAAATCGCCTGTGTTTATGCTGCAGAGTTCACTTTAGCTTTATTTACTAAGAAAATGCTTTTGCTTCTCGGACTACATTTCAAAGTATTACCAAGAATTTGGAACCAATACGAGCAAGCTGGTGGATTATTGTGCGGAATCAAACCATTTATTACATTGACAAGATTTCACGTAACGGTGTATAGCGCGGTGTAAACACATGAGCACTGATATTCGACAAGGTGCCTCATCGTCATCTTAGAGATCCAGCTTTTTACAACTATAAGTATTATCAATTAATCACCTCGTTGTTTCGCCGCTTTCGGTCTGAAGCTGTGATCCATCTTGTCGCACTGCAATGAGGAACTGATAGAGACACATTGATGCATCCACTGCTACTTTTCGACCAAAATATCCTTTAAATTCCTTAAGTCGTATACTATTTGGCGAATGGTCACCGATCACCTTTGACAGATCCTTCACACCCATTGCTGCAAATGTTAATTAAGAAAAAATCACTCGTTGAGCTATTACACTATAAAGAAAGAGGTCATTCTCAAGATCGATGAAAGCATTCTAGGACTGACATATGAATCAACCATCAATCAATCAATCACTTAGTGTGCTTAATCCTTCAATGTTCGTTTCCCGGATGCTAATCTTTTAGCCATATCGGGAACAAATCACCGCTCAATGGCATGTACTCAACACCACTGCAACCTAAATTTCAAAAAACCGCCAACCGATACTTGTGTTGTAGCGCTTTCCGTGATTCCTCGCTGCATCAATGAAGGGAGGAGGAGTGGATCAGAGAGGAGGGGTTGACAAGGTGGAGAGAGGAGGGTATTTATCAAGATTGGAGTATTTGGCATGTTTGAAGTATGCTTGTCGTTGTAAGTTATGTCGGTCGCGTATGCTTCCATCTATTGTGTATTTGGAGTTGTGTAGATGGACTGCTTCGTTCATTTTTACCATTTTAAAATATTCCCTGAAGGCTTCGATGATATCTTCAAATACTATGGAAAATTCGATGATTGATGATCACTTTAGTGAGGAGGATTTTGACGCAATATCTTGTTGGTATTTTTGCTTAAAAATTTTTTTTTTTGGATATCACTTCAAACTTGCTGAATTTTTAACTAAAAAATGTATTGTAAAGTTTTAAAATTTTTTCTGGTGCTATAGGTGTAGGTTACTTTATCTTCTAAAGTGTAATTCACTCCACTTTTGTAGCTGAATGTCTCCCAAACATGATTTTGACGCGGATTACAATGACAAGTCAAGTCCTGGCAAATTAGTTTCTTTTTTAGAAATGAAGTGAAAGAACTTTAGTTTTTTATCGTTTTAGACGTTCGGGACCAGTTAAGAGGTATGAAAAGTGGCGATGAAACACGACAGTTGCAAGCATTTCACGCTAGATTAAATGTAGCTAATGCACAATCATCGGAATTAGTGAAGAAGAGTGTCTTTTTGAACTATAAAAAGTTCATCGATACTGCCAGAGAAGTTTCATGTTACGTTTCTTCATAGAGTTGAATGTATCCTTTTCCTTTTCAGCACTATATAGTTTTGCCGTTGATCCATTCCATTAATACTCTCCCAAATATGTAAGGTTAAAAAGATTTCTTTGTGCTTTTTCTAGAATAGATTTTGCTGACGATTTTGGTAACAAATGTCTAAACAATACGAGCCCTGGAACCTTTTTTCATCTGTTAACCGATCAGTTATGTAATTATATAACTCTTTGAGCTTTTTTAATTTCGTAGACTTTTTTAATCGTTTTGTAAAATTTAAGCATGTTTTATCATTTCAAAGTGATCAAAAGAATTTAAAATATTGCATACGAATGCGGTTCATCAACCAAATACAAATATAAATCCACAATTTCAGTTGTAGTTGTATTTCTATTCAAAATTTCTTTTTTGCTTCTTTTTTTTTTTCTTTTTTTACTAACTTTTCTTGTATAAGCTTTTTTTTTTTTATATTCTTCGCAAGCTTTTATTTCTTTTTAGATCTGGAACGGGAAATATATGAACTTTCATCACTGTTATCAGATCAACGGATGCTTATTGAAACACTGATGCAGATGACTGGGGAAGATCGTTCTTCCATTGGAACTGCCAGTCTTCACACTTCATTCAGCGTTAACCCAATGAATGTATTGATGCAGAAAATGGACGGTATTGCTGTAGGTTTTCAATTACATGTTTTGATAGTAGGCAGTACTTTTCAAAGCAGCAGTGATATATCTTATTGAGATGTCATGTTGCTGCTTGCATTAAATTCTTTTATGGCTTATTTCCACTTACTTGCAACTTGTCCCTTGCAGTCTATGTTAAATAATTTACCAACTTCTGATCGAGTAATCATGCACGGTGAAGTAGTTCAGTTGGACAGCGACAACATGCGGCCACAACACAATGTAATGCTTATTTTGTTATCAGACCGACTACTCATTGGACAACCATCTTCAGGTTATATTTCTTCATGTGTTTTAGTTTGTAAAATTTCATCGGTTATTCATTTATATGTGGTATCATATATGGTATTAAGAAATGTTATTATTTTAGGAAAATATCGTTTTCAGTTGGAATCTTCACATCCGTTGAACAATATAGCAGCTGTTAATATCAAGGATAGAGAAAATGGCGAAACTGTGACCAGCATGTTTAAGTTGTTGATTTTTCCAGGACAAAGGTATTTTGTCTATATGGAGGTATTCTATCAATAAGATACCACTAAAATACATGGTAGACGTTAAGAGAAAATATGTATACTAGAGCAGTTGAAAGAGGAACTAAACTCAGTTAAATTTGGGAACACGTATTTTCTTTCAATACGCTTCATTCTCAAGTATATAAGACTACGTCAAGAAATTAATTTAATCTTGAAGAAACATTCCCAAACAGGTTTTTTCTTGCTGAAAATGCCCGAATTAAAAAAGAATGGTTGGACTGCATCGAGAATGCCAAAAGAGAACTCCTTCATGAGGGATCATTAGTACGTCAAGCAACAATCCGTGGGAAACGTCGACATGACCTGTCAGCGAAGATGGAATTAGGTAATCAATTTATGCCGGTTGCGGAGTCGGTTGCTATTAAATCACCTGATGAAAGTGCATGGCTCAATGAATTGCCTGCAGAATTGGATGATTGCATTGCTCATCGAGATATGGAACACGCGGTACTTTTCGAAGTTCAATTCATAAGAAAATATTTGAATTCTTAGAGAAGCTTGTGGTCGAAGTGGGATAAAACTGCTGATTCGGAGAAGTATGGACTTTGAAATTAAAGGATCGAACAAATCTGTATTTTAGGTAGAGTTGATAATGGAATGGAAAAGTTGCAACACAAAAGAAGCAACAATTGATGCACAGCTGACACTTCGTGAAACCCAAATTGTGCAGTTACTTAGCGAAAAGGCAAGGTGATTTTATTAACACGAAAATGATTTTTCAACAATGACAATGGAACCCTTGAAATGCTTTTGGAAAGTTGATATAGAGAGGTTTATTTTTATAACTCAATTTTATGTTTTATTAGTGCAGGTTCGTCGTCCAGGTGCTTTACATGGTGGTCCTCGAGCTATCAAGAAAGCAATCAACCTTTTAACGATTCTTGGCCGAGCTTCACAAGCAGTTGACCTTTACTTGAAAAAAAGGAGCACAGTGGTTAGTTACTTGTTTATGTTTTTTTTTTTCTTCGGATATGAGGTGATGAAGAATGGCAATGAACATTTAAAGTTTTTTGAATATTGTTACTTCAAATGTATGGGTAACTGCATTTTTTCTTACGATTGGAAAATCTCTGTTAGACTGTTTAAAGATTAGAAAATCTACGGAGTAAGAGCTGTTCATATAATTTATTTAATGCCCAATTTCTATCCATTTCCTTTAATGTTCGAATTCGATATCCATTTTCTTTAATTGGTGTATTTTAGTAGGACTTTTCGTTAATATAAAGCATAGCTTTCGGCTTTTACAGTTGATTTTGACTGGCACTTTTACGATGGTGTTTCCTATATTGGATAATCATTTGTCATTGTCGCACTATCCACGTTTTACGTGTTATTGAACACGTTACTGAAAATGATTGGCATTGGAAGTTTCAGTTTTAAGATAAGATATAGAGATTTTTAATGATAGAATTCACTGCCGTTCTTATAAAATCACGAAATTTCCTGAATTATGAAAATATCATAAGTCAAGTTTGAAATTGCCAACTTTCTCACTGCGGATGATACTTTTTCATAAATTTTTCTTTTTAATTCATTTTTAGCTGCGGACAACTACTCGAGAATTGACAATGAGCGAAGAACCATTGTCGTATGTACGACAGTTATCACAACAGTTTTTAGATGTTATATCAGATGTTGTTAAGGAATTCTTGATGCAACCTGAACACTTTTCTCTTATATTGCATTGGTGTTCTGGTGAATTAAGTGTTATGCTGTCTTTAATACGAAAGCATGTTATCGAGGTATATAATCAATGAAACATTAATCTGTTTGGAAGGGCTTTTATCACTATGGAATTTGTTTTAAAAGAAGAAAATTATCATTCTGCCAGTTTGTGTGCATGCAAGATTTATTTCAGTAAAGTTCAGAAAAGAGGGAAATTCTAGAAATCTTTTTTTTTTTGTTTTTTCTAGGTGGCACCAACAATGGCAGTGCTTGCACATACTTGGCGAATATTGATGATACATTGCGATAATTTAATTACAGTTGGTGTTGATTTGTCTTTTGAAGTACATCGTCTGCTTGCACCATCACTTAAGATTGCAATTGAAACAAATTTTAGCAACATAATCGAATCAGTTCGTCTTCGAGTTTCTGTAAGTTCTATAATACCTTAGGAAACTTTCTTGCTTTCGTAGCGGTGAGACTTTACTGGAGTATAATTACCATCCTTCATCAGTCGAGAGTGGATTGCATTAATCCTCTTTAAGTGATTGGTTTCTGAATTTCAAAGTTGTCGATTTTTAAGTCTTAATTTTTTTGTGACCCTAATATAATGTTCCATATGTTTGCCAAAGAATTAAATTTTTCTCCCAAAGTTGTTCCTGTAAAATTCACAATATATTATAGATACTTTGTGCAGTTCCTTAAGCTCCTTCATAAACATTTTTAGGAAGAGCGTTGGAAAGCATACCATATGGAAAGTGAATCGAATGTGAATCGTTTTATAGAGGAAATGTCTGATATGGGACTGTCAGTTGATTGGGCACTGTCTACCACGCAGTGTTCTTCCATTAATATTACCCAGAATGCCTGCCACTTTTCTCGAGTTGCCTTTATGTTGGCTCGCGACCTTGCAATGATAAGGTTATTAAAATGAAAAGGATTTGAACTGTTTCTGTAATGTCGAGATTTTTTCGACTTTGTAATGTTATTCTTATAACTGTCGTAATCATTCCTTGCATATATTTGACATTTGCAGTGTTCCTTGAAGTTGTAGTACAGGTTTTATAAGGAAATGACAATATTTCTCCAGATCTTCACATTTACGCTATCTCACTGACTCCTTCATGGTGAAGCTTTGGAGTGAATATTTAAATCATTTGAAAAGCGCGCCGCAATCGTCTTTGCAACAATATACATCAGTATTTGTTATTTCTCAAGTCAGCGATATTTTTCTTTCTTCGGTTATATTTTTTCACTGCATGGATTCTGGTTCAATCAAATGTTTTCAAATCACTAGAAAAAAAATTTTTTCTGCAGTTTTTAGTACCTTAATTTCATACGCATCCATATTTGAAAATTTTTTCAAATTTTTATGAAATTTTTCTGAAAAAATAAATTTCTGAAAAAAAAAAATACCAAAATCGACTCCTTACGAATTTACAAATCCAGCATTTCTGAGAAGTTATCCATATTATATCGAAAATTCCCTTGTTCCTTCCATATATATATATATATATATATATATTACAACAATCTTTATGCGCTGATGTTTATAATTTTTTGATGCGAGACTATTCCTTCATTTGATCTCATTAACAGCTGTAGCGTATATTATTTACCAACGATTACTCTCGATAAATTGTAATCAGCAACCAAAAATAGCATATAAAATTCTTATTTTTCGTAATATTTAACGAAAGGAATAGGTTACAAAAATAATTATTTTACCCACTATCAAATTCAATTAATAATTTTCAGCAATTCTTTTCAGTTGTTGCCTCTCTGTGATGCAATCTACGATGAATCTGCACCAGGAATATTGTCCGAACTTTTGCAAACAAAATTTGGAATTTTGTTACGGTATCGAGGGAATTTTCATGTGGCTTCTAGTGACGAAGACGTGGCACATATTTAGGATGCTAATTTATTGATATATTCATGATCAGTCTTTTGTTGTTTTAACGATGGACATTTTTCCTTGCTTTTAATATCATTACAGATATTTTTGATAAGATTATCTAAAGTAAATATATGATAAACATTTGAATATATATGTATATAAATTGTTTGAGCTTTGTCGCGAAATTTATTGCTTCCAAGCCTTTTGTCGACTATAACTTCGGTATTCTGCAAAGAAACATTATCTTCCAGAAGAATTTAAGTAAAAGAAATTCTTGCTAAAATCTTATTTTTACAATACATCTTTTTCCAAATTATATGTTTTCCAAATTGCATGGTCGATAAGTGTTTTAGGTCAGTTTTTTTGACTTGAATTCAAATCTAGTTCGCTTAGCTGTAGAAAAGTTGGGTTGTCGCTGGAAATCGTGTGGATGCTGTTTTTTCTGTGCCAATACTTTTTTGTCTTTTTACTTTTATCAACAGCAAGATACGACGAAACGCCTGATTTTTGTTGTCTTTGGTTGCTTATTTGTTTGTTAACTTATTAGCATATTCATTCCAACTGAGTAACTAGTATTTCATTTATTCAATAATTATTTAGATGTATTGCATACATTGAAATATAATTCGTGTACATCAGAGTTCTTGGTAATGCAGGTTTGACTCTATGTAAGCCATCTTTGTTCCCGTGTTACAATGAGATGCAGAGTTTGTTGAGTACTGCATTTGCATACTTCTTTGTTTCCTGATGTAATCAGGTTTTCTCCGACTATTCAGAAGTAAATACTGAATATGTATTTTGCTATATCAAAATAGTTTCAGTCACTTTTGTGTATTAAAGTGCTGCTAGCTTGCACGCTGAAACACGATTTAACATGTATTCAGTCGTCGAAGGTACCAGAAATCTGGTAGATAAGGTGCGTCATCGTGTTATCAGTGGTACTTTTACTGGTAATCGTTCATCGTTTGGTTCCACAATAAATCTCGCAAATGAATGTGGCATTCCATCGAGAGCCAACTCGATGGGTTACACTGAACTAATGGAAGGTTCAGTGCCTTGTCCAAGTTGTAAGGGCTCTGGGCGAATCCCGAAAGGTAGAATTTTATTTAATTTGCTACTTAATGTATTGCTCTTCCTCTCTGAAAGTTTATTTGTTGGGAAATCGACATTTCATTTGAAACGAAATACTCTTTTTTTTTTTTTTTTTCAGAATTAGAGGAAACATTGGTGGCTCTAATTCCAGTTAATGACGATCGTTTGAAACCGAAAAGAACGTATGTTGCCATTTCTTATTGACAGTTTTCTGTTTAATTTTAGTTAAGATAGTTTAATTTCTATTTTATTTTAGTCTTTCATATAAGTGATTTTAATGCATACTGTGTTGCAGCTGGCTTTACGTTTTTTGCGTCGTTCTTGGCTGTCTCTCATTGGCAGGTGTTGTAATTTTCTTATTGGTACCACGCGCGATTTACCTAACTAGCACAAAGCCACCAGTTGAAATCATAACAGTTTTTGACCACATGAGTAATCATATCAGTTTTCATTTTATGGTAACTTTTAAACTCTCTTTATTATTAAGTCTTGTAACTTTCATTTCTGTTAGTTTTAGCAAGTGAATATCTGAGAAATATTCCCTTTATGCTATTACCAGTTTACCATATTTCATGCTGACTGATGGTGATAGAACTGTGTTATCATTAAATGAACTTTTGGAAAGTAATAATTCCATACGAGGTAATTGTTAGTTGTTCAAGACATGAGTAGTTCAAATCATTGTAACTCATTCACTTTTTTTTTTTAAAGAATTTCATCACCGCAAAAAAATTTCATTGCGTTACATACTTGTACACATAACATGGATATGTCTGCTATACTCGTAAAATTTATATGTTTGTGAGAAATTGTAGAACGAATTCAATATATCCAATGCAAATTACTATTCTGTAAAAGTGCTAAATTCATCGGCTACAGTCTTATCGAAATTTCAACCTTGGTCAACAGACGTCATTGGTGTTGGTGGCAACACCACTGATGTATTTGTTGGACCAAGAAACAGTCGAAAGTTGCAGTTCAACAATACAGTGACACTAAAAGGTGGTGTCGCGTAAGTTTGTTTTTCTAAAAGGGCTCATTATGAAGTTGATGATTAAATGCTTGCTTTTACATCAAATAATTTCAACATGTGGTGATGAACTCTGTTGTAAGAAATATTATTTAAATAGGTGGAAAATGTAGATTTAATTCAGTTCTTTTCTAGTTGTTGCACCAATTATATTTAGAAATAATTTCATACTTTAAAATGTCTTCTTAACAGTTCCTTCTTCTTTGCAGGGAATACTGTCAAGCGCCATTTGCGCAATTGACTTCGCTCTATGTTAATATGCAGTTTGACATATCGGTTACATTGGAATATTTAAATCATCGTGAGCAGGCAACTCTCTCTGTTGTTCAACAAGTCTGTTGTGTGCCATCTGGCAACTGTACTGCTACTGAGTGGTGATAGTATATAGATTGATTTTTTGATGTTTACGAAGAATTTGACTATTTTAATATTTTATTGCAGAATACTGCATTCCCATCTCAGTAATATAAATGAACTTCACCTTTTGTTATGTTCTTACTATAGTTGTATTATATAGTTACCTTTTAACAGCAGTTTTTCTCGAAATTTCCTATTTAGTTAGTGCACTTGAATTTCAGCAATTTTTATATTTACAGTGGTTCTGTTTTTTTCCTAATCATAGAAAGCTTTCTGATTGGAATTTGATATAATCGATGAAGTACTAAGTTGACAAGACGGGCAAAAAAATTCATTCAGTTCTTCAGGGAATCTAAGTGTTTGAACATCATCTGTCCATCATCGTTTTTTGAGATCATTTGTAGGAATTTACTATCCCGACGTTTACAATAAAGCTATTCAGCTTAATCTTTGCTTAACTGGATAAATGTTCTCTATATGCATAGAAATTTCTATATGTTTTAAGACTTTAATCTATAACGAAATTTTATTGCAGAATACTGTGTGTTATTGAATAATTTGTGTCACTTCTTAATTCTCATTCTAATAATAATTTGAAAGTACTTGAAATGCGTGTGACATGTACGTTTATTTGTTGGCTTCCGTCTGCTTAATTGCACCAGTCTCTGTTTTAGTTTGTTTCTATATTTATTGTCGAAGATGCTATTTTAACAATCGAGACCTAGAGCTCCTCCTGCAATTGTACCTCGACATGCTTCAGATGTAATCAAAGCTAAATTAATTTTAGTTGAATTAGTACAGAGAATTGTGGGGCGTCAGATCTCTCTCCTTTATCAACAGCAAGCATCACTCCAAAATTTATTTCAGCAATTTTAGCTAAGGAATCATTGTGGTAATGGGAAATTGTGGAACATTATCACATCATAAGTTGCACAGCTTTTCGTGTCAGAATTTACCGTGAATAACGGAGGGATGTATCAGTACAGTTTACTTGCACATTAATGTACGCAGTAAAACATCGCGTTTTGTGTATACATATTTAAATGAAAAAGTCAAAATAATTTAAGTATAGAATACCGCAATTCAAAACTATGAAGCAAGACAGTAAATATGTGGCAACTCGGTACGGGATTTTCAAAATCCTAGTTCAACATTTAAGACTGATCTCTATTTCTAAATAAGTAGTCCGAATTTTCAGGCTCCCAGTTTAAATTTTAAAAAAGAGTATGCAGTACAGAAAACAGCAAAACAAATTTTTATTCTCTCAATAATTTATTCTCTTCTAACCTATAAAGTCCGAGCAGTTTTTTAAAGACTGAAATTAGCAAAACACAGTCAGTCCAGTGAGCATCAGTACTGTGTCACTTCAAGTTATGTTACACTTATTACAAGACTGTCTTAATAACGAATATACAATGTATAATTATAGTTCATATTTCAGATGAAAAAAACCGTTTGAAATTAATTCACCAACAAACACCTACTGCCTGCCTATTCTAAACACCGCTAACCAAAAGGCGTTTGCGTGATTTATCAAATCATTTTGGATTAAACAAAAAACGCTTCAGGGAAAACAAATAACATTATTATCGAAAGACATTTCACGTTTTCCTCATGCGTGCATACAATATTTGAAAAACAGAAAAAGACAGTGCACACGACACACGTTATCAATATACCGAACATTAGCACAAAAAATGGCTCTTTGAGAATTGCAAAGACTTCCGAAAATAGTGACAGGAAAATTGTTCTATTGTGGCAAATATCCCAGCAGAAATGACGCACGCACACTGAATCAACCACAGAATATTGAGACACATTGTCACAATGTTGATTTGAATTTCACATCAAATTAATCCACTTAATTGAAGAGATAAAACGAAGTATAATGAAAACTTATTAAACGTACAAAACACACTACAAATTATCAAATGTTGGAGAATTGCATGCTTTTAATATACAGTATAAAAAACAAGAGAAATGAAACGACAAAACAATTTTATGACTACGCAAAACGACGAGATCGCAGGGACAAAACTACGCACGAAGATCAGTGCTTCGTATAAATAAGCTTCTTCAGGCTATGAGCTGATACTCCTTTTTGATATGTCGAAGCTAATTTTTGTGAAGTTTTGACAATTTCTATATAGTTCTACCCTAAATCTTATATTCTGCAAAATAACCAAACATGAGCTAATACGACTTTCAAAAAATAAAAGATGAGAAATAAAACTATGGAAAAATGAATTTTACATTTTAAACGATAATGCAATAACGACAAGGATAAAATACTGGGGACCTCATTAAGGCATAAATGTTCGGATTTTAGATGAAAGATGGCACTGCGCTATGAGAAAAATAATTTTTGAAACTGAGGGAAAGGCTAGACGAATCATTAACTCCAAGCAAAACTAATATTTGCCAACACTTACTAAAATTTAAGTTCCAACTTTCCATCTTTCAGTTATAAGAAAACCAATCTTAGTAGAAAAAGTCAAGATACAATTAAAAAATAGCTGAAAGTGACATAAAAGCTTAGTGAAATTATCTTAAAATTCCGGCAAATTATTGTACGATCTTCAAGTCCTGTAACTACACCGGTTTAAAAACATAAATAAAAACAACGGCGAATAAGATAAACAAAACAAAACAAAAAAAAAACACAAGTACGAAATATGACCTAATTTGAAAGTTGAGCGCGAACCGAACTCCCATTTGAACAAAATAGCACTGAACGGAAACATCGCATAACAAAGCTGTTTTTCACATTGATCAAAAATGACTCGAACAAGTGGTAATTAGTTGGTACCATCGTTTCTATACAATTACGACGTTTTCGGCTGAAGCATAATCTTTATAATCGACGAAACTGAGATGAGAGTAAGACGGCAGGTGGGCGTAGTTTAGAATTTAGAAATAATTCATTAGCGTGTTTTGAAAGAAACGATTCATTTTCATATAACTTTTCTCAATAGAATCTAAATGTATACATCGATAAAGACTGTGGATATCCAGAATCTAAAAAATTTCTTCTTACCTGCTGCTTCAACATTTGCTGCTGCCGAGCCACTGTGGCAGAAAAATTATTTTGAGCACTTTGTACACTGATATTCGCGAAAGGAGGTTGTGTTGGAGTGTTCCCACTACATCCAACAACAATACTACCGGGACCACCTACACGTCTCATATATGGAGCCTGATACGCTGCTAAATTCATCATTATTATTGAAAATCACAAACTTCAAGATTTTTTGCTTATAACTTTTCATTCTATTAAATATATTACAAAAAGAGATCGATGCCGAAAAAATTAGCTAAAGGAACCTTCTTTATTATCTTATACACAAATATCAGATAGGAAAATGCATGAGCTAAAACGGAAAAGACAGAAATTTTGGCAAAAAAAAATTACACGGAGTCGAACCAAATGTTGGGACGGTAATTTCATCTTCGTCATCATAAGACAATGCTTCCAGCGATAAATCTGCCTTACGGCGATTACGCCTCGCTGTCCCCGAAACTTTTGGCGAAGATCTCTGCGGCTGCTGCACATCAGTTATTGTCACCGCTGAAACCAACCCACCCGTTAGTCTTCGCTCGTCATCATTTGACTGCGATAGCGGAAGCACTCCGTTGCATGACTGAACATATCCGCGTTCCTAAATTTGAAAAACAGATTAAAGTCATTTACCATCAGGCAACTTATAATGTATAAGAGGAGATAAAAAAAAAAAGAAGATATGAAGATTGCCAAAAAAGACAAAAAAAAATATGTATCTCAAATCTAATCTCTAAATCCAATGTTAAAATTTTTGGAGAATGCTGCACCATTGTGTCTTGAAATCAGTAATCGACAGTAATAAAGCTAACGCATAATGTTCAACTTTGAATTCACAAGTAACGTCTAAAAGAAAAAAGAACGTGTTAAAGTATTTTCTATCATAACTTGAAACACGTTTTGAAATTAATAAACTAAACCACTCACTTTTAACATGTTCAGTGATTCATGCCCGTTGGTCAAATGGTGATGTTCAGCTGTGTTGTTTGACCTTTGATCGCCAATTCGATCACTAATTCTCTGGTCCTTCTGTTGTCTAGCAGATAGAGTGAGACCATGCATTTCGCTATTTCCACCTGAAATAAAAATTTAAACAGTCCAAAAATTATCTTGACAATGATTGAAATGTTAAGGTCAAAAAATAAAATATTACATATGAAAGATATCATTTGCCTTGAAAGCGAACCAAAATAACCCCAAACAATGAATATAAAGGAATGATTATACATGATTCTTTTTTCAATAATTTTAAAGCTTAAAACAGTCAAAGAATTCTCTCTTTACAAGTTAAGGAAACAGTTAAAACTCGATAATTGAGAAAATTGGTTAGCAAAAAAATAAACATAAACCATACCGTGAAAACTTTCACGACTTGCAGAAACTAGCGTTTTACTTGACGGAAAGGCAGAATTCCCTGTCGCCTGACCATTATGAGAACCACTAGCTCCGACTCCTGAACCTTCTATTGCATCAGTGTTTGAAAACTGCTGAGCTGGAAAAACTTCGTGTAACTACACTCGAGTCATTTCAAATTCATTATCCCATCAAAAGCAAAATATTAAATTTCAACGTTATAAAAGATTTTATTTCCGTTTTCACTCTAACATACTTACGGAATAAGCTTAGCTCAAACTCAGTTTACTGTCCTTTATAATCAAAATTGATAAGCATTTTTAAGATGACTTGAATTCAAAGATTTTTCCACATCATAAAAAATGTTAGCTTTAGATGCTTATCTTTAATACAAAGAACTTTAATACAAACCAAAGACAAAAACGAGATAAAACAAACATAAGCTCAAAAATAAGAATCTAACTTACATAAACCATTTCGCTCAATCTGCTAAGAAATAAAACTAACCTTGTTGAGAGCTCTGAAATTGCCCAGGTTGTTTGATTGCATTCACCGGTCTCATACTGTTGTTAACGTTGTTACCCATCATTTTTCCTACATGAATAGAGGGATTCAGATCTTTTAACTGACATGCACACTTTACGAAGATTTTACACATTACCCCAGCAAAAGCAAATCTCTAAAAGCTCACTTACTAAGAAGAGTTGAATTTAAAATCAAATTAATAACCAACAATCAAATGTACAAATGAAAAACGAAATACAAACTGTCACTAGTCCCAGTCTGTTCAGCCGTCGAAGACTGAATATTTGTTGATAAACGATTCCGTGATCCACGAAAATAATTCGAAATGCTTGTCGAGGAAAAGCTGTCTTGATCGGAAAGTGCTCGCATAACTACTGCATCTAAATGGAACAATTTCAAAGTATTATCGAAAAGACATAGATTTACTAAAAATATACCGAGATAGGTAAAAGGACAAAATTCTTGCAATTAAAAAGGTGAAAAGCACGATAAGCAATAATGTGGGTTCTTCTTGAAACATTGAAAAACTGCCTTCTGATTAAGTAATTAATATATTAATGCAGATCCAGATCGGTTTCAATAGCTGCAAATTTTCTCTGTCAGAGAAAATTTGCAGCTTTTAGATTTCTAATTCTTATTCAACTTTCAAAGATAACGTGAAAAGACTTCATAGATACCTATAGTAGAGTTGATCGGATCTTTGTCATATTCAATGGAAGCAACGTTCGAATCAGTAGTTGATGCTCGTGGTGTTGCTTCACCATCTGAAAACATTCCTGAATTCACCTAAATATTTCTGTGCCAATTTCAGTCATTGTTTTAGCTATGTATTTTTAAATCGCTGAAAAAGAAAATAAATCATTTTCAAACTTATAGACAAAAAAAAAAACGTCTGCAGTATCAAAACAATTGGAGATGTACATATTCGATTTTAATAAAACAAGGAGCCTTATCACCACTGTAATACAGCCAATATGACCCCATTGTAGATAAACAGCATTTAATGATTTTTAATCTAAAGAAAGGAACTCATTTTCTAAAAATTTAGTAACGCGGTCACTGTCTGACCAATTTAGTCTGAGTTCATTTCATAGTATATGGAACGTCCAATCGCACCAATGGCATCTATAAATGCAAATGAATTAATAAGTAAATGGACCTGATCGCGATGATCGTAAATCATCAATTCGCCCACAAGTTGGATGCAGTTGTGACTGTGAATGAACAGTTGGTGGAGCACTAAGTGGTGTACGAATAGACTGTTGCTGCGACAATGGTGATGCTGCATACTGTTGGTGTGTTACCGCAATATGTCTCGGCTGCTGCTGTCGGGTAGTAAAGTTGCTGCTATCTTTTTGGGGTGATGATCGAGGAGTATAAGGACTTGGAGAACAACTTGGTTGTGGTGGTGGGCTCATAAATAAATTGGATGCCCCTTGTGCTGGCTGCTGTTGCTGCTGTGGAGATGAATAACCCCGAGAAAGTGATTGTTGTTGCTGAGATAGACTGAGAGTACTCGGAAAACTACACTGCCGCATTTGAGTTTCACTACACATTTGTCTCATGTAACCAACACTTTGATGCTGCATTGGTGATTGGATGTCATACCGATTTTGAGGAGGCAACATACGACTGTAGTACTGTTGTTGTTGTTGGTGGTGGTGATGCTGCATATGTTGCTGAGTATTTGTTGGCCGCTGTTGCATTTGCTGTTGATGGGAAGCCATCAACGTTGCCCCAAATTCGCTTGATTCGGTCATTGGTTCAATGGAATCCAAATCATTGTAATCACCACCTAAAAATGGAATGTCTTATTAGCAACTGCAATATGTTAATCGATATTGGCTTAACTTTTATTAAATTTATATTTATAGAATTAAGGATTTGCATTTCTAAAAGTTAAAACAATGCCAAAGTGAAAAGTCTATAAACACTAACTGAGAACTTGTGAAAAGTTTATAAACACTAACTGAGAACTTACAGTCATCAGCAATATTAGCACCCAGTTCATCATCCATTTCAAAATCACCTCCACTTTGTAACACTGGCAAGCAGCTCTTTGGCTGCATGTCTAGACATTGCTGTTCTGCAGAGAACGGAGGCTGCTGTTGCTGCGATTCCTGCATTTGCATTGGTATTGTTTGCTGTTGTTGAGGTCGTGCAGGTACACTCACTTGCTGCTGTGACGGTGAAGACTGCGAATAAGTTAAAGCAGATGGAGGTGTTTGTTGATTTGCTGGCTGCTGGTAGGTCATATTTGGCTGAAATCATAACTAAGCTTGGTTGGAACCTTAACTTCACCAAAGACCGTAGAGTGGAAGTTGCCAAACAAATAAAAATTATGCAGTTCATGGAAATACTAAACTTACTTGTTGTTGCTGATATAGTGGCGACATCGTGCTGCTAGACTGTGATGCTGGCGAATAGTCAATTGACGCATTCCGACTAGTCATAGGAGATGTATGGACACTGCCAGATGAACCAGCACTCATCTCGGATACTGCAATAGAACCATTTCAAAACAGAGCAGCCATTCCTTCATTTAGATCTGTTTTGATCGTAAATGCACTGATTTCAACTTTTGCATGATCTATTAAGTTAAGATTTGTTGCACTGTGGTAATATGCTTATTTCCCATATTTACTATAATAATTCATCACATATCCCAATATTGTAAATCCAACTAAAATCCAAAAATAATTCTATTTACTGAGAATGTTTCAGATGATTGTATACATTACATATGCAGTAGCATGAGAAATTTCATTTTTTGATAAACAAACCACTATCTGTTTGAGGATAAATCATTCGCGAATGATGCGACTGATTGTTTTGCCAATGATGATGCATCTGACCACTATACATTATCTGTGGACGCTGCTGTGACATAATCTGAAATTCAGAACCACTTTATTAAAATTTGCGTTTTTAAAAACATAAGAACATATCTTCAACACTACTAATTTTAAGCAAACAAAAAAAGCAATAACGAACAAATAGTATAAAAAATAAAAGCACAAAGAAACAACAGTAAAAAAGGATTTTCGCGACTGCTTTTTAATTCAGGGAAAGCAATCACGTACAAGTTTCCATGAAGGAAGGTCGAGAAGATAACAAAAAAATAAAATATTTAAAATGGATTGCTAAAACTTCTTTACTTCTTCTTACTGAAAAATCATGAAAAAAGACCCAAAACGTACTTGTTGCTGGTGCTGTGGAACCCAAACGTTTTGTTGCTGATAAAAAGAAGGATTTGAAGATGGATTCTGAAAGTTTTTAAAATTAACAAATTGCTTCTCAGGTATGTTTTTATTGAAGGATTCGAAAAGAGAACATAAAACAATGGGTTCAGAAATAAATCATGAAAAATCGCGCAAAAAAGTTCCAGAATTTAAAGATATAACCTCAATTCCAAATCTGCCAAAAAACTTTTAATGAACAACCTGCATTATTGGCCCAGTTTGTGCAGGAACAGCCGGAGGAGAACGAAGTGTTTGTGAAGGATACCCTTGCGGATGCTGTGCATAAGTTATGCCGACACTCGGCTGACCACTATGCATTACCTGAAAACCAAGACTTATCATTGTACACCAATTTAACTCCTTAATGTGAATGGACGAAGGCTTACAGACTAGTTACTTTATAGAACCGCAGTACGTCAGTAGGATCTGAATAATCTACCACAGAATCTACCACAGGGACTGAATACCAAAAACCTCCTTATTATAGTGCTGTAAGCACTCGCAGTTCCGAAATTGAGCCATTTAGTTCAAAACACCAATATTTTGATTAATCATAGGTATTTCAACAAATCGGCATAAAGCATCGCAATTAAATTACAAACTAATGAAAAAACATTAATGTAACCTGTGACATGACAGTAGGCCTATCCACCGTATGAGCATTTGCAGAAGGCACTCGGCTATTCATCTGCTGCTCCATTATGAATTGCTGTTGCGCCGCAGCAGCAGCCGCTTGTTGTGCTAATTCAGCTTCTTTCAACTGCTTTTTAGTTGGTCGCTTTCTTTTCTTGGGAGGAGGAGCAGCAACAGACATTTGACTGCCAGCATCCTTAAATAGAACTTTCTTGCAAATACTTCAAATTTTAAATGCAAAGTGAATTGAAGATATAACTGTGACGCTTATATACAAACAGTGATATACTAGATGATTTTTTGTTTAAATTGTGGAATCGGAATAATGAATGCAAAATGTGGTAATTTATTGCAATAGCAAAATGAATAAATAGACATACGACAAAGAATCGTAAAAAATATCCTTTTCGTTCTGTTAGAATTAGAAATTCTTACATGTTCCAAAGAGACTGTCTGGTGAAAATGAACTGGCAATGGCTGTCCAGTAAGTCTTGGTTGCTGCTGCACGTGAATATAATGAGGAGGCATCATTTGTCCCTGCTGTGCATAAACAGCATGCTGTTGCGGTATTTGTCCGCGGACTGTGAAGCCCTTAAAAATATCATGATATAAACAACTCTTTATGCGAAATAAATAATCTATTAAAGTTTCTTATACTTGAATCACGATTCATCTTACTTTTTATTTATATATTTATATATATATATATATTACTATAGGTGGAAATGTTATTACATTTTTAATCGGTCATGGAAAAAATGAAAATAAGAAATCACTGCTAAAGTCAAATAACATCATTTAAAACCTACAGAGAGCATTGGACGTCTCTGGTTGTATTGAGGATAATATGCCTGAGGTAACTGCTGCGCTGGTGCACTCTGCTGTTGTGTAGCAACTACTTGCTGATGTCTTTCCATATTGACCTGGAATACACAATGTGATACAGTATCTACCATCGGTTCGAAAGATAACAGCAATACGGACATGACCTAAAACGGAGCATCAGAGCAAATCCAGTACACTCTATTTATGGGCTTTTATAAAAGAATTATCTGCACTGTACGTTGTCACTGCCAAGTGACAGTTGATAAATGTGTCGAAAAAACCAAAAACAAAAAAGCATGCCTCTTGTTGCGTTGGCCGCATTTGCTGTTGTTCAGAATGTGCATGTGTTGAGGTAGTTAAGTGAGAAACTTCCACTGAAGTTGCTGAAGGACGCATTCGACCAGGCTGCACTGGTGTATTCATTGTGCTTTGTCCCATGTACGGATATGACGAATAACCTGCATACATTAAAAATTTTTTAAATTTTCATCCTCCTTCAGCTTCCACTTACAATATAAACAAGCAGCTTCAATGTAACCGAAATGTGCTTACATGCCGAAACTAAGGTTTTGTAAGAAAAAAGGTATCATACCAACAGTTCCCTGAGTTTGTGGAGAAGGGGCTGACATGTGCTGCATTATCGGAGCAGCAGAAGGACGCGACATATGTGTATGTTGCAAATTATGCATACCAGCGTTAGCAACTGGTGATGAACTTCTGAAGATTTAACAACGTTAATAAATAATTCAGGATAATGATGCTCAGATTTACAAATTTATGGCAGTTCTGTGTAGCAGTAGAATTGTATCATAAAAAATATAACCGTTAAATTTGGTTAGCTCCATCAACACTCAAGTGCATGTAACGAGAAATGTTCAAGACAAAGCTGTTGCCGTCTACACTTGGCATTTATTAATTATAGCGCATAAAAACAAGGATGGAAAGATAATAATATGCCTTAAGAGGGAAACAGCAAGGTTGAACATTACACGTAAAAATATAGTGAATAAGAGAAAGAAAATTAAGCTGCACCGTGATTAGCAATGTGAATAAATGTCCCTCTGGGATTACCTTAATAAATTAACCAACAATGGGCTGCTAGTATTAGATGTAGTCTGAGATTGCTGCTGCTTTACAGAAGCCACTGCATTAGTTGCATTGGATTGTCCACTAACTGTCCCCATATAACCATGCATCCCAACTCCTGTTTGATATATATCATTATTAATTACACCAGCTTTTCGTTTACCTGGTATATGACCAGCTGAAGTTGATGGCGTCAATTCATGTCGACCATTCTCACTGTAAAGCAGTACATATAATGGATGCACATATCCTCAAACAAATCAAAAATGTAATTATTGATTCGAAGAACTTTTACTTTCCACTAAAAAGAGATTTCAAAGCATTAGAATGATTCTCAAAAAGAAAAAAAAAAGCAAAATTCTGGAAAATTTCAATTGAAAAACGTACCTTTGATAAGGATCATAAATATTTGCTCTATCAGTAGCATTAGCATTCACTGGTACACCAGCCAAAGAATTCATTTCAGAACCTGTACTGGGATATGGAAGTGAAAGAAGGCTTAGTGTTGCATCATTCACAACCACTGGTAACAGATTTGATTCGCCCACTTTCACTGAGGTTATACCTAAAAATGTGAGACCGAATTGCGTATTTTAAGTCACAAGATTTTTTTAAGCACTTCGAAGAAACAGTACCAAAAGGAATTAAAAAGCAGTAAAAGAAATTATCACTTTTATTGCAGACATTATCACCACCTAATCCTATCTCTTAAAATAAAGTTTGGAATATTCGTGACAAGAAACCCAGATTTTGCCACTGTATAAGCAGATCATTATGCATCAAGGTTTGAAGAAACTAAGAACAAGTGAATTGAATCTTAAACAACTTAGCATATCTCTGTCACTTTTTTGCAATTCATTTTAAATTCTACAACAAGTGAGACAAATTCCAAATAAAAGTTTGTAACATTGAAATCATACTTAAATGTTTCAATGTAGCTGGTTGTTTCAATGCTATCCGCAGTAATTTATGGGAAATATTAGACGGTAGTAAAAATCTGCACCGACGACGTATAAGTCGAGACAACTGACAATCCTGCAACGTTGCTTTCTCGTCAAAAATACTGGTATCAGCTGTACTAGTAGACGGATAGGTTTCGTCTGTCAGCGTTCCTGAACTGGACGACAAAAGGATATTATCCGTTGGTACACTCGATGAAGGCTCATAACTGCAGCTATTGCTCTTCTGTTCTTCCACTGAAAATAATCTTAATATGTTATAAATGCATTAACACTGAAACCTTCATCTTTGATAAGCCTCTTACGATCACCTTGAATATATCAATACATTTTGTAAAAATATTTGGTTTTAATTTTTTGAAAAAAGTTTTCCAAGCTCTTTACCTTTTTTCCTCGTAACAGAAATAAACGTGGTTAGAAATCAAAAACTGCTAGACGTAAAACTGTTTCTCATACTACAGCACTGGCTTTACAATAAATCAGAGAATACTTCAACTTAAAGACTACTAATGCATTGTATTTGAAGCATACAAAATATTTTTTATCATTACTGACCTTTGTTTAATGACACTGTAGAACAAGGAATCAATACACGACCGTCAACCGCTGATGAATTTGATAGGCTTGTAGCGCCAGTGACGCAATCAGGATGTGACGATGAAGAGGTTGATGAACAATTTGGAAAATTTATTGGAGTTGTTGCCGTTGAAATGGACGCTGCCGGAGTTGTCCTATCAGTTACAGATAGATTATGTGTTTCTGCTGTTGCTTGTTGGTTGGTACCAAGCGACCGCTGTTCAGATTGCGGTTCTACACAAATACCGGCACACGACCACTGTTCGTTCATGCGGCATTCATAAGACGCTGTAAAGAAGACTATCTAAATATAATTTTTTCACTTATTTACAGTAATGTTTATAGATTCCTATTTAGAATATAGAAGACGAATTTTATACAACTGGAACCAATTTATAGCAGAGAGTATAGGAAATTGATTTCACGAAAACTTCAACCCCTAATTTTAACATAGAATGCACTTTTAAACCTAAAAAGAAACCACATGAAGCAAGCATAAAAAAACACCAACGAATAAAGCAAATATCATTTTTTAAACTTGCATTTTGCGCGAAAAGCTTTTCACCGCCGAATTTTGGCCGCGTTCATTAGACTAACAGGAACCTGAAAAATGGAACAATAGATAAATTAATTAATATCCCAATATTTCGTTATGCGTACATAAAAAAGTAGGTAAAGAAGCCGCAATAACTATATTACAATCAATTCTACTGTAGTCTTTTCTATTAGTCCCTCTTATGTTCAAAAGATTAATCGCTTAATTTTAAGAAATTTTTTCATAGTTTTAACATGATACCTACCATTCTTTTCTCACTTCAACTTCATTTCTGTTAAAATATTCGTATGTTTCCTAGCAGTTGTAAAATTGGAAATGCATTACAGCACATTTTTCTTCCTTACCGAGTATGTCGGATAACGCTTAGCGCTATCGTCTCGTTCATCTCGGTTACCGGTTAAGAAAGGAGTTATCCAAACATAAGTGTAAAGTTCTCAGTCCTTTTCTTTTCACAATCATACCCATGCATCATGAATAAAGATCAAAAACAATAAAAAATCAAACTGTCATCCAACTGTGCATAGTTTATAATATGCCCACATCCATCTACATTAGCAATCAAATTCACCTGATACAGCCTTCACGACGAATATATAGCCAAAATTTATACAATAACGAGAAACGATAGCAAGAGGAGAGTTCACAAAAATTGACATATTCTTCAAATGTGAATAACAAAATATTTAAACAGCGCCCACTTAGTAATCAAGTAATATCTTCCCATCATCTCACTATCAACTCATCCCATTTCTCGGGTCATCGTACGTTATTCGTTTACTTTGTCCATTCACACCTTCAAATTTTTTGATAGAGAAAGTCTCTTATCTGCTCTGTCATCCCCAATTTACCGTTTTACTGGTAATCAACAATGACATTTGCGCAACCTTGAATGTATACTTTACAAATTCATAGATAAAGGATTACATTTTAAATTTAATCAAAGCAAGAAATCGTTAACCGCCTGTTGATGCACTCAAGATCGGAAGAGTTCCAATCGCTGCATATCATAAGTACGACTTCTGTTAGCAATAAAGACCCAGACAAAAGACTAGTTGTCATCCAACTGCATATAGTTTATAACACGCTCCACACACACCTATATCAGCAGCCGTATACAACATATATAACTTTCAAATTAGTTTCTATTTTATACTTCAGAAGTACACCAATAACACCGATCATACTAGATGTCGGTCGAATTACAATTGTTTTAAATAATTCAATGTACGCAAGAGTGAAGAATGCATGCACACTTGATCTGATATGAGAAACTATGATAAAAACTAAATTGTAAGCTTAAGCTTGGAAACAAAAGAAAAAAGAAAGAGAAAAAGAAATAAACACTGATAACATATAATGTCTCCTCACGGAGACGTCACAGTAATACGAAGCAGCTTATTTACCATCCTCATCAGATCGATATTTATTAACCAGAAGTGAAGTTAGCATGAACATCAAATGAAGTTAGGGAGAGAAGACAAGTGACCTTTCTAGCAATCAGTAATATATTATGAGTCGAATCTGGTTATAAAACTTGGAATCTAAATTAAAAAGAGAATATGAAATGTCGGCATATAGTCTAATGGGCTGTCGTGGAGAAGAATCTAAGTCATATCTACGAATAATGACTGATCATCAGTTAAGGGCCTAACAACGCATCACTACACGCTATACCCACTGCCCACTAGCACAAGAGATGAACTACCTGCTAGCTACAGCGTGATGCATCAACATAAATATGGTAAACCATTGTTAAAGTAATTCCCGGCAACAACGAATTGTAGGAGTGACCGTCACATTTGAATGGATCTAATGCAGCTGGGCTGTTGGCCAGAATGTCGCCTTGCTACACTGATACTTCTGCATCCCATAACGCCACACTACAATATATATCTATCGGGAGGAGAGTGCCACCCGCAGTCCTAGTACTAGCAAGGGTTAACACACATACACACAAGTACACAGTACGGAGTGGTCAGACCGGGTTGGCACTGTTCCAAGGGTAGCAAACAAGTGGTAAAAAGACTTCGTGGAGATATCGTTTGGAGGAACAAGTTAAGTAATCCTTTGGGGAAAACAACCACCACGTGACGCAGCGTGCGTGCTACATCGCACTGCTCTTACAATACCAAACGCGATGCAACACTTGCAGAAGCCAGCGGCGGAGCAAAGCAGCGGCATCAGCAGCGACAACAGCAGCAGCACCATCGACCCTTCCCCTCCTCTTTGTCTCTGTCCTCCCACTGCAGTGCTTGCGAACGTTTCTACCATGCGACCGACCGCATTCGCAAGCGATCCACGTCCGCTGCATTAATGCGAGCGACACTGCCGCGCTGCACGATGGTTGCACCACTTGCTTTGTTATAAGCAAAGGCATACGGTAGATGGGCGCCTTCTTCAAGCACTGCCCACTCAGCACACATCGATTAGAGACATCCAGAGTTGCACCCGTCCGTTGGTTTGACAAACACGGCGCACTTGTCGGTCGAGTAAGGCCCGTGATGTTGGAAAACAGAGGTAGACAGACGGACCGGCCAGAGAAAGCATTAGACGATTGCACAATTCTACCTTTATCTCACATCGTGTCCCTGCCATCGTGTGTGCTTCCATGTGCCGTACATTCCCACTTTCATAAAAATGCTTATGTCGAATTCCGCATAAAAAATTTGTGAAGAATTTCACTGCCAACGTGAAAGGTCAAAACTGATAGGCGTGATGCGCAGTCACGCCGTCCAACTTGATTATTCTATCACTTCCTAACTATGTGAATTTTCGGATCTCTTTTTCTTAAATGGCTCACGACGCTAATTAACTATGTCTTCCCTGCCTACCCATTTACCTGAGTTATGGATAAATTGAATACAAGATGTACATGGTTTGTGAAGGTTTATAATCCGAATTTTGAAACGCACACATGAATAACATAACAATAAGAAAAACAGTGAAAGGCTTAATCGAACAATCCAAATCCCATGTCTTCGTCAGATTCCTCTTTTGGTTCTTCTTTCTTCTCTTCTGGAAATGCATTCCTTTTGTTCTTTCTATTGAAAAAACAATTTATGTAATCTCAAGAAATCTCAAATTGAACCGAATATTGCACCTTTTTTAGATTCCGCTTGTAACGCATCAGTGGGAGTTGCTGAAACGACTGGAGCTATTGCTGACACTGCAGCATCTGAAGGCACTGATGAGATCTTCGCCAGACCTGCTGTAATTACCTGCAATTTTTAAAGTAACATATCCTATTGCAATTGTTCTTGTCACTTTGATTTCCAAGCTTATTGAGCTCTTCTTTAAACACTCACGCCATTGCTAAGAATTAATCTAATTTAAAATGCCAGAACTTATCAAAACATACTGAATTTGTATAGAACTTACCAAGTAGAAAATATCAACTCAGATCTAATCATAACTAAATAATGTCGAAAACGAGGATTAATGTGTTCTGTGAAAGAAACTGATGGGACCAGACTTCACACAAAAAGAAACACGTAGACAAACCAAGCGCTTCGAGCAATTTCTGGATACCTCATGTCATATGAATTAAACTTACAGCAAAAATACATGAAAGGAATTTCATGAAAAGACGAATTTTCAGAATGCTTAATTTTCAGCAGCATAACGAAAAGATATACCTCATCAATGGATTTCCCAGATAAGGCTGACACGACTTTATTCGCATCTTCCATATCAACATCAAGTCCAACTGATCCTGTAAAACAGCAAATCATTATACAAACTTAAATATCCTTTATTATTGCTCCATACATAGTGCGGTAGTTTCGACAATCTCTACATACAAATATATATAGCATGTACTACACGTTAAGAAACTACTGAAGATTTTGATCGGAGTTTAATTTACCAAAAATGTATTAAAACATTAGAACGTTCATATTTGGGTTGAGAAAATTATATAATATTCATTGGGAAAAATTTAATCTGAAGAACAAAAAGGGAACTCGAAAGAAAAAATATTTCTTACCAAGCACATCCTCTATATCTTTTGCTGTCGGTGATTTGTTTCCACTCATTGTAGATAATAAATAAGCAGCCAAATACTTCATCATAACACCTGAGAATACACTAAAAATAAGCGACATGGGAGGTTTCCATTCAAGCTTCCACACACCGCCGCCCTTTGGGAAATCTCTGAGATGCAAACTAACAGTTAAGATAATCTTTGAAATGAAACCAAAGGATGAACTCATAGACCAACCCACCAGTCCCTCGCAGTTTAAGAGAAGAGAACGAGCCTAATGGGCTCACCTCTCCTCTCCTATGCCTCATCCTTCTGGCATATTATCAAACTTCTGAGAACCTGTAAAACCATTCTATCTGTTGCAGCGTTTTAAATTCACATTAACACGAGAAAACTGTTGACTTGTTGCAGTTTTCATAGCAATGCGGAAGCAGAGGACAGAGAAGCGGGGGGCGACAAGAGTGCGAGGTGACGCAGACGTGTTCACATCTGAACGTGTACCACGTATTATTAAGAGGCAGTTGGTGCGATTTGAGTAATAAACTCGACTCTGCTTTGTCTCATATCTACTGAAACATGATGTATGTCGTAGTGAAGGTGGTAGTAAATGCTGACGACTTATTTTCTTAGATTTTAAAATCATTAGCTAATAGTTAAAGTGGGCATAATTTTGAATACAGAATATCAGAATTAACTCAGTAGCGTGCATGTATTAGGGAGCGTGTGAGTTCAACTTAATGTTAAAATGTAATATGATGCATTAACGTGATCTTATCACTTACGTGTTCACCGCGATTTCATCGTTTATATGGTTATGTATTAGAAGCAACTTTATATTTAGCAAGCCTGTAATGGACCTTCAAAACCATACTTCTCATTTATGTTATTCATATCAGAAAGCCATGCATGAAAATTAGTTCACCTTAGTATGTATAGTTTAAAAGTATTGTAGAGTGTTACACCTATCATATGGGATTGTTAAATGTAGTTTAAAATTACAAATCTAAAATAATTAATAATCCTATCAAAACTTGTTCTCATTGCGAGTAATTGTTATATTTGCGATCCATGTTTTCCTGGTCCTTGTTCAATTCGAGATGTCATGCCAATACTTACAAGTTCAGTTGTACTCCTTACTTTGTTCCGTTAAATGCCTAGTTTCGCTACTAGTTGGTGAAGCAAGAATAATGGATTTTTGTCATGATGGCATCTTACTTTCACAAAAGATTATTGTTCTTTCAATCAAACAACTCTCCTCAAATTTTATTCCTTATTATAATTACAAAGATCATGTTCATTGCAACAGCAGAAGCTGATAGGTACACCTTGGAATGTTGTACTTCGGCATGTGTTCGCTGATAACTGAAAAGATTATTTTGTCATATTTACCGAAATTTTACAGAAATATCTGAATAAAATGGTTGTTTTTGTGAGGTTTCGGAGAATTTTGCATATCGCATTTGTTTGGATTTTATGTGATTTTTATGTATTTTATGTATTCTTATTAATTCCCGACTTCACTTTCAGACTTAACATATATTCCTGATAAGCAAAAGATTTACCATGCACCTATAGGTTGAACAACCAGCTTTCATAATCTTTAAAACTAATGCGGTTTCGGCGGTCATATTATAGCAGTAAGCCGTTTCATTTTCACATTCTTCGGTTTCCGTACCAAATACTTGGCCTCGAATAATTCGGAATCCCTGAATTAAGGAAATTCAGCTAGTATTGTCCGATTATGCACTTTATTATTTTTTCATTTGAAATTAGCAAATATATCATGTTTAGCAATATATCATGCCAAGATAACGAGTGCTAAGAGATTTGGAGCTTACAGAATGAAAATACTTTGAACTTCGCTCTATCATGCTTTCGAGGTAAAACGTTCACTTCAAAATGACTTACTTTGTAACACGTAATAGAATACACAAGAAGAAAATTTGTAATCAGCAACAGCAGTAGCAATGTTTTATTCATTTAAAGTAAACAAACTGCTGAAAATAAAATTCAAAAATATAATAACGTTCGTATGACAATTGGTTTTATTTTGAAAATGGTTTACTATAGCGCTATGTGTTGACATTTGGTATTCTAGAAAAAGTAAGTGCTGTTATATCTTCTACATTGTCCGGTCTTGAATAGAAGAAAAATATGGGAGAAGTATGAAAATATGAATTTTATAAGAGAAAAATATGAATTCGATTTGAAAACTTATAAATAAGTAGCTGTTCATGAGAATGGTCATTATGAGTGATGCTGAAATATGGTTCCTATTAATAGTTGTATCGGTTTTTCTTAAAGTTTACTATTTTTATCTTAAATGATTGTTCATGAATATCGCACGCTACACAGGGGACGTCGTCAAGTTGCAATAAGTTCTCTAAATAAGGCTGCTGCTCAAATCGATTCCTTTTGCGGTTGAACTTTGCCATTCAATATTGACAAAAGGAAACATACGATTTCTATTCCGAAAAGTTTCACCTTTGCTGCTATGCAAATAAAGTTTTTTCATTTTATTGAACAATTAAGCATTTTGGGTGGGTAAATGAACACATTACACAGATGTAGTAGTGATTGAATGAACAATTAAAGTGAATGAGCATGGACAAAAGTATTGCAAATTCATGAATTTGTAACTGATTCATACGATTATCAGTGGATTATTGAGTCTTTTAAAACATATTTAATCGTTGGCGAGCTAGTTAGTTGTTTTAAGGTGATGAGCAGCAGCAAGCGATCGATAATTAAGAACAACTGATGGGTAGAAGTGTGTTTAAACTAAGAGGAGAGAAAACCTGCTTGCAAACTTGGGAAATATACCACAGATAGTAGGAGGAGTTGACAAGGGTTGTGGATGAATGACTTTCGAGTGAGTAACTGATAAGATACCACTCCAGGAATACCATGATTTCTCTTTATGGCCTACCAGGTAAACTAGTAACCTTATAATTGCATTATATTAAAATGAAAAGATTCTTATATTTAAGGTTTTTAAAATTAGTGGTCAAATGGCAACAAATAATGAATTTATTTTGAATCTAGTCGAGCGCTTAAAATTTTAGTCTGTTGTCAAGTTTAATTTACGCTTATTACTTTAAATCATAATTGATGCTCTCAATTCACCAAAGACGGCTAATCAAAATATGCGAAAGCATAATCAAAAGTATGAGGGTCATCATTTTCTAAAGCTGTCATGTCGCTCAGTATATATTAATGGTGGAAACTTTGGGAGGTCATAACATCCTGAAACTTCTTGAAAATATCTAAAAGTAACCATTCCGATAGGAAAAGAAGTTAGATGGCAGAGCAAAAATGAAGTTGGAGGAAATATATATATATATATATATATATATATATATATGATATACATCATATATCTACATGGAGCTTTGTTCCAATGCCAAAAACAGTTTCTTCATACATTAATTTATTTGGTCGGAAGAAAGATTGGATACACTCTTCAATTTTCTATTACTCAAAAATTATGCTGAATTTCTATTTAAGGAAATGTCGATCAAAGAGAAACTGAAATGTGCGCGAACAACAGAAGAAGTTTTATTCATTTTAAATATGTCTGAATATTTACCACTTTTTGCGAAAGCGGATATCGTTCAAGCATCAGCTTTAAGGCTATTAAGGGAAGCTGATTTAAAGGTATATTTATTCATGATTGTTTACAAACATCCACATATTATTCATATCAGAAATATGTACCACTTCAAAAGATATCAGAAATACTTTTTTTTCAAATAATTTCGATTACTATTTGTCAGTTGCAAATTAAATTTAATGTGATAGTAATTGAGTTATCTATTTATGATTCTATCATCATGCTTATTTTTAGTGCATCGGTATCGACAGTTTTGGACGACAGAAACTTCTCCGAGCAATTCGTTATTTATCAAAAAATATATCAGTAAGATAATGTGGCCTTAATAAGTGTGATTAGTATGAGAATGGATATCACCTTCCCGCTATTATGCTTCCTGAATCTCAAAAATTTTTATGTTTTCACTTCATCGCTTTCTTTTATTTGTCCAGTTATTAAGGTGACAATTGGCGATAGGATTCGACAAAAAATATATTATGCTACAAATATAGAATCGAAATATTCCAAAATTAGTGAAGAGAAGTTCTGTTTGCAAAAGGTTATTGTGGTTTTTTGGCCTATGAGATAAACAGCCAATAGTAATTAATCAAAAATTAGCAGAAACGATAATTAATAGGGTACGATCTTAACAGCGAATCCGTGCAGTTGTACATTATCACCTGGTGAACGCCAGCTGATGGAACTGGCGTTAATAATCATAATGTCATTTAATAGTAAGGTGATTGATAAGGTGAATGCAGTTACGAATAATGAGTATTTTATATTTACTTCAATCATCGATTGACAATTACAGATACAACTGTAGTTTCAGGCAGAAGATGAATTATTGCGATGTAAAGTGGAATTAAATTTAAAACGAAATGAATTGGCACGAATACAGAAACAGGCTAAACTAATTCGCGAGATATTTGAAATGACAGGTGATGCAAGACAGTACGTGGAAAAACTTCGAAAAAATTGCGACAAATATGGCAGTTTATCTGTTCAGCGATTAGCTGTTGACCTTGAAAGCTTGTTGAACACTTTCCTTAAAAATGCTAATTCAAATCTATCTAACGTATGTTGTATTTTAATCACTCTCTATGTGAATCTCACTGACAATATGTTGTGGTATTCTTTGTGATATGAAATTATTCAGGAAAATATATCGCCTCTAGCAGTTGTACAAAACACAAATTCATGTTGTACAAATATCCAGCGATATTTGCCTGAATCGTTGCTAAAATCGTTGACAAAGTATAATACTCGGCTTTACTGTTCAACTGAAACAGGTCCCGGTCCTTGGTATGCAAAAATTTTGAAATCTACGGCTATTCGGCGCTATAAACAGGTGCCATGTTCTGTTAAAAAAATTATGTACCTTAAGTTTTATGTTATCACTTGTTATTTACACAATGAAATCAATTAAAATATGATTTCGGTAAATATAGTCTATTTTACAATTCTTGAGCTTCACAAATTAATTGTAAATATTTAATCTTAAAGTGAATACTACTTGCAAATGGTATGATGCTTCACAATAGTTAAGTTTCTGAAATCAAGAAGTTTCACATTAAAAAACCAAAACTGTAGATTCGGAATAAATTCTTAACTATATCATTTATCAGCCGTTCAAGTGTCACTTTTACGTATTTTGCAGCCTCCCTCTTTAATCTATTATCATCCTGTTGATGACGAAAGGTATCAGGAAACGACAATATCACTATCGACTCAAACATCACAGTACGGACATCCAAGTTTCGTGGATGGGTTATTCTCGAAATTTGGAAAAAACAAAACATCAACACCTTATAAACAACACTCTTCATCAGTTAAACAATATTCAAGCAACACGAGCAGCTTACAACAATCACTTCATCACTCCCATCAAAAGTGCTCGTATTTTTCAGTTCTTTAATTATTTTTTACGTGTTGATTTAATTTCGCTCATTGATAACTTATTTCACTGAATTGACACTTCATTTTCAGACTTTTTTGCACAAAGATGTAGTTGTACTATTCATTTCAGCACAACTGCCTCAAAAAATAATGGACCGTTGTAGTTCAGCTTTGAGTTACTACGAAACAAGCTATAGTCCAGCTAGAAAAATAATCCTACTTAAAATTTCGCAAGCTTATATACCATGTATTGAATCGGCGACTTCATGAGATATCCCACCTAAATTCATCCTTAAAAAATTAAATAATCACTGAAGTTTTAATTCTAGTTTCAGGGTTAAAAATGTGTTTATGAAAGCGCCAAGATGCTAAATTCATCCACTAAATTCCGAATTAAAATTGGTGAACTCTGATTCCAAGAATTCAAATCTGATTCTAGAATGCATGTTTCTGTTATACTCATGAAATGATGACTGTTTCTTATTATTTATACTCGATAAAAAATTACTTGATCATTTGAAATTTATAACAGCGACTACAAAACACATGTGATACACGTAGTTTTAAAAAGATTTCTCTCCTTTGCATACTACAAGACTACTTCCCATTTCACTGGGCAATAACAACAAATAATAATCATGCTCACTAATTAGCCTCTAAAAAACATAATCATAGTTATAAGTGGATGTTCACGGTTATTTCAAAGCCTACAATCAAAGAAAAGGCATATAAAAAAGAACTGAGAAAAATGAACAAAACAGATTTGAATTAGCACAAGTATGAAGCCATTCTCTAAAATTTTACGAAAAACAGTCCGAAAAAACAAGACATCATTTCTCGAAAAAAGAAAAAAAAATGGATCTAGCAGAAACTCTTGCTAAATTGAATATAAAACAAATAGATTGAACAGGATCACGACGATAGCAGAAAAATATCATCGTTGTAATAATTCATGTACTGTATAGTGATAGGATCAAAATGTAAGCACTTTCATATTGCAAATTCGTGAAATTCATTACCAAAAAAAATAATGGTATTCTTAATATGTAAAATGTAATTCTTAATAAATTCATGCTTATTCTCAATTAAATTACAGTGCTTAGTATGCGAGGTGAGATCTGATCTAATGGTTCAGAATACACCAGTTTTCGTCAGAAGGTGATCAGTAAAACTGTTGCAGAAATGATTAAAATATAATATCAATATTCTTATTGACCTGTTTTCATAAATCGCTCCACCTCTTAAACATTCATTTTACAAAGCCAAAGTCCATTCTTATTCGTTAATTTGCAATTGTTCATAATGAAAAGCAACAAAGTTAATAAAACTTCATATTTACAAAATAGAACGATAAAATTAAAACAAGTTTAATTGGTGGGATAAGCATTTATCATTAAATGAAAAAGTTCTCATCGAAAATTATCATTATGAGGTGCATTGAAATAAATTCATGCTAAGGAAAGGAACTTTTCAGCAATCAAAAATTTTTTTCTTTGTTTTTAGACAAAAGAGAATCAGTACGAGGCGAATGAGAACAACATTTTGGACTCTCAATGTTGAATAAGGAAGATGAAGCGGCTGACTCGAAGCTATAATAAAATGGAAAACAGCAATCTTGAAAATAAGACTTCTTTTCTCCACAATCATTTTTTGCATTCATTGCACTAATAATTTACGGGCAACAGTAGCAACACAGAGAGCTCCCTATAATCAAACTATACTTCCTAAAATATCAAAAGGAACCAAACTTCATTGTAAAATCTGAAGGAATGTAAAAAAAGTGGTGATATCTACATTGCCATTTTGCAAAATCCAATCAACAATCAAAATATTCATACTGAAAATCGTAAATTTTTACCTTTTTAAAAGAACATCAAGTGAATAATTCGAAGTCATTGTTATGTACCTTCGTGCACAGATATCCTGATATGGACATACTAAGTCAAGTCATACAACACGCAATCTCTTTAATCCTGAAATTACAGCATATTCATTGAGGAACAATTTGGAGGAGAATAAAGATACTCATACCCAACAACTTTAACAATAACTTCTATGGGATGAGAAAATGTGTTGCTAAAAAAAGAAAAAGTAATAGAAAATTAAAAGTGAGAAACAATTTGTATCCTCTTCTTTGCAAATAATTTTATTCTAACATTTTTGATAATTTTCACAAGGTCTATTTACTTCAAAAAAAAATTCAAATGCTCTTAGAGCACATTAAACACATTAAGTATTTGACGAGTACAAAAGTTTCTACGGACAGCAGAATTTAAGTTTAAATTGTACTCAAGCATTCTATGCCAAGCATACAAAATTCTTTACGAATATTCAAACGTTTCGATATCAAACATTGACATATCCCAGTTAATAACACTACACTGCCTAGAAAAAAGCAAAATGTAATGAAGACAAAATGTGGAAAAGTTACAATGGAATTACTACAACAAAATGCAATGGTTATGAGATGATATTTCAAAAAGACAGCAAATTGTGAATTCTTATGGTTGATAATTTTTTTACCAAATCTCTATAAAGAATTTCATTATTACAACTTTGTTTCATCAAATACATTGTAGTTTGTTCTTATCCCTCTCACCATGATGTTTTATTTTTTTAGTGCTCACGCACTATGTGCTTTCCATCATGCCAATGCAACGACGTCAAAATGCTTTAAATAAGTACAAAGAAAAAATGTAAACAACGACCTCTGTGTAAAAGATAATTTAAAATTTTAACATTATAATAAATCGATTTAAAACAACAGAATGCTTACCTGTTTACTCTTTTAAAGTACTATCGAAACACAAGTAATCCACATAAAGCGCTATTAATTTTAAACCGGTTTTTAAAAAAGTGAGCAGTCTAATATATATTTGTATTTAATATGATATTAAATCATCATACATATCATACATGTCCAAAGTCTGGAAATGAAAAAGACATTTTTGGCACAACTTGGAATTAAATACCATACAACCTTCAAAAAAAAAAGTTTCAGATAATACGAAAGCAAAGATCTCATTTATTGCTTTTCCAATCCTTTCTAGTTATTTCAATAGGAGAATAACTTGGAAATGATTTGCAAAGAAGTAGAAAAACCCGTAGCATAATTTGAAAGAAAATGCAATATAAATGATATTATAATAATTTTCGCCAACTTTTTGGGCAGCACTTAGTTTACTCTCTAACAATGAATGAAATTGCTACAGGCAACATCGGAATTGTCTTTTCGCAATTATAATTTTCTTTCTAAGTAGAACAGTTTTTCTTCACAATCAAGATGAAAAAAGTTTGCCTAAAATATTTGGTGGAATTACTGAGACTTTAAAGATTTTACAGCTGAAAAGAATCCATAAAAATGTTTCAAGTTCATGAAATAGTTCATGAAGTGTTCGAAAATTTGATTCAAAAAAATTTAAAGAAAAATTTGAGTTGAAAAAATTTAAGCTAAAACACAATATTAGGTAGAAGCGAAGTATGAAAAAATTCCAAGTTCCATGAACAAAGCAAGTATGGAAAGTGAAGCAATCCCCAAATTCTCAAAAGTTGCCTGTTTTTGATAATGCTTGTTTCTTTAATCAATTATTTTGGTTCATTTATTTTTCAATATTAAAACTTAATTCTGCAAAAAAGAAAAAAAAATTAAATCGGCAAAATATGCATATGAAAAAGCGAAATGGGGAGAGGTATATTATGCATAATATAAAAAGAACTGTGGAGAACAAGAGAGAGAGAGAGAGGAACTTGATGCAGTAGAAGTATGTTCCGCAGCTGAAGCAAGGACAGTAAACTAATTTCTTTTTAACTAGAACCGAAAAGAAACAAAGAAATAAACTTTCATTGTACCTTAGATTGAAAAGTGTGAATTTACAGTTAACTGACAGAAGAATGTGAGATTGGAAAAGGGTGAAATGACATAGAAAAACTTCAAAGGATTCAAAAACAAAAAATTTTGTTTTTGAGTCCTTTGAAGGTCATTTTGTAAGAATACAATGGATCAGAAGTGATAACTGCTGCAAGTCGTGCAGTTAATGGACAAAACTGCTATAGTTGAGCGATTTCACGGATTTTAATGAGACGCATCGATACTGATGCCCTATCTGTACTGGGTTGTACTCTACTGTATCCTAGCATAACAAAATTGTGTGACACATCTCTAAGTTCACGTTCAGACAGAAGTGATAATGAACAGCAAAAAGGAAAACATCAATATCAATCATAATTCTAGGCATCAATAATAATAATAATAATAATAACCATCAAGAATTCTAGGCTTCAAACTCAAAGCACAGTGCAGTGTTTAGCACATATTACTGTATGTTCCGCAGCTGAAGCAAGAAGAGTAAACTAATTCTAAAATGGTTATGCATACTGATATATTTATCTCATTGCGAAGAGAAGCAACCTTTATTTTAAGTCATATTTTCACTGCTTTGCATTAGGATTACAGAATCTTTAAAAACTCAAGCTTATAAAAATTGAAAGGCGAACGAAAATTTAATACCTGTAAACACTGTCTGTGTATCATATCACATTTTGTAGCAGGAGGACAACAATGAATAAGATCATTGCAGCATACTGCATCCATCATCGGACAACAACCATAAATGCCTTCATTAATTAGACAACAGGTTGCTGAGTCCGGACATACTGATTTACCTCCAGGACAACTATGCGTAATCTAAAATGGCTTTAACTTAGTTAAGGAGCCAGAACTATCCGACTAAAGTTTGAAATTAAAGAATATTGTTACTAAAACTAGGTCTTATGATTAATCTTGTGAAAACTAGTGAGAATATTGTTGTTAAAACTAGGTTTTATCATTAATCTTACGAAAACTATTATTTGTTTGGTATCTTTTGTATATATAACAATTAAGAGCTTAAAAGATTAATGTCGCGTCTGTCTGCTTTGTGTTTTAAGTTTACACATGAATGGCAGACTTATTCTCCAAGTTTATTCTACACTTTTCTATTTCCCAAATGCAGTCAAACTAAGCGAGACGCCTATTTGATTTGAAATTCTATCTGCAAAAAAATATGCGCAAAAAACAGCGGAATAGTCGAAGAAATACAGGACACTAAAAGAGAGATGAATTCGTTCCTCGAAGAAAGGACTTTCGAATAATAACAGCAACTTAAACAGACAAATTTATTTTTCGATGATTATCAGCAACTTTATAATTCCATGAAAATCAATAAAGCTTACCAGAGCTTTATCAGAAGCAGCAATGGCGAAAAAAAGAATAAATAATATCATATTCCTTAAAATAATGAATTTATATTATCTCCATAAAATGAACATGAACATTTTTGCACAAACGTTGGTATATTCAGAGCAGCTATTATTTTAACAAAAGGAAAATATTTAAAAAAAATATTTTAATGTATTTTTTATGTATAAAAAAAATATTTTAATGTATTTTAATGTATAAAAAAATTTTTTCATTTCATCTCAGCCACCTGGTAAAAGTCTGTTACAGATCCAGTCTACACTTGAATGTGACACAAAACATTATACTGCCGATTGTTTACTGTTTATCCTTCCATTATCCCTTAAATCAAAGTGATAAGTGGTACGGCCGATAAATGATGTGAGATAATCAATGGTAATATGGTCATCTGCTGAGATAAATATAATTCCACCAATTAGATAACGTCAGATGAAAGTTGGAAAAGAAACTGCAGCACTGTCCATAAATAAGAAAGACACTGCTATTAGCAATCTAACAAAAATGTTTTCCAGCATGATTCGCTGGATGGCTACTTTAACCGGTATTCAATTCAGTAGTAATTAATAAAACATCAATCCCATTTCTTGTTGTTTATGAATTTATGAACTGGAAATAGTATCCAAAAAATTAAATTAGTAACTTTAACTTTTGTAAATATTAGACAAGATCAGTGATATCAATCGAACATGGTTAAATGACATGAAGTGCTAAATCATGAGGTAGATGGACGTCAATAAGAAGAATATACTACCCTATTGCTGTAGATGTTTCACCATATATCAATCTGTTTCATACAGACAATTAGCATAGCCGATATTAATCCATCTGTTTGGAACCTGAAGGGTATTCATTTCGAATAAGAGGCTGACAACCAGAAACAGGACGTTATTAACATCCCTCAGGCTTCCAATACTTTAATTTCTTGTCACCGGACGGTTTTGTCATAATTCAGTTAAAAATGAGCACTAATTACAGAAGGCTTACAACCGTTACCATAATGCTTGACTGAGATTTCCTTCGTGTTGAATGACTTATGGGAAACAATAAAGAAAGTGCTTGTCATTGTCGTCAGCTAAATTCAATCTATAACAAAACATTAGATGACGGAAGCAAAATGATACAAGTTGAGGGCCAGATGGTATATACTAATTAATGAATCGAATTTGGAAACAAAGTGGAATTCGGAAATTTAATTCTAAAAAGAACCTGTCCTCTCAGCATGAAAAAGCAAGCAGACCCTACTGGTTGCAACTTCATCTAAATTTTAATTAAAATGAATCGTCAACTTGAGATTAACATATTTCATTTCGTGCTACAGATCTTTGCCCACAATATGCTAGGACGAAAATGCGGGAGAGTTGAAATGTGAATTCGTACTCTTTGCTGCAGGGGGAGGCTTTTGCTTGTGATATTTAAATATATGTAATGGAAGGGTATACCACAAAACTATTTGCAGTATTGTTTGAAAATCTGAAGTTTTAAAAGCACCAAATTCTAAGGTCTGAAAGACATTCGACTGAAATAACATTTCAGGAGACTCCAGGATAATCGAATGTCTCGGAGAATGACGGAAATATTATCTACGAAAAGCAACTCTTCTTCTTTTCATATTGAGACGCCTAACTTTTTTGGAGGCATTTCAAATTCGTCACGGTTTGCTCGTTTTATTTACTTGAACTGAAATGGTTATTATCGCCGATGTATTCATTCGTTAAAATATAAAGTGTTATTCATTTACTTTGTTTTAGTTTGTTAAACAAATAACTATATTGTTTGAAGTAAATCAAATATCAGGAGACTGACAAAAACTCTTTGAAGCTTTTTACCATCCGAAATTACGGATTCTACGGAGCACAATTTATGGATGGAAGCTCAACTCAAAGCTTTCGAATTCTTAAGTCCTTTTCAAGATAACCATATAGAAAATGTAAGAAAGTCTAAGATTTTAGAAGGTATGCGTTTTATATTATACTATTTACTTATTTCTACCAGTTCCGAATTTGTAAATTTAAACTGATTACCAGATTAGTTAAAATTTTCCAGTTTTTTCTTTTTTTTTTTTACAATTTCTATTGTTTAAGGTGTGTTAGCATTTGTGGATGTAAAATTTGAGAAAACGTCAGTTCTGCATCAAATGTTAAGTGATTTAGGGGCCAGTGTCAATTTACGGTATGTTAGTTTTTTTATGACTATCAGTTCATTGAAGTGTGAAGTACTTGGTGTTATTTTTCTTTAGTTGTTAGACAAATAAGTGAATTTCATAATTACAGCACATAACACAATATTCTTAGAATTAGTTTTAAGAAACTAACTTTTTCTGCTGTTTTAAAACTTATTTAAAAAATTTTTTTTTTTGTTCGAAAATTGTCATAAAGATCAAAGTAAAAAATTAGCATAGGCGAGATAATAAATCTTCTTTTCTTAGATGTGCATTTCATAAAATTTTCTATCTAGACTTTATATATATAATATAAAACAGTTTTTTATGTTCGAAATTCTGCTTTTGTATTTTTGAATGAAATTGCTGTCAATAAAAAGATTTCAGCAACTTTAACCATTTCTCTACTGCTTTTGTATTGTTTTTCAGATTTTCAAAAAATATTACTCATTTAATATTCTGGAATGGTCGGCAAGAAACGTTAGACAAAGCGCATCGTTTGGGAACAAAAATTTTATTAATTTCGCCTCACTGGGTGTTTAAGTAAATTATTGCTATTAAAAATTATTCTTTCCAATTCCTTTCACTTCTTTGCATCAGGTATAGCATAGGCCATAAATTCGATAGTGTCATTTTCTTCTTTTATTTTTTATACGAAATAGTAATAAATTTCATAGTCATTTTTATCTACTTCAGATGTTTCATGGATCAAATTCGAGTTGATGAAGCTCCTTTTCTGTTGTATGGTGTAAAGGATCTTGCTGTTCCGATGAGATTAATGGCTATGGGACGAATGGGAACAATTAATTTGGTATTTGATGATCAGAATAAACCTGTCATTCGTAATGTAAAATAGTGAAGAAAATTGTAATACTGGATAATTGCTTGTTTATAGCTGAGTACTTAGAAAGCTATAAATAAAAACTTAAGTGAAATCATTTTTTTAATTCTAGTTTTGATTCCAAAATTACAAGTAAAACTCCACTTGTATGTCTATTTTCAAGATGGTTTAGATGTAAGCATATGTAAATATAATACCGCTAAAACATTCTTCAGAATTGTCATGGCAGAGCTTTAAATTCATTTGGCAGTTCAGCAAACCACTCACAGATAGTATATGCGATCGAAACGCTCTCTGACCAACTTGCTTCCAAACTTAGTAGGTTATGTGGATTATAGAGCTATCTCTTTTTAGACTCACATTATTCCATCACATGCATTAATAGAGTTCCCTGTTTTTCTGAGGTTTTTAACATTAAAATGTCGGCCCACCATATAACAAACATACCTTTAATTTTTAACATTTTCGTTTATTCACTTATTTGTAGTTAGTACAAAAAAAAAGCACCTTTTAATATTACTCACCATAATGAACACAGCAGTAAGGTTCAATTGCTTTTTTCATCAGTTTTCTCATTTTATTTTAACCACTTTGGTATACTTCTGCAGTAGTGAATACAATATTAAATTTAAAGTGCTTACCAAGCCTATTCTTGAGTCTTTTTTGTAGGTATCCTCAAAGTGATGTGAGTTATAAAAATTAAAGCTTCTCCAGTTACATAGATAAGAATAAAGTTGAAAAAAATGGCAAAAATGAAGCATTGTCTTTTCCAGTGGAACAGTCGATGAAAAAAATCTATCATCTTTTTTGAAAAATTATGATTAAAGAGAGCTATACATAGTAATACAAAAAGCAAGGCTTCTGATTTATTAAATTACACAATTTGTTGTCTCTGAATTCGTGCGAAATTTCAATCAATAGTTGTTACAGCATCTCCTAATGATAATATTGATGTTGTGGAAGTAATTTCTCCAATTGTGGATCGTGTACGAAAAAGATTGAATGAACTGAGTGAGTATATTGATATTTATCTTATTATACCAAGAAGTTGAATGGATCTATCGCAAAAAAGAAGAGCGGTAGGAATGAATAAATACTGTAATTTATTATGAGAATTAGAGATCTCGGTCACTACAATTATTCGTAAATGGAGATGCTGTTTGTAGATTGTACATGTAATGTAGTTGGGGAAACTTCATTATTAAAACATTCTGAGAATAATTTATCCACTGAAGCGTGCAGCATGGATATAGATAAGCAACGACAGACTAAAGGTTTGTGGTTTGTTTTTATGCTTATTTCATGATTAAATTTTTAGCAAAGTGAGCAGGTTAACTGGGCAGAAGTAAACATTAAAAATTGAGAAAGAAAATTCTATCAAATTAAAAATTTTCTGCCAAACTTCCAAATGTAATATTACTGTTCATAGTACCATTAGCCTTTTGACTGTTGATTTGCCAGTTTGACAGGGGAATCAGTTTAAGCTGTGTGCTTTAGAGAAATTATCCTTGCTCTTGGTTATATATAAAATTTAAAAACACGGAACATAAATGTAATTTTTTTACATTCAAGGTCATTGTCGAGTCAGTAAACAAAGAAGGCATACGATATCGCAAGTATCGATGTTTCATGGGAAATCTGAACTACAATTTACAACTCCTGCAAGAGCAAACTCAACTTCGACTAAATCAGTTAATTTAAATTGACTTTAATTATATCAAATTTTTTCCCTCTTTTTTTCCCTGTAATTCTGCCGCTCAAAAGTGATTTTTTTTTTTTTGACTTATTAGTGACAAATACTTTATTATAGATAAGTTTGGTAGAAATTACACAAAGTGAACTAGTTAAAAGGCGCGGTCGACCAACAGCTAATTCTGAACAGTTAGCAGAGTACACACCAACTCGTTTTCACAGAGTGGGTTTCACGTTTCATAAACTCTGAGTTTTTATAAGTGCTCAATAAAAATTTATTTACATTTAACTGTTCAAAGTTCACGATGGAAATCAACTTACTGGAATATGGATAT